AACAAATCTGTAGAACAACGCCCAGAGCCATAACGAATACTGTCAGCCACGCGTTCGCATATGAAAAACTCATTTAACTCATAAATTATGCACTAAAAAACAAATAACTCATCATTTTTATGCGCTCGTCGAAGTTGGCGAACTCAAAGGAATTTCCACTGACTCTGTATGTGTGTGTGTGTTAGGGAATGGGTGTGGCCTGCATTTGCGGGTGACACTTGGCCCATAAATACACTCGTGCAAAAATGTTGCTAGACAAAGTCGTAAAACAGGACGAGCTGGAAACTTTGAGACAAGCAATAAAATCCTTGCCCCACCCCAAAAGGATGGCCAACTTTAAGTGCCAGCCAACTCTTTGCTCCTTCGAGCAAGGTCGCTGCTACAACTAAACGTTTGGTAATTGAAAACTGTAATTTCGAGTACTTACAGTTGGTTGACAACCCAAAGAACCCAACCAAGTGGGTGGATCTACTTGGAGAACATCACTCCGATTTCCTGGTTGGAAAAACCCGTTAAACATACGCCAAAAGCAGGAACTAAAGAAATTTTTCAACTTTTTATTAGTTTTTCTCCAGGGACTTGATATTTCACTAGGTGGAAAACTTTGACATTTACTATTTTTTTTTGGTTTTAAAATTGGCTTACTAACATTTTATTTGAGGAATTTTTTTTAAGATTTCGTGCCAAAGAACTCGTTAGTGATTCGAAAGGAGTTTAATGAGTATTTTTTTATTCAAAATGTGGCAACAAATATGTACTATATTGAGGTTAAAAACTAAACGATAATAGTCCCCTTTTTCAAATCAAAATGTTTCTAATTTCATAGCAAAGTTCGAATTTAGCTAAGACTTAAATCATTCATTATTTTATTAAGTCAAAAAAGCGCTAGATTTTTATAAAATATTATCATTATTAAAAGGCAAACAAATAAGAATAATAATAAATAATTATTTTCTTGACTTTAAACTCCTATTTTTCCCTCAGTACCCCGAACATTTTCCCGCCTTTTTCCAAACGAATATTTTGCCTTGGCCGTAGGAGACGATAATCGGGCTGCGAATGATAAATGTATGTGTTAGCGTGTAGATTTTGTATGCATGCTTTGCTTTACATATCTGGGCATTAATATAAGCACACTCGAACACATTTCTTGGGGCGGCCATTTAGCAGTATTTAAAATTTATGACCTGACTATTAAGTGCGTATTAACTGAATGCTTTGTGCATGCCATAAACTTGGGCCTCAGCCTCGCTCTCTTTCTCTCTCTCTCTTTGAATAATGTCGAAATTGGGGGAGTGGCGCATTTCGTATGACAAAGAGCTTAAAGACCAACTTTTTTCGCTTTTGTGAAAATTGTTACCACTCTCGTACAGTCACTCATTTCCTGCCCCTTCTCCATATCATGGATGTATATATGTGTGTGTGTGTGTGTGTGTGTGAGTGGCAAAAAGTTCCCACAAAAGTTGCAAAAAAGTTGGTAGCAAAAAGAAGGGGAAAAAAAACGCGAAGAGGAGGCAAACTTGCCCTCTTTGTTACCTGTACGGGCAATTGAGGGAATTTCTCTTTTTTTTTTTTCTTTGGCAATGAATGAGTGCCGCGGGTTTTGGCGGATGCAACTGGAGCGGAATTGCATTAGCTAATCAAACGCTGTCCACTTGTCAACGTGGCCGGAACGCTTGAATGAGCCGGGTGTCGCTTTGCTGCTTTGCTAATTACTCCCCTGAATCCTTTTAATACGATTACGGCGCTGTTTTTACCCCGGGAGTGTGGTCAGCCCGGTGTAATGAACCGCACATTAGGTTACCCACCTACCTCCTGTCGGCAATCGCGTCCATCGGCAATCGACAGTCGACAGTCGACAGTCGATAGACGTCGGCTATCGAAAGTCTCGGCTGACTTACTGGCCTTTTCTTTCCAACGCGCTTAAAGTGCACCACAAATTTCCCACAGCTGTCCAGTTTCTTTGGATGTGCAGAGGAAATAGTTTTTGGGACTAAAAAACTTTATTTTTTAGTTTTTAAGTTAAATAAATAATATATAATATATAATATTTAGGTACCTAAAGTTAGAATATTTTGAAAACTTGAATTTTTCTCATTGGATCTTTTAGTTTATCCTTTAACCTTTTCTCTCAGTCTACCCATTCAGGCTGGAGTTGCATGATGACTGCAGGCTCTTGCCCGCTTGCAGTTCAATTGAATTTCAGTAGGAAACTTGTGCAGCGTCCTTGCACCACCCCTTCCTTCGTTCACCTTTACACTACAATCACCCACTACAACCACCCACAACATACAACACACAAACTCATACACTCATATATTTACCTCACACCCACTCTGGCAGCATTCATTTATTTTATTTGGTGCAAAAGTTTTCACTCACCCCTCCTCACCCGTGGCCCGTGGCTTGTTGTGCCGCTTCATCGATTACGTTTGGTAATTTGCTTTATGTTCGTTTGCTTTGGCCCTTTTACTTAAAATAAATTAGAAATTATTGGAGCATTTGGATGCTTCGGCCTCCGGTGGCAGCGAGTTTTCGATTGATTTCCAAATTTGGCCCATAAATATATAATCGGCTTGAAAGCTATGGCTGGGCAAGACAAACTTCTATCGTAAATAAACTAAAAACATTTTCTGTAATTTTATATGTTGCAACACTGAAACTCCATTAAGTTGGCTGCGTTTGTTAACAAATATGGCTAAAATAAACGTAAATCGTATATTATTTTTGATTGTGAAAATGTTTAGAGATGAAACAATGGGTTTTGTTAAATAAACAATAAATTGTACAAACTGTAAGTTAGGCGCTTAAATATAAAAACATAAAACCTGTTTAAAATAATATTTGGTAAATAAAATTACTCGAAAGAAAATATGAGTTTGGTAAAGTAATTTTTAAAGCATTTAAAACTCAATTTTTGAATGACTAAAAAGTGTAACAATCTGCCAGTAAAAGTATCTTGTTAAAAATCTGTTGCTTTTGTTTTATTTCCCTTTTAGTTTATTTGAACTTTCCCACTAGTTGATTAAAATGTATTCCGATAGTTTTGAGTTACTTTAAGGATGCCCAACCAAAAGTTCAATTAAATTTCCGAGAAGTTGAGCAACTTTTTTGCAGCACAATTAACCAGAAGAAGGAACCACCGGAAATGCAAGCTAGTATTGTTTTTAGTCGAATTGGAGCAGAAATTACTACACGCTTATGACTGGTCCTGGCCTTGTATCTGTGTGTGGTATCTATGTATAGTGTCTATGTGTCGCATCTCTGTGTGTGCAATCAATAGCCATTGTTGTGCTTGTGTTGCTAACTGGCATCATGAATGTCGTCAGTTGCTGGTATGGACCGAACATGGCCCAGCCATTCGGATGGACAAAATTTGCGAATTCAAAATCAGAGTGCATGCCATAGACCAATTTGTATTTGCGTAATTAAGAGGATGGCCATGCCCATTTTAGCCCAACCCGCCTGCCCATCTAATTGCCCCCGATGTCTGCGCTACTAATTAAAACAATATACACTTTGCTTCACGTTTTGGCAATGATTTCGAAATCATTGCAGGCCGCGCCAATGATTCCAATCAAGCAATTTAAGCGCATCTTATTAGGGCGACAACTCCTAAGCTCTTAAGGATCCAAAACCCCCTTTTACCCCGTGCCAGAGCTAGCCCAACAATCCTTGTAAAGTTTTGTGAAAAACTTTTCCCGCCCCCTTTCCCACTTTTTGATGCTCTTTTATGGATGCCCACTGAGGCATTTGTGCCATTGCGACCGCAATAACAGTGAAAAAATAGGAGTAGTTAGCTTAATTTCTTTGCTCGAGTAGTTTTTCTTGTAGGAGAAGCTTACGAAAAAAAAAAAAGGAAAAGCAAACTAAAAACTGAAAATGAGACTGGGAAAACACACCGCAATGAGTTTGATAATAGTTTCAAGTTATTAACATACATTTTTTCACCCCTTTCTGGTCTCTTCCTCAGGCTTTGTCCCAGCTTCAGCCCCCGCCCTTCACGCACACACACAAAAACGTTTCTATCAGCGAAAATGTTCGCCAAAGTTTTGAAATAAATTATTTTTGTGATAATGGCTGCATTAATGAGGCTCTGAGCTAATTAGAACCCCGCCGCCATCGCTAAAAATAATTTCTTCTGTGCACTTTGGCATATGATAATTATATTTCAAAGCTAATCAACCTGATTTTCGGTTTTCGAATATGTTCTGGCGGAAGCTTTTGTGGTAAGGATTTTAGTGGTGGCAGGAACCTGATGTTGAGGATATTAGCTATGAAATGGGTTCCACATGGTTGGAAAATTTGATAAAGAGGTAAAAGCTCAAGGAAAAGTTTTCTTAAAGGAGTTTCTATCAATCCTTTTTAAAGTGATGATTAATACAGCTTTGTATGAGTGGTTTTGCACTTGACTTTACATATTATCCAGCTTTTTAGTACAAATAGTGTTCTAAGTCCAAAGGTTCTTGAACAAGGCTTACATTTTGGAATGTATAATTTGTTCTACATTACTTGTTTTTACAAGGATATAACTACATATGCACTCGAAGAAAAAATGAAATCTAATACCTCAAATATTGAGCATTCATATTTAAACAGTTTAGTGTTAAGGTTTAACCCTTTGGTATTATAATATATACAACCCAATGAGTCATTTCCCAACTTTAATATTAACCCCTTTTTAACTCAAATTTGCTTGCCAATTTAATGCGCTTATCTTAACCAGAAACAGCAGGTGGAGTTACCCATAGAGAAGACCAAAACGAGGGACTTTAATACCCCCATTGACAGGCGAAGTTGACATACAATAAACTTGGCAATCAGGTTACCGGATTATGGTAGAGAAACGATACCAATCGACCAATTGAATTAAGCGCATTAAAGCCAGTGCCAGTCATGTCAAAGCGAAAAAATCAAGGCAGTCATCGGTGGAAGTTTGGAAAATCATTGGCCATATTGGGAAATTAGAGAGAGAGAAGAAAAATCACCTTCCATTTCCATTAATTTGTCACATCAAGTTTATTGTTTATTGAAATATCGAATATCCTTTTCATACTTTAGATGTATAACTACACATATGGTACATACAAGTATATATATATATATAGTCTCGATAACATTAAGTTAAAACATTTAAAAACGTTTATTAGTTTCTCAATTGAATAATTTCGCTTACTTTACATGGCTAAAATATATGTTTTGATCTAAACACATATAAAACTTATACACTTATTATCATAGGATGCTTACATCAAAGATAGAATGAAGCTCAAGTCTTTATAGTTTTGTTTTTCTTTTGGGGGGGGGAGGGAAGGGGAAGCAAATATACACATACCATATATATACTATATACACTCAGGGTATATATATGTGGGATGTTGGAAATTTACACAGTTAACAGTTGATTATTATTCGTTTTAGCCAACACTAATCAACACGGAATCAAGACTGAGAATTGAGCTGCCATCTCACGCTTGGAATCACAAATTACTTCTTAGCCAAATGCTAGAGAGCTCACTTTTGAAGTGGAACTCCGGCCATTCGACGTATTTAGCACACGATTGTCGATTATCTTAGGTAATAATCTAGGTTAACTCACGTCTCACAGTGACTAGAATCAATTTACAGCTTAAGTGTCTACAAAATCTTTTGAAGCCCCGTTCGAAATTCCTGTCATTGAGCTTGGCCTAACTAGGCTTAAATTCCAGGTCTTAGCTTAAAGGCGGTCTCCTACTTCGGGTTTAGTTTCTGTTTCAAAAGGCCTGAGAGGAAGGTTTTTAGAAACAGAACTTAAACCATCTTCTCTGCTTTGTTAACCCAACTTCAGGGTGATTAAACTTAACTAACATTTCACCATTTTCGTAAGTGTCAATGATTTTCTGATATTATTCTGTTGCCAAGCAAGGATATTCTCAAATTTGATCATAAATCGGAGGTCTCTGAGCTTTGTACTTCCGCTGACATATGTTTTCATGTATTCTGAGTAGCTTTCCCTTCTCTCGCTTAGGAAAATAAACATTTATCTCATGATTACAGCCTGAGCCTTATAAAAATAATCTGTCTCGGGGCTTGCTAGTTATCATTTCGGCTTCTCTGATATGCTTTACAATATGTGTAGGTATTCTCGATAAATCTAAGGGGGGCAAACAGATGAACAACCGAACTCATGTGTGTGTGTATCTTAGAGATATTAAATGTACAAGCGTCTTTGTGTTTCAGTATTAATTAGGACATAAATCACACATGGCGGTGTGCATGTTAATGACTCCCCTTGGCTCCTTCTTATTTGCTACTCGGATCTCGGAGGGAGCGTGTGGAGGGCAGACCACGCAAGCCCTTCTCCAATTTGTCGGCATCCCCCGCCGAAAAGCGGAAATTCATTGCCTGTCCTTGACCCTGATTCTGGTTAACTCCCAACAGGATGGGTCTTGAATTCCTTCGAGGTCCCAGGAGCTCAACACTCTCCTCTTCATCACCGCCGTAACTCACTCCGGCCACAGGAAGTGGCGTTTTGGCAGGAGGTGAGTACTCAGCGGTGGCTTCCGATAATCTTCGATATTCCCCGCTCCTCGAATGTTGCAGCTTCCAGGATGCCCTTCTCGTTGTTGCCACACTGGCCACACTCTGACTACTATTGCTGCAGTGTACCGAGGCATTGGTGGTGGTCAGATTCCCGGTGCTCTGCGATACCAGACAGCTATTCGAGCTGGAACTGCTGCTGGACAAGCTGGAATTACTGCCACTCGTGCTTTTCCTAATGCTCCGTTTCGATGATCTCACTTCTTGGACAGCGGGTGGCGGTGGAGTTCCCTCCACTGGGATTATGGAAACCGGGGGCTGCTCCTCTGGACTCAGCAGAGCATCCGTGCTCTTGCAACAGCTATGATGGCTGGCCGAGTGTTTCATTGTCCAGCGAAAATCATTGGAGTTCTCGTCATCCAAGGGCGGGTAGATGCGTCCAGGTGTTTGAGCTGCCGATGAAGTGATTAATCTCTCCTTGGAACTGGCCAAATTGGGATCCGCCGGTGAGACGCACTCCTCTATCGTGTTTAAGGGAGATATTTGCAACGTTTGCTTTTGCTGCAGGAGATCCATTTCGTTTTTAATTGTGGGTTCAATGCCCAGAAGACCCAAAACCAGGCGAGGATTGGCCAGAACAAATCGCTCGAAGGTGGGAAAATCTATGCGATAGAAATCCGTTTGACTGCTCCGACTGGTCGTACTCTTCTTGGGTTCCACGGGCGAGGCTGCCTTGGAACTGGCTGCATTGCTTGTGGGGAGCTGGACATCTCTGCCCCAAACTTCGGGTGGATGTGATGAACAGCGTTGCATGGCCGCCAATTCAGCAGCTCCCAAAATTCCACCGATTAAGCCATGTTCCACTGCTGCTGTGGCTGCCACTCCACTGATATTGGGTATAGATCTGGCTGGAGGGAACTTGAGCGAACTATGGGATGTCATGGCATTGGAGGTGAATGTCATTTCCTGTAGAGCGCTGATTGCATTCCGAACTTCGGCACTCAGTTGTGCCACATCCTGATGCAAGGTGGAAACCTGGGAGTCCAACCGCTCCAAGGAGGGCCTCTTTCCCCCTGATTGCTCTTCCTCCAGGGGTTCTGGTTCCTCAAAGGAACCACGATCTAGGCTACAAGCTGCATTTAGAGTCCTATGCCTCTTGTTCGTTTCCCTTAGAGTAATCAAAGATCTCCCTCGCTGGTGTAACCTCTGATTCCTGGGACTTCCCATGCCCAAAAGTGGCGATCGAGTGGCATGCAGGGGGGAATTACTTAAATTGTGCAAAGGAGAAGCTCCACTAGGTGGTCCTCCACCATTTTCCTTCTCCCCCTTGCCATTTTCCTCGGCCTCCTCGCGATTTTCATCATCCTCACTGATGCTGGGCAGTGGAAACGATGGTCCAATATCGGAGTCCTGGTTCTCATAACCCTCTCTCAAGTTGCAGGTGAGATCGTGCTGAATGTCGTTGGCGAACTGCTGCTGGTACTCCGGATAGAGACGCAGGACCTCCACCAGACCGCCCATGTGGATGCACTTCAGATCACAGTAGGTGAGCGCCTAAAAAATATGGAGTGGAAATATGGAAAGGCATGTAAGTAAAATGAAAACTCATAGCAAGTGAGCCAAAGGTCGTTTTTGGCGTTAAACGATTATGCACTTTGGATAGGGGCGGGACGGGGGCGTGGCAGCTGGTGTTTTTGCGCCCATGAACAACATGAAAAAGCTTAAACAGCATGTAAGCGAAGCTAGGGTAACTATCGGTTTGATGGACAAGTCATTCTAGCCTCTTCATCATTAACTTTCTCATTTGTACTTTTCTTAAAGAATTGGCTTATTGAAAATAATACTTTAGACCTAGAAGCCTTTGTTATATTTGAATATTTTTGAGGTTAAAAGTTTCTTTAATATAAAAAGGAACTCAATTCCAAAATCTAGGATTTTCCCCGATTACAGGGAACTTCTTCGACCATTTCTATCCTTTCAAGACGCCACACTTGGTGATGTTGACGCCTTGGCGTCTTCTTTACATACTCAAGTGCGCCATCTTGGCGTTTACACACATCCTCACACCCACAACGGCAAACACACACTTACACACAAACTCGCGGAGAGAGAAACGCCTTAAGTATCACTCATACGACCCGTGCGCCGTGTTGTTTACCGAAGTGGCGCTACAAGAAGGAAACCGCGCGTCGGCAGCTGCTCGCAATGTCTGCACTTTATTTCGCCAGGGCAGACATGCAAATAAACACGAGATAAAAGCAAAAGGTAAAGGAAAACTCAAACTCAAAAACCAAATATCAACAAAGGAGCCAGAAGACAAAGGAGAAACAAAAACAAGATATTTCCCAGGGTAAAAACTATGCATAAATTAAGAGCATTCCTCAACTAATTAAGCGACAATAAAATTGGAAATTCCTCGCTTAATTATTGTTGTCCCACCCACAAAGGGGGAGTGGCCTCCAATTGCCAGACAAGAGTTTATGGCAATTAATTAGGCGTGAAGCTTTTGAAACCTGAACCGCCCCGAGATTATTGCCATAATTAGTAAGAGTAAACGAGTAATCGTAGACGCGGCTTGAAGGATACCAGAAAAACCCCTCAGACTCTCAAGCCCCATTGACTTTCTATGCCAAAAAATAAAGAAAAACAACGAAACGAAACGAAAGCCCGGTATGCCAGGCGAAATTCAAACTGCTGTGCACTCATCTTGAAACCACTTGCTTTCTGCCCCTCTGTCGCTGTTAGGAATAAGATAAAATTTACGACAAACAGACTGAAATCGCAACTTGCTTAATCCTTAAAGAACTCCAGACTATGATAAAAATATATAATTAAAGCGACGGGAACTAAAAGAGAGAGAGCACGCAGGTCTTCACATGTCCTTTACCATTTGCTGACTTAAACGGCAATTAAGCTGTTTTATTCGAGCATTTACCCTGCTCGGAAGAGCACTGAAAGCAGTGAAGCCACAGGTTCTGCTTGGAAATTGAGTGATATGCTATTTAAAAGTGGAAGAACCACTGCATCCTGGGGTAAATTTCGTATGCAACGTTTAAGGGACTCCCTTTGGGTTTTTTTCACTGATTTTAAAGCCTAAAAATAAGGTTTAAACTAAGGAAAGGAAGGTTTGCCAAAAAAGATAGCTAAAAATAAAATTAAGCTTCTGAAAAGCACGAATCATAAACCTTTCAAAGGAAATATTTTACTGCACTTCATTGAAAATTAAATACCCCTCTCCTGCCTACAATCAATTCAAAGTTCCCCCAGCATGTCTTCCACTATCATCCGAATGCATTCCATTCACGTTCACCCTTGAGTTCCTTGTGGCAGAGGCTTGTGTAAAAATAAATTCTATTTAATTACTGCACATCCCACTCAATAAAGCTGCCGCTAGATTTCAATGGAGCTGGCCAAGAGGAAGTGAGATGGGGTTCTTACCTTAATATCGCTGCTGCTGCGGACGACAACATCCTGGCCAGCACTGTTGGTGGTGGCGGTCATCTGGCCATTGCTGGTGGCCACCAGGTGCACGTTGATATCGGAGCCCACGAGGTCGCCCTTACCTGTTGAAAACACAAAAGCAAAGAGAGAGAGAGGGAGAGGAAGAGAAAGAACGAGAAAAGGTCAGCACTATAGAGAATCAATGAGCATAAAAATAGAGCCTGGCATTTGTCTGGGCCAAGTAGTAGACCGACTTGATGGCCCTGCTCAAGTTGATGACACTGCCTGCCATGAATGAATAAACAAGCAGATGACTGCCTTACTGTCTTGGCCAAAGTGTAAATGGAATTCAGGCAGCACAGCTTCTAGGAGCGAATGAACTGAACATGAGTTCAATAAACGCTACTAGTCGAAACATAAACAAAATGAAAATTTGACAATCGATAAATGAAAATCAACAAGCAATTTTCCAAAAAAAAAAAAAAGCAATGAGAGAAAGGGGAAAATCTTTGGCTAGGACTGTGTGGGTTTGAATATAAGATAAACTCACCCAAGATAGCAACCACCATGTCATCCTTGATCACCTCCATGGAACCATTGCACAGATAGTAGATGTAGTTGAGGGCATCGCCTTTGTGGATCAGATACTCCCCGGGTGCACAGAAGTTGGTCTTTATGTGCAGGGACAAAAGTTTTAGGCAGCCCTGCAAACGAACATGCAACAAATCGGGGCTAAAATAAATGCGATTCTGGTTTAGTCAGGAATTGTTCTCGTCGGTCAGAGGCATTTAGCATTTAGCTCGGTCGCGTTTTATTTGCGCAATGAAACAAAAACGGCAACAGCTGTGTGTCCTTGCCCCGGAATGTGTCCTGCGGTTTAAGAACGACCCACCGACCCCACTCACCCCACTATTAACCCCCTTTTTCGCTCACAGAAATACAGTCAACCACCCACCCAGGCATTTGCCCACGAAAAGTGGCTTAAAGCGCGCTTATAACTGTTGAGTGGTTTTTGTTTGCGTTACTTTGCCTTTCTGAATAAGCTTTATTAATGTTTGCCGTCCGCCTTTGTCATTCGGCTTCAGTTTGCCCTTTTTTTCTTTCTCTGTATTTTGTCCGGTCATTCGGTCGTTCAATTCGCCCCGTTTTGTTTGTTTTCCAACTTAGCCTGAGTTGCATTTCATTAGGTGGCGCCTCCCTTTCCCTTTCATTCTATCATCCTTTTAACAAACTGAACCACAATCGCATTATCACGTCCTATAGATATCTTTGGAAATGGCGGGGTCATTGAATATATATTTATTAGAAGAATTTTAATGAGAAAAATCATTAACGATTTTTAGATTTGTGGCCATGGTGACCCTAACTAAGATGTTAAGCATCAGTTAAAGTTAAGCTAATTATGCTTTCCCTCCTGAAAGTTAAAACAAAGGAAATATATTTCCCGTTTTAATAATCACTTTCCACGAGGAAAACCATATATCAGAACAATCCGCTTAACTTGAACCAATATTTTTTTTCAGTTTGATAGGTTTTCACATGCGTTGTCAAAAAATTTGATTGAAATTCCTTGTTCTATTTTTTGGTAAAGAAATTAAACGGCTGCCATAGAAACGTTTGGAATTTCAAGCTTTGATCTGAAAAGCATTCCGTTTTTTGTTAATGGGAAAATTTTTATTGAAAATATTCGACTTTGTTTTGGCAGTTCGTGGATATATCAAACCGAAGTGTAGAAAAATGAATTTAAAATGTTCCTGAAAATCAATTTATGTTTATCAGCAATTGTTTTTATTCAGCCTTAGTAGTTCATAGAACTCTTGAGCCGAGTAGCATTTGAACCGTAGATGAGAAATCAATTACTGCACAATCTCTAGCTTAAGCCAGGCAGCTTTTACCCAAATGATTTCCATCTGCAACCCCCTGCGAGCACCCCCTAAACTAGGGAGTACAGTGGGCACCCATTAAAGCTTTTCGGCGGTTGACAAGGGTATTGACATTGGCCATCGAAAACTACTCGACCACACACACAGACGGTTGCATTCGAGGGGATTTTTGCGTACAAGTTTGCTGTTGGCCAAAAACCTTTTTCATGCTTCGCTTCAGTCAAACGAATGGAACTTGGCCCACAGGGCAAAGCCTAGGCAGAAGCCTCGGTGAGATGGCTCGTAAAGTTTACCTGTGAACATTGCCGTGGAAAAGGGGATTTAGGCAATTATTTAGCCTTAAATGTTTTGACTATCAACTACAAGCTAATGTAAGAGCTGCCTTCATAAATAAATATTAAAAAATATTCCAATCAACCTTCATTATATCATCCCTTCTCAAATTCCTAGTCTACACCCTTGTCTATCCAAAAAGCCGCTTCTTACTTTCATGTGTGAGTTTTTTTGCTTATTTGTATGCGGTTGTTTGCCTGTGTTTGAGCTTCACAACGACAAAGGACCAACCGAACGAAGCCCAAAAAACGTTTCAGTTAAGCCCGCAGTTAACTTTTGACTGCTTGCATGGCCTTCATCTTCTCTCTTTTTACCTGACCCCCACCTGTTGGCCCCACCTTTTGCCATCTTTAGCATCCCCCTCTCACATTCCCGTCCCTTCACTTAACGATTCCTGTCCCATTGCTGCTGATTATTTTGCCATCGCAGCCATTTCGTTCCATTTGTCTGAAGTTGAATCGCTTTCAAAGCGACATACGTATTCTTCGACCCCTGAAAAAGAGCATTCGCACAGGTACACTGGGAAAATAAACTAAGCGAAAATTAAGATTTACAAATTTGATTTGAAGATTAGAAATCTCTTTATGACATCTCTACAGAAAATGCTGGACAAATATCTTAAATAAATTTTTGTTTTAGGAACTAAAACTTTCTGGGAGAAACAACTTTCATAACATTTTCTTACAGTGTAGGCTCAAACTCACCTGGGAGGCCGCTTCAAATATCGGCAGCTGTAATATTTCACGATGTAGATGCATGGAGACGTCGCCACGGAGCTCCTCGGGAAATTCGCGTAGCGTCTGTAAGTAAAGGAAAGCCCAAGGAAAGTGTGAGTCAAAGATGAGTGGAGAGGCAAACATAAGCACCACCCTTAGACACGCACACACACACACACAAACTCACACACGCACAAGTGAAAAGAGAAAGTGGAATGAATATACACGTGGAAATTGAATCGCCTGAAAATTGTGAGGGAAATGCTTGGCATTATTTTACTCTGGCACCAGGGAAATGTTCAAGCTTATCTGGACTTGCTTGTTTTCCAAATGCAATGTGTAATATAAGACGGGAAAAGTGTCAGTTGATACCCTGTAAATATTGGTAATAATTCAGACTTTTGCTTAAAAGGAAATCAAAAGTAAATAATAAATTAAAACTTTAAACAGAAATTTATTTCTTGGGAATAAAAAACCAAATACATTGTTCTCTTTTCCAATAAAATTTAACTGATTTCGATTCATCTTTTGTAGCGATTACCAGAAATTTAATAAATATTTATAATAGTTTTCCGCTTTTCTTTTATGCCAATCAAGCAGTAATGATCAATAAACCATAACCCCACCCTTTAATTTCAGCTCCCCAATAAGGCGAATTCTCATGAAAAGCAAAGTCCCTCTTGATTTTCCACATCCTCCTGCCAGGGTATAATTATATTTTCCCTTTTCCTTTCTTTTTCCTTGACTTCCTTTCAAGTGTATTGGATGGGAATTGTCGGTGTTTCGGGATTAACATGGAAATTGAGGGGGAATTTGCATCTTTCTTGTTTACACACTCAACACCCACCACACACCACCCACCAATTGTTGTGACTTTCTCTGTAGCTAACCATATGTATACATTTCTAGGGATTCCACGGGCTGATTAAGTTCCAGCATTATTCATATACACGAAAATCGCGCGAAATTTGCTTGCCAACTATGTGGCTGGCGAAATCTGTGTGGTTTTTGCCCAATTTCATGGATTATGGCTTTATGTAACCAGTGAATCTGCTTATGGTGAATTCAACTTAATTGTATAAATAGTTGGTCAACTAGTGGGCGTGTTTGTATGTTTGTATGTTTGTGTTTGTGTTTGTGTATGCACATTAATTAAGGCCAAAAAGCAACTAAATCAATTTCAGTCCGGCCAGATCTTAATTAAAAATTCACAACGAATGCCAAAGCAGAGTGCAAAAATATTTCTGGCCAAAATAGATGTCAGCAAATTTCCAATTCCATTTTTGGTATGTCCAATGTTACATTGGAAAATGTACAAATGTGGTCAAGAAAGTAGTTTCATTTTGGTTAAAAATGTATAAAAAATATATGCAGAAGGTTTCTGATTTGATTTTTACTAATTTATTTGTTAGATTATTATTTTATATAAATATTTTTAAAACAGGAACTTACATTCTTCCAGTTACAACAATTTAATCAAGCTCAACTGTACACATTTATGAGGGAAAAACAAAAAGAGGAACTTTGGCTAACCAAGCGAAACTAAACATGGAAATATGTTGAAAGTTTTTCCTGGGTTTTGTTTGAGTTTTGCTGTTGCCTTTTTATTTCTGCCTCCCCAAAGGGCAATTCCCAAAGAATTGTTATTTATGTTCCATTCTGTCTCTGTTTTCCCTTCTCTGCCCGTTGAAGTGTAAAATATTTTACATTAATTGCACACACACACACACACACACTGGCCAGAAGTCGTTGCTAAAGTGGGCGGCGCTTTTCTTTTTTTTGTCGGCCTGAACTTAACTTGAAATTTTGCCAACATCATTTAGCTTTTAGAGGGGAAACTCCGACATTTTGCCAGTTAATTTTCATGCGCAATAAATTAACAATTTAATTTAGTGCCAGTACGTCAACGCCCACTCCCCTTTTCGCTTCACCCAACCAATTTTCGGGGCTATAATTCGTGTGGCATCGACAGGTCGTGTGTGTGTGGGTGTGAGAGGCTCTGTCTATATTTCATGTTTGGTCTGTAATTAAATTGAATTCCATTAGGCGTTGTCAAAATTCCAAAATTACAACACTTGAAGGCGAAGCCAAAATCGGTGTTTAATTGCTGCTTAAATGGTAAGACAAGTGCTTAACATTTTCTGCCTTTAACTCGCGATTAAGCAGCTGACAGTTAGCTTTTCAGACTGACATGAAGAATCAAAATGTGAAGGGTTATTAACTTTAAGTCTTTAGACTCTGAAAACTGGTACAAAGTTAAGTTATTGAAAGAGAGAAAGGATCTGCTTTTTTGGTCTTTGAAAAAATACGTACAGCAAAAAATTTACCAATTTAGTGACTCTTCAAGATGAAATTTTAGAATATTTAATCATTATTTCCGGAATATTAAAATATATATTAAATGATCCTTGCATTTCCTTGATATATGACTCCTATAGACCTCGTAAAATCCTCATTTTCCCAACTAAAACGAAAGTCCATTAAACTAAAGTCCACAAAGCGAAAGCCATGCACCAAGGCATCCTGGATGCAGAGATAAAAGTGGGTTTTATTTGAAGAGGTTTTAATTAACACTATTAAAAGAGAGAGAGAGACAGAGGGAGAGAGCGCGGGGTGCAAAGTTGTTTGGCATGGCTCTTTGCTAATAGCAATTAGCGAGTGGGAATCGCTGCTCTTTCGACTACCCAGGCACTTTTCCTACATTTTATTGTGCAGCATAAGTTTGAGTAGGAAAATAAACTTTTCCATCGCCCACCTGACCGAGAGAGTAAAGTTGAAACAAGTTTAAAGTTCAGAACTGCAAAGCATCGACCAATGATTGATTTCTTTCGGTCAACAATCAGCTATTTCCATGCAGATGCAGAAAAGTTTTCACCCCAAACCACCTCCCTGGAACAAGTTAGGAATTATAGTGCTACAGTTTCAAAGCCGATAAAAATAAACAAGAAAACAAAAGCAGATGTAGACTGAAAAGCTAGCAAAAGACAGCTCAGAACTAAATTAGCAAAAAGAGCAAGCAAACTGTGAACTTAATGCACTTGACAGCTTCTACCCAGAAGAAAAGATACACACACACACACAGATAGCATGTCTTCCTTTCTACTCGAGTTAATGTAATTGTAAAAATTTTTAATTAAAATGTAGATTCTGCCCGAGGGCCGAAACAACATACAGGGAAAAACAATGAAAAGCCACAGGAAAATCCAGACAAGCAACCCATCCACCCGTTCACACATATAATTTCGATATTTAATTTTAACTTTTTGTTCGAGTGGCAGAGGCAGAGGCATTGGCAATGGCAGTGGCTGTGCGGTTGAAATACCTCAACATGGATGACCAATCAAAGGTGGGTGCCACACATTTGGCATTTGACCCGCAGCCAATCAATAAGTCACATGTCCAAAGTAGAGTTCGATATATATGTTAACCCCACGGACATTTGCTTAATTAAGGGCTCAGACGTTTATCGGAGAGGAAAGCCCTCAGGCACTGACGATTCTCAGCTCTGATTCTGGATATGAAGTTTCAGTGAAGTCAGTCAAGTCGAATCTAGCGATAGACAGCTGCGTCGACAACTTTGCCAATCACTTTTTTTGGCCAAGGGTGGGAAAGTAAATACAGAGAAAGAGAGAATAGTTTCCTTAAACCACATGAAAATTGATACGTGAGACAGGAAAATAAGACAGCATAATAAGGCCCAGGTTTAAGACTACTTTTCCATTTCCAATTTCCGAAACTTATTGAATATATATTGACTGGTTTCCCCCAGTGTATAGCCTTCATAATTTATGACACGCACACATTCAATCGAAAGGGAGATGGATATGCCTCGAGGGAATCGGCTGCTGGATGCTCACCTCGTATATGTCAATGCCATGGCTGAGTGACCAGGAAGTCTGAAAGTAGTCTTCGATGCGCTGCTTCAGCTCCTTGGGCATCTGTAATGAAGAGATCATAAATTATAATTGCATTCGCTTTGCTTCAGTTTTTTCCCCTTTATTCCCCCTATTTTTTCCCTCTTTTTACCATCTTAGCGTTTAATGAGCTGCGATGCGCGCTACTTTCACTTCATTTGCATGCATTTCGCGGTTGAGAGCCGCACAAATGCGCTTAATTGTGCAGCGCATTGCGTATGCGACGTGGGTGCAGCTCATTGCGTATACGCCGCGTGCGCTGCCTAATGGTGCGACCCTCAAGCTTTAGCCCCGCATATCAACAGGTTGCAGGCCAGGCAAACACGATGCCCTAGTATATGCTAGAATCAGCAATTCATGCCCTTGAGCCACCATTTCCGTTCCATTTTCCATTTCCTGCCCAGCGTTGCGTGGCATATGGAAAATGTGCGCTGCATTCTAATAAAACCCATCGAGTGCCACTTCTCTAAGGTCCTTTCCATAAAAAAGGGGTTCATTTATTTCCCGATCCCCTGCGGTCGCTGCAAATCTCAATTCCATACTCTCTATCATCAATACTCACATTGTGCAGGGCCACAAAGTCCTTTAGGTCGCGCCATTTGCTCTCATATAGCGAACGACGGGAGTACATCCTTTGGATGATGGCAGTCACGTTACCGAAGACCACGGCATGCATCAGAGCTGGGTAATGAAATGGATACGATATGTCATTAAATCTGAAGAAGGTAGGCCAAAAAAAAGCAATAACAGCCATGAACTCGGCTCGGGATGTTATTTTTCAGGCCGCAGTTTTCATTATTTTGATAATAGCCTCATATTTTAGACTCTAGTTCCTGGTTATGATATGGAATTGCCCTGAAATTAATTAACTTTAAGGGGCTTTAATGGGAGAAAAACATTATAATGGGACTTCTGATTCAAACCTGCTTTTTAATTTCTTTACTTTAGGTATTTATATATCACTTCTTACTGAAACATACTTTGTAAATAGAATAAGCTTTAAAATTACTTTATTTAAACTAATACTAAAGCAGAATATTTCTTAGAAGCTAAGCTATTTAGGTAAACAAACTCGTAAAACTGAAGCCATAAACTCCACGAGGCACAGTTCCCAACCATTTTCCTGCCATTCATGGAATGCCTTGCCCAAATACTTAACAGTCTTGGGATTAAAATTATGTATGTGTAGTTTTCCCGCATCTTTATAACAATATTTTACAGTTCAAACATTAAAGTACCCACCGCCAATGAGCATCATGATGATGGTGAAGACCTTTTCGGCCGTGGTGTTCGCCGAAACGTTGCCAAATCCCACGGATGTGAGACTGGTGAAGGTGAAGTAGAGGGCCGTGGAATACGTTTCCGCCGCGGTCAAAATGGCAACGGAAGCGTTTTTCCTTTCCGCCAAAAGCTGCAGCCAACCTGTGAAGAATACTTGAGGCATTTAATATGTGGGGAAGGCGAGAAGAGGGAACAGAGAAGAAAACTTGTTTAGTACGGCGTTTAATTACAATTTGCGGGCCAAACAAATTGGGCTTATCAAATTGACAATGACTTGGACTAACTTTTCCGACTACCGACTTTGTCAGTCTTTCTCTGTCAGTTGTTAGCTCAGCTCGTGCCAAAATCCTTGGCAAACTGTTTTCGACCGGTCCGGAAACGTCAAGAGAAACTTTTCGTGTCAGTCAAGCTTGAAAGATTTTTCCACCCACTGATTAAGTGCCAGAAAATATCATGACGCGAAACTTTTTTCCTCTCTCCATAGCAATATGTGTGTGTATAATCTATAGTATATACCACAAATGAGATGATTTGATTCGATTTGATGCAATGTTCGCTAATCCGTAACCAAACTTTAAACCCCGGGTAACACAATATTCATTAACCACACGTGTAGTGGGTGGTGGTTTGGGTGGCTTGTGGGTTATTCGGTTGCTTGGTTTTCGGTGATCCAGGTGATGGTGTACCCTTCCAGGATGGTGGCCCAAGGGAGGCGGAAAATTCAGTTAGCGTTCGACTATGCCCCGCCCTTCACTGTTGACTAACCAACTAACCAAATTACCTTTGGTACACACTCTCAAATCTCAGCCACATCCACACAGTTGTGGTCAATATGATAGCATTGGTAATCAAAAATTTATTATTGACTTAAACCTATTGTCAGTTTGCAATTGTTTGTGTCTCTTAGAAAGGTTAAGTTTTCTTTATGTGATTAAAAATATGGAGATTTGATACTTTGATACTTTTTTCAAAACAAACAAATTTAACATAAAACAGTCTAGTCGTGAGAATGAAGAACTTAATAAGATGTAAAAAGTTCAAAGGCTTTTTATAACTGGTTGCCTGAGCCATTGAGCTATCATTTTGACCCCACCTGTAGTTGTAATTGTAACTATGCGGGACCTTCAGCAAAGGTACATACTCACCGATGTTGCTTTCGGGGAACCACTCGTACTCCTTGACCGCTATCACATACCAGATGCAGGCCAGCCAATGGGCGGCCAGCGTGAAGGAGAACATCAGCAATGTTAGTATCATGGCCGTGTGTTGCGAGTATCGATCAATTTTTTGCAACAGACGAGCGAGCCGCAACAGACGCGTCAATTTCACAAGATGGATGTGCGATTCCTGGGCGAAAAAAAAAAAAACGTAACAAAATGCATAAAAAATATACATACGAGTAGGGCCAAACGACCCACTTCAAGGTTGTTAAAATGTAAACGAACAGTGGCGAAATGCCACGCCTCTTTCGCGTTTCTGCACTGCCCATTAGTTTGGTTTTTTCCTACCGATTTTCCCTCATCTTGTCACAATTTTTCCTCATTTCGTCCACCGAACTTTTTGTTGCCCACTTTTCGGGGCATTCAAAAAGTACAATTTTGTTGCCTACTTTCCTGGGCATCTCAATTTTTTTTGTTATGTGCATTTTGACCAGGCTAAGGGTCCACACTAAAAGAAATCACAAAATTGACAACTTCCCAAGGCCCGCATGGCCGCGTCTAAAAAAAAGGGACGGAATCTGAAGAAAGGATGTCATCAAAAAATAAAAAGATGAAGTGGCGGATAAATAGGAGGTGGGTTAAAAGTCTAATGCAAACATAAACAAGCTTATCGGAGGGCCTGACCCGGCCATAGAACTTGAGTAAATTGAAGGCTAATGCCATCGTTTAACCTTAGATGGAAATTTTTATTTCTCTTTCGTGATTGCCGCTGACGAAGCGTTGTCGTCAAAAAACACAGCCTCGAGGTACACAGAAAAAATTACAAAAAGCGGAAATTGTAATTTTTTGTTTAGGAAAATAAGATATTTAAAAATTATTCTTAATTTTAAGTTTAAAAATATTTAAGAACTACCTTTGGCAAGGCAAAAGCAAAAGAATGAATACATTTCCTTCGGTATTCTCGAAAATTCAATTTACACTCTTGAAGGACAAAAAATTGATGAAAAGGTAACAACGTGTTGGTAAGAATAGGTGGGCGAAGACTTACAAACAGTTTAGCTTGGGCGTTTAGGTAGAGCGTCCATAGACAGACAGCTACGGCCTCGCTTCTTCTCTTTCATTTGCAGTCTGTACGCACTATTGCTCTAACAGTGCGGTACAAAACTATAAGGCACTAAAATTATAATTTTGAAATCAAATCTTCTAGCTTTAACTATTACTAAGGCCTTTTTTGTATTTTAAAATATTTTTTTTTTATTAAAATAAATTACACTTATAACACGCACTGTATAAATGCGTAGGTTTTCTGTCTACATGATAGACAAAGATAGAAAAAAACAACATCAAGGGGAATTGTAATTCTTGTTGCAATTTGTGCTGCGCTTTCACTTTCATTCTTAGCTTTCCACTCCCATGATTTGGCGCCCACACCCACTCCCCCTAAACACTGTCTCTTTCTTTGCTAAAGTTTTCCGCTGCCTCACGCTCTCTTTGTTTACTTTTCACTTTGTGCAAACAGCGACAGCGACAACATCAGCACGGCAACAACATCATCGTCCACAGCAGCAACAGCTTGGCGAGAAAAGAGGAGGAAACTTCCTTGAATTCAACTTCCTCAGAATTTCTCCCAGTGACTGACGGCCTTTTTGGGGTCTCAAAGATAATTAAAACTTTGGAATAAACTAAATATGCAAAAGTTTCAAGTGCATTAGCTCAAATTGTATGCAAAGCGAGCAAAAGTCTAAAATAAATATCAAAGTGTATAAAAATGTAAAAGTTTAAGCCCCAAATACATTCATAAATGACTTTTGGCCAAGTTTTCCGTTGCTTTGGCGAGTGTTACAAATTCTTACAATTAGAGAACATTAAAGTTTTATCGAAACTTTCTGTTTCAGCAGCTTAGCGCACACGCCTCTGATTTGACATAAAGACGGAGGAAAAAAAGAAGCGAACTTTCTCTGTCTGGCCCTGAATGTGGCTAAAATTTCCTGGAGCGGAAGTCACTGAGAGTGGGGGAGTAAGGCAGCTTGCAAAGGCGCCTTTTATTTGATCAGTGTATCCAGCGGAAGTTGGAAAAGAAACAGCTAAGAGAAGAAAAAACCGCAGTATGATGACGGAGCGGTAAAAGAAAATCAATGAAACATGAGTTCGACCGAAATTAAGCTCAAATGATAATCCCACAGGGAAAAGTCCTTACAATAAATCAACGGCAGCTATAGAGAAATTTTACTTGTACTTCTAGGAAATAATATAATATTGATTATTGTTTTTTAAATATAAATCAACAAGGAATTGTTAGGTGAACTTGAAGTATTAGTATGCCCAAAAATAATATTTAACTAAACTCTAAAAATACTTTTAGATCGCCTATGTAAAGGCCTATTATTTTATTTATATTTCAAACCCAACCACTTTGCTAAACGTATTTATAGACCCTTGTAAGTAAATCTTAAGTTTTATGTACAATTATCATTAAGTTTTAATCGCCTAATGCTTTTATTAAGTTTCCTTAGCAAAACCCTACTGTAATGGCATTTGTGTAGAACGGAGAGGATATCCTTGGACTGTCAATAAAGGCGACGACAGCGTTCTCCAATCAGTGCGCTGACCACTTCACAGGACGAGAGGAGGTTGTTGTGGCAGAAGAAGCAACGAGAGCAACGAGCCAAGTGAAAGCTGAATAACATAAGACCGTTAGAGAAGGACTACGCCATTGTCCTGCGACGACCGCTGGAGGGTCTTTACTCCTTGGAACCACCGGACGGTGGCCAATGTCATCATAACTGCACTTAAGGCTTTAATAACGAGTCAGCGAGGCAGCGAGGCAGCTGCAGGACCAAACTGACACACTTTTTTCGGGATTTAAAATTTGGTAAAGCTCTTATTTTTGCTGCACATTTGGGTCACAACCTTGTCGTAGTCGTGGGCGGACCGCCTACTTAGCTCGTAATTAAAACGCGGACCAGCCGGAACACTCAGTCGGCGGTGCTTTGGCCAATGTAATCGGCTTAATGAGCGTCAACTGCTCTCCAAAGGGGTCAAGTGCTGAGCTGGCCTTTTGTGCCCGAAAGTTGTCTAAAAACGCCAGCTTAAAATATTTGCTATGTACTCGTTATTTCGGTTTCGAAAAGAGGACTTTAAGTAAGTAATTTTTGGCTGAACAAGTTGGCTTGTTTAATGATAAACAGAGAGATATAAACTATCTAGGAAATTAAATAAACTCTAGTTTAAGGCAAAGCTTAAATTCTGTCCTTTCCCCACATAACAAACCCTAATCGTTTAACAAAGGAAAATGAATTCAAAATTTTCCGCCCCAACTGCACATTTGTGTATAATCCGATTAAGTGGCCCAACGGAAAACTGTGAACTTTGAATATGCATAATGCATGCGACCAAAATAGTTTTATGCAAATCTCTTAAGGCCATTTACCACTTGAAATTTCGACCATAAATGATTAATGCCAAGCCCCAGAGTAAAACCGCAAGGGGATTTAACAAATTGGCTGGCGGCCCTAACAATTTGTTGGAAAATTCTACAGAAAATAGTTTAATGGCCAGCAAAAGTAATACATCATTCCTGAAATCCCTTAAATTTTTAGAAATTCCTCTAGCAAAATGCAAATCTAACCTTAATAATTCAGGACTTGTTGGGTAAATTTATGCAATCGTCGTCGGTTGTAAATACCGATTACTCACCTCACCGTCGTACAAATCGGAGGCATACAGGTGATCAAAGGGCAGAGCGGCCAGCAGGTCCAGGGCGAACCATCCACGGAAGTAATTGATGGCAATCTGCTTCGAATTGGAGACAACCTCGCCCTTGCGCGACACGAAGGTGGTACGGAAGTTTAGCAGAATATCTACAATAAAACGGCAATAAAGGTGAGCGGTGAAACAATGTTTACAATGCCAGCAACGAGACAAATTCAATTCCCATTCCTCCGCCCCTTAGTCTACTCCCCCAATCCTCAACAGATGAGAATGATGATGATGATGATGATTGTGGCTATGGCTTCCACAGGTGGCCCATAAAGGGGACACCAATTGATGTCCATTTTGCGGAAGAATGGGTTATAAACTTGTACGGTTATGTTGAATATTCAGGTGGGTGTATCTATTAAAGTCGTTTAAGAGGTTTCAGTTTTTAGTTTAGTTTATAGAAAAACTGATGTTTAATGTAAGAAATATATTTTTTATATATTTTATTAAGTTTTTAAATTGGTTTTTAGGCCACTCTTTAAGTATTTTTTAAGACTTTGTCTCATTAAATATTGTTAGAATGTTTTAATTACAAACTTTAAATTTTCATTAGCTAATTGCTCTTTTCTATAAAACTTTTTACTTACAAGTGTAATTTTTTCTAACTTTTAATCTAGCAAAAACTAAATCCTTTTCCATCTCTATTTTACACTCTGTTTCCACTCACCTACAATGAAAAGAGCCTCCACAATTACATCCGATACCTTTGTCTGGCGATCCGCTTTAGCAAATGCGGCATTGTAGGGCACCATTAGGGCAACGTAGAAGGTGGCCACCAGTATCACCCAGTCCCAGATGCCCTTGAACACCCCGTAATGGGGCAGAATCAAGCGTGACTTTTTTATCGACTGGGTTTTGTACTCCGGAAACGGCGCCTCCGTTGAATGCATAAAATTCTGCAAAATAGATTGCGGGCAGGCAATAGCATGAAATGAAATCCGGTAGAAAACATGAAAAGTGAATTAAATTAAGTGAACCTTTACAGCGATTAGTTGCCCAACCGTTTTTAATCATATTAATTGATGTTTTCAAATCCACCTGAAATTCCATCAACATTGCAACAATACATAAAGATTTTATTCGTTTTAATACGCAATTTAATTTAGCACATTTTGACTTTAACACTTTTAAAAGTGATTTGTCTCATATTTTTAATTTATTCTGCCGTAACTAAAATTTACGTGTTTTGCTTTCATATACTGATTAATTAAGAATATATTTAAGGTTAAGCTTTTTTAAAACTGTAAATAGAAGTAACCATCACTTTTATCTTACGGAAATAGCTTTTAATATTAATAATCTGTGAATTTGGTACTTAAGTCTATAGATTTTGATTTTTAAAAAAATGAACGACCAAAATATTAGGTTGTCAAAAAAGTCTTGCGGTATTTTCGCTGGTTGGCGCTGAAGGCGCGTAGTTCTTTTTTTATTCGTCGCATCAGGTAATACTATACCTTTTTGGAAAGCTCATTTCACGCGCTAACACGTGTTTGATTAATTGTTATAGCGTCGCAATCATGGTGCAAAATAAAGAGAAAATACGGCATATTTTACAATAATACTACGATAAAGGCAAAAATTCATCTCAAGCCGCCAATAAAATGTGTGCAGTTTATGGACCCGATACAGTTCCTATTTCCATCGCACAACGATGGTATCAACGTTTTCGATCTGGTGTAGAGGTGGTCGAAGATGCACCACGCTCCAAGTTTTCTGCCAATAGGGAAGCGAGCTTCTATGAGAGGGGCATTATGAAGTTGACATCTCGTTGGAATGCGTCATCGAACAAAACGCATTATTGTAACCAATTTTATACCGCAAGACTTTTTTGACAACCTAATATTAGATTTTTTCGTTTATCCCGTTTTCCGCCTAAAAATGTCATTATTTTGACCATAACAAAGGTTCAAGATGGTCGAAACCGAAATGTTTCCCACCTTGTAATCTACATTTTATACCATTTTCCAAAAATTTTGTTGATGTTACCCCTTATCGAAAATGCGAAAATTGGTTATCTCAAATGTTCTCCTCTAAATGAAAGTATAATGCCCATATCTCTGCCTATAATGGTCAGAATATGGAATGCCATACCTCGTCGAGTTTGTTTCCTAATCCCTGACAGAACTGCATTCACATTTTCAAATGTCAAATTTTGGGCCATTTTTCGCAAAAAAAGATGATGGTACTCCTTATCGAAAATGCGAGAACTGGATATCTCAGATTTTCTCCTAAAAATTACAATGTTATGTCCATAAATTGGCCAATAATGGTCCGAATACAAAATGCCATACCTCGTCGAGTTTGTTTTCTTATACCTAGTCGCACTGTATTCAAACCTCAAAAAGTATTTTTTTCAAAACTTGTTTAAAAATGCGAAAAATGCCCAAAAATTGTATTTGGAAAATCAGCCAAAAAAGGCTTTTTTGGTTTCAACTCGTTTTCGGTCCACAAAAAGCACTTTAAAAATCAGCTTTTAAAATTTAAATTAAACTTGACGTGAGGCAAAACAACGGTTTGTGTTCCCTCTCCCCATGTAGTGGCTAACCCAGGAAGAACCATTTGTTTTCCCATACCTCCTAGGCTATACTCACATTTCCCAGTTTCAACTTGGTTTTGACACCACCCTTTTCCGGCTTGTAGTGTCCGGATAGCTGGTAGAGGACAGCTCTACTCCGCCGGCGGCCCATATTACAGCCGGCGGGAACATCCAGGTTGTTGCCCTCTCCGGCCTCCGCGTCACCATCACTAGCCGCCGGTCCACCCAGACCGGGCAGTCCGCCCAGGCCCAGCATTCCGGCATTTGAGCCGGCCCGGAACCGCGCGCCCAAAAGGGCAGCTGTAAGGGCAAAAACTTACAGAGTCGCAACAAAAAAATGCGCAAACCAAATCAGGCAGTGGGATGGTTAATTAAAGGATGGGTTTGGGGTATTTTTCGGTTTATAATTACAATGATTTACCGGATCGGTGTGTTATATATATATATATATGTATATATATATGTAATAGAAAGAGCACAAAGAGAAAGAACACATAAAATTGTACACATAAGACATTGTGAATTAATTGGCATGGTTAGTTTTAAGGGTTTTGTTCTTTTGGTTTTTATTTAGGTTCATCTTAGTTAGAAGAGTTTTTTTTTTGGTTTAAGATATAAATTTTTAAAGCGTCACAAAATGCAGGTGTGTGTGTGTGTTTGTGTGCGTGCACTTCCCCCAGTTGAAAACATTTTCTGGAAAATTTGGTCGACTTTCCGACAAGTTAAATAAAGCTTTTCTTCTTAAATGCCTTGGCTCCGTTTATTATTTTTGCTTAGTTTTATTTGAGCAGCTTAGTTGGGGAAAGATGAAAATTCAACTTTTCCAGATGGTGTTAGCTTTGGCGCATTAGTTAAACAAAGTTTTCTTTCTAAATGCTTGGTTTTCTTTATTATTTCTGATGGGATTTTATTTGAGAAAGTTTTCTAGTGCAATGACAAAATTGCTTAACATGTTTTTTGAGACATTAACTGTGATTTTACCTCATTTTAATTTATATAATATTACAAAATTCTGCATTAAAACCTTCCCATTGCCAGACAATTAATAATCCTCCTTCGATGGCTGACAAATATTGGCCTAGCTTGGGTCACCTCAACAAATCAGGCGAATAAACATCATATTTCACAGCCTCGCAAACAAAAACTCGATAAGATTTTCCCACCCACTAAGTCTCCTATATTTGGCACTGCAAAAGGCCATTAAATTGAGCTTAATTCTATTTCTATGTGGCGTCTCAAGAGGACCTGGCAAGCTATAAATAACAATTAGCTGGATGGTGAAAAATGGACCCAAAAACGAACTTGATACGTTTCCCACTCCTAGAGCTTACTAATTATATGGAAAAAAAAAGGAAAGGAACAGAAAATTATGCAAACAACCCCCAAGAAAGTGACCATTTTTGTTGGTGCTGTGGGGAGCAACCACCACAATTTGTCTGTTTTTCCTGTTTTTCATTTAATTTCTTTTCTACCAAAATATGATTTCAATTTTAAGACCCAGAACCCACGTAAAATCCAGTTTGACTCCGGTGCTGTCATATCAAAATGCCAATTAAGTCGGGACCGCCACCTCATATATATATATATATTGTATCCGTAACCAAGCAACAGCCGTCGAATATATAAAAAAAGGTCAGAGAAAAAAATTAAAGATAAAAAAGTATCTCAGTTTACGCTCCACGCATACAAAAATGTTTTTTACCATTGCTGGCAGAGGAAAAGAGGAGAAAAAAAAGGTGGAATACTTTAACAAAATATGCACAACTCATTCGGGGATTGGGGACAGGGAAATGGGAGGGGGAAAATTCAGTGACAGGCCTAATGATGTGTGAAACGATGGTCATCATCCCATAACTGTCACAATGCGATAACGATTATGATGGCGCCGCGCCGATGATAATTTCATTTCAAATCCGACTCATCAAAACCCGCTTTATCACAAATTTTGAAAATTGCTCGCCTAATTACCTTTCCACCCACACACTTTCCTTTCGGCCTTTGTCACAGTATTAATTTTCCATTTACCAGCCGGGATCGTCACTTCAATTTTCCAGTCAGCTTGTTTCAAGTTTGGAAATTGGTTTTGCCAAGGTTGGTTTGGCTCGGACTTAATTTGATTTACATAAATTAACGAAAAATTGAATCAAGCTCAGCCGCTGCTTTGGTTTCAGTATACATTAATTCGATATAAACTGCATTTTGGCCAACGTTTGTTTCCTTCCCTGAAACTCACAATGCCCAATGGCCAATGGCCAAGGTAATGAAATTCATTACCGAATGTTGGCCCTCGTGTAAATGTGTGTCTATCTAACATAATTACATGACAGAAGCCCTCAACAGCAGATTGGCGATAAGTACGTGTTGCCAGTGCAATCGGTATTTGTTGCACATGCCATCTGGTTGGGCAACGTGCAACATCTGCCAGGCATTGGGTGAGAATTTCGATTCCCTGTTGGGGGATAGCTATTGGGGTATATTGAGTGGGAGAAGTAAGAAGTATTTAACATAAAATACTAAATTACATTTTTAAAGTTTTAATCTGGAAATATTCCATTACTATTTCAAAAAATATTAAGAATTTTTAAGGAAACTAGTAAGTTGACACCCAAAATCAAAGCCATTGAGTCCGCACCAAAACGCCAGCCCTTAAAAGGCAATCTTCCCTTTCCCATCCTGATTTAAGGTCCCATCAATGCCATCAGCACTAAATAATTTCAAGCTCCATTGCCAGCTGATAGTTCAGAGGGCTGTCTGCCTGACAGTGCAGCAAATCCTCTTAGGATTCTCCTGGTCGAACTTCAAGTGGCTTCTGCCTGGTTTTGCATGGCCCGTAAATCTACAGGCCAGAAGACAGTATAACACAAAGACAGACGGCAACAACAGATGAATAACGATGGTAATAAAGCTGCAAAGGTCAAAAGGGTGAGCTGAGAGGGCACTGTTTTTTATCCTTGCATTAAGAGAATTCCTCGGCGACACACACACAAACACTCACATGCGATCCAACGAGGACAGAGCTAAAAGTGCCAGGAATAAGTTGTGATGCTGTCAGGACAGTTCGAGTGATGCATCAATATTTCAGGATCCTCTGGGAGCCACGTGTGCTCGCCGTGGTGTGTCCAACTTTTTTGTCTGATTAATCCGGTGAATTAGACAGAGAGCATACTTGATGCGGCTCAAACTGGAAAAGTACTTCAGATAACAAAAGGCATTCGACACGGGTTAATTAAGGTGAATGCGTTAACTGAACTCCCGGGGAAATGTCGAGACTAATATAAAAGTTTAATCGACCTTCTCGGTCATTACCCAAACTGCTAATATTTAATGCTACTCAATTGCAATTATTATGATAACGAATTCATTAAGTTTTAAGCTCAATTCTGGCCGTCCTGGATTATGGCCACAAATCAGTGTTGGTATGACGAAAACTGCGCGTGAAAAACGAGATTTAAATTAACGTTGAAATATGGTAAGCATACATCCAGTTGTCAGGGACACGCTCTGGTGAGAAAAAAGGGGGGAAAAACGGATGAAAAGTCGGCAAGGAACTCAAAGGAGCGACCGCAGCCAGCCGGAGAAACTTCCTTCCCCTTTTTCACAGCCAGGAAGCTAACCAAAAACTCCCTCTCTCTCTCTCTTCGCCTCTCTCTCTGCCAAGTCCAAGCCAAACCAAAAGTTTCACAGAACTTTATAGGAATATTTCTGGCCGAGAGTTGAGGTGACATGCTGACATTGCTCGAAAAAGGTGGCAATAACTGAGTTTTAATGACTCCTGACTGAGGGATACTCTGCCCAGAGATTTATAGTCGCAGTTTAATTTGGAAATTATCTAATTTGCTGAACAGCAAAAGTGTTAATTTATGTCATAAACTTTGTTAGTAATGGGTTTTAAAGTAGTCTTTGTACTGGGAAAAGTTCTATTAAAGCCTAGGAAAGTCTTAGTTTTGATTAAAAGTTAAGAAATATTCTAAAAGTGATGGGAAATGACAAATTAAATCCTACTTTAAATTTGAGAGAAACTTTCTATCAAAGAAAAGCTTAAATTTTCTCTTAATTTTTTTCGTAATTTAAACTATTAATAAAAATACCTTAAAAAATAAACACTTTTACTTAATATTCAAATTGAAGTAACGTTTTCCTTTAAAGTTCCCTTTCGTTTACGGCCAAAACTCTCCCTTACATCACTATAAGCTCTCCTATTTCCTTCCCATTACAGGGTATATTTTGGCATTTTCATCCGCAGATCTGCCGCAGACACATTGGGGTTATGTCACAATATTTTAGTGGTCTTTGGAGACTGGGATCTAACCAATTCACAATATTTTCTGGCTAACTCAGCAGAGCTGAGGGAATGCAACAGTGTCAGTGTGTTTGTGCTTATGTATTGGTGCTTATTAATTCATTATTTCTGGGAAATCAACGTGTAAGTGTGTGAGTGTGGTAAGTTGGGTGTTTTTGTGTGGCTTTTTGTGCACGCTTGGATTTTCATTAGTTGGTTTTTTAGCTAGTGCATTATTTATAGCAGTTGCTTAGCTTTTTGGTGGGCAGTCTGTGTGTGTGTGTGTGTGTGCGTGGGAGTAGGTGTATACTTACCGCTATCACATTCCTCGTTCACATTCATTTCAAGCATCTTGGTGTGCGTGATGTCCTTGTGGGAGGCCAAAAAGAGCACCACATCCCGCTTCTCGTTCTTGATGGGCACAATATCGAAAAGGCACCAAAACGGGGCACCTGCAATGGGTTTTAGCCAGCGTTTTAATCAACGGCACAGAGAAAATGAAATTCTACAGCATCGCGCATACGCCACGTGGCCTGCGGTCGCTTAGCTCAATATTTGGCCTTGCCGCTGTATGCTCATCGTGGCATTGATTTTCATTTGCGGCTGCATAATTGAAACCTTATCGATGAGAACTCAACTTTCAAAGCATCAGAAAACCAACAAAATACAGAAGGCTAGCTGAGCTTTGGTCTAAAATTGTAATTAGCTGTTAAACGCTTTAAAAACGTTGGAGGAAAATGATGTGGCTTGAAATTGATAAATAAATTGCATGGCAATTCAATTAGACCGCAATTATTGTCCCGGCCTGCATTTTAATTATCTTCCGCTAATTACACGCCCAGCCCGAGGTCAACCAGATCCCGTTCACCCTTAGTCTGTCGCAGCCAATGCATAATTAATAAAACATAGCCCCGGCTATGTTGGCACACACACACACGCACGAGAAAAGAATGCCCAGGGGTTGGTAAAGAGGTGGTGTACACTGGGAGAAATCAAGTACTTCTAAGGCTAAGAAGGAATCTCTCCACAGTGTTTACTTTTTAAACTTTCGGCTCTGATCATCATCTTTTCATCTTTCAGCTTTCTGATTTAAGTTTAACAATGGGAATATTTTTATCACTGTAAACACATTCTCCTCTCTTGCCACTAGTTAAAACTTTTAAACGCTTTGCTAATTAGGAAACTTACACTCAAAGTTGATGGATCTATCCATCTTGAGCTTATCGCCTCTGTCGGGCTTTGTCTTGATTAATCGTGACCTCATTAGGACTACAAAATACCGCGGCCAGGACGTGCGAAAATGTTAAGAGCACAATTTATTGTACGACCAGCCCAGTGGCATGTCAACGAGCCGTGGCTATATTGTAAGGATATAAAGATGGTTGGGTATGGTTGTTGCTTGGCTGTATCCTGCGAGACTTGAACATGAACATGAAACCCCCGGAGAACCGCAGGAAACTAGTTCAAGTCTGTCGCGCTTAACTCAATCAAGAACAGTTCCCCTCCCCCAAAATTTCCACAAAAACAAGAAGAACGTTGCCACAGACTTCAGTTATAACTCAACGGTGGTTGCCTTTCGGAAAACTCTGCAGGTGCACAACCACAATTGATTGGCAACTTTTCATCCTTGTTGTGGTACACGACATTTTTGTCATCACATGCACAGCCATAGAAAAGCAATAATACTCCCTTTTATGTGCCAAAGAAAAGCTGTCCAAAAATGTTCGTTGAAATAGTGAGACAATAGCAGATGGAAGCTACTCAGCGTATGTCAAAGGCACTCTGAAGGAAATTAAAAGCTCCAGAAATAATCCTTTCTGCATTGGCCTTGTGAAATTGTCCATTACTGATGTTCATAAAGTTGCAAGGACAGGATTAGCAGAGAATTGGAGAAACTTCATTGGAAACTAACTAAGTTTTTGCCTGCTAAAAGTTGTTTGTTATATTATTTATATGAATTTTTGATAATTTTTGTTTAAGCTGCGGCTTTTCTTAGTATGTAAAAAGTTTCTTAAACCAGAAAAATATTTAATTTGCATATTAAATACAACAAATTCATTTATAAACTTGTTAAATTTTGCTTTTTAAGCTTAGAAAATAGCTCTGTTTATGTTTTCCTACATATGATGTCCTTTAACTTTAGCAAAATAAAGATAATTCCATTTTCCTCAACCCCTGCTAATCAAGATCTAGATTTTTAACGATGTCTCGACCAACTACTTAAACCTAGCAAGTTCTTTATCCCAAGACCATTGCCAACCACAAGCCCAGAAATAATTTCCTTTCTGTAAATTCACGCCCCCCAAAATAATTTTCATGAAAATTTTTAATTAAAAAAGAAGGCGGCAAAAACAAAACAATTTTCACAGCATTCCCGCTTACCTTCCTTCTTGTAGAAAATAACCTCCAGTTTCAGTTCCATCTTATTGGAGAGACTTTTCTCAATTTGCTGTTTGTGCTCCTCCTTCGTATCCGGTCCGTAAAGGAAATGACATGAGCAGCCTGTTTCGTGTACGCCGGAATTTTCAACCCAGAGTTTGAGTTTGAGTTTGTATTTGTGTTTGTTTTCGTTTGCAATTGAATAAAATGGCAGAATACATTGAAATGAGTATTCAAGTGTTAAATAAGTTGAGTCTGTCCGAAGCATCGGTTGAGTCTGTCCTTACCCTTTTGCATAATTTGCGCGCGTGAATATCCTGTCAAATCCACGAACCCATCCGAGCAATAAACAATTGGATTGCCATTTGCCTGCGCATTGCCGAGCACAAAGTTCGAGTCTGAAATGTGGTAGGAGGTGGAAAAGTTCGGATGAGCTGTTGGTTTTGGCGAAAGGAGGGAAAACTCAGCGAACAACAATGAGAAAATGTACATAGTTTGGGGCACGGAAAATGGCAATGGGGATGGGTGATGGTGAAGGATGATGTTCAGCTGCTTTTCATTTGCCATGAAATATTGTCCCGACAAACAACGGTAATAAGACAAGTCCTGCTGTGTGTCCTTTTCAGTGGAGAGAAGAAGAAATAAGACAGACGGACTCAAGTTGGCTGTAGCCTTAAAATGCACATACATTTCCATATTCCATCCGTATCTACCAAGTTCTTTGGCAATTTACTTTAATTAAAGCACTTATTGATATGAATATAATTGAGATGTTATCTCTTTAAAAATAAAATATATTTTCATATTTCATTTCCCTTAAAGACCAATCCCATACCATTACGAGCTTAACCTTTCCCTTTGCCTGGCTTTGCCACTTTGCACTTGACCTTCATGTCTGGGACACGCTGCTGAATGTATTTTTATTGTTTGGGCAAGCGTAGAAATAAACAAAAAATCTTAACAGCATTTAATTAAATTTTCTGGCCAAGTTCGCTGCAGGAAATGAAATTCTTATGTTCGTGGGAAAATCCCAGTCGCAGGATATCTCTGCCAAAAAAAAGGGTATTACTTTCTAGGCTATTCGTATTTATTTTTAGCATTTGCAAGAAACACAATTCAATAAGAGCTAGCTTCTGGCAGTTTCCTCTTTATTTACCTTTTCAATGCAATTTCATAAATAGAAATAGAAAGCACTCGCACATCCTGGCAAGCACATCCCTTCCTGTAACCGAACCGCCATGAATAGAACCAGAAAGATCGTAATTGCCGACACAATGGACAGATTATATGGAATGATATACGTGTGACTGTATGTGTAGTATAGCAAGAGCAGAAGCAAGGATGTGGATGCAACAAATTGAATTGAAAGACAAGCCATCTGAATGGCAGCTCAGAATGAAAACTCATATGGCAGACAATATAAAGTTAATCTGCATATGTGTGTATGTGTGGGTCTGTCTGTGTACTATAACAATATCAGAAAGTTTCATAGATATGTTCTAGAAAATGAAAAGTAATTGCAATAATCCCATTTATTAGCAATCAAGGCTGTTTATTGTCGCTGGAAAAGCGCCTGGGAAAGCGCCTCTTTCTCTTCATTGAAAATTTGTCGCCTTTCCCCCTTGACAGTTAAAGTTCAAATTGATTGTTAAATACTTTATGCTACAGCCACCGCAATAACCAACAAATTAAAAGCAAATTTACTTAATGTGCTGCATCAATAAAAAGTTCGGTGAAACTGCTGCGGTCGCATTAAGAATGAAAATGCACACAGGGGAAAAATCGAATTTAATTGTTTGCACTCCAATTAGTTGATGTAACAACTGCACTTAAATGGTAGTATATATATACAGTGTAAACAGTTTAATAGCTAACTTTTTATGGTAAATGAGACTTTGAGTGATGTCAAAAGTGTCGTGTTTTTGTATAGAATAATTAAGTTAGTTTGAGTGGATTTGGATTTAATTTTTGTTTAATATCTAAAAATTTGGAATATTTATATATTTTTTAGTTTTTATTACATTTAATTTAGTTGAAAAATGAATTCAATAACCTTAAAATATCTTCTTCGATCTTCTGTTCTTACCATTACATATTAACCCCATTAAAGTAGAATTTTCTTGACAGCAAAAAAGTTAACTAGTAATCTAATAGTTGCTCCACATTCCCCTCTCTCAGATATGTAACAAAATACAAAACACAGACATGTTTTAAGGAACAATCACTTGGCAACCGGAGGCGAAATCTCTTGCCGGATGCTTTTGTTGGAATTATTTGACTGCTGCCGGCAACATCCGTGCCGCACCATACCGCTCACACGCTCAACTGACTGACTCCTACTGACTGGCTCATTTAATATGCTTATTTTATTATTTATGCCTCGTAAAACCTTTTTAATCCCCCAGCCAACTGAGCATTTCATTTCGTGTTCAGAGTTTGTGACAACTCGTAAAGACAATTATCGCTCCCTATGTCCTTTTTGTGTGCGAAATAAAACAATTAATTTATATGATGGAAGGACTGACATGCTTGTATCCCGGAAGTACAGCCCCAGTAATGTCAGCACGTGTGTGTCCTGTCAGCGATTGTCATTGGCCAAAAAGGAAACGAGAAGTTGAGAAGGATTTTCCTTAACTACAGGCAAAGTAGTACACAGATTAAGGTCAGAATCAATCGATCGGAAAATGCAAACAAAATATGAAAATAAGCCAAAGCCACTTCTAAGATAACAAGTAATATGAGTTCTAGCCCAGAGAATCTAAAATTGCAAGAGAAGCAAATTATTGTTATTATTTTTTGCAAGGGGATGCATGGATTTTTCATATTTAAATTGAAACTTTTCAAATATTTATTTAAGATAAAGTAACTATAAAAAAAAACTTGTTATATATCAGAAAGAATGCTTTAAATTTAATCTTCTTTCTCTTTTCAGATCATTACATTTGAATACGCGGAAAATACGAAAAGAAAAATACCTCGGCAACCAAACAAGGCGCAGTTTAATTTACTGTAAAATATTTTTCCCTCAAAGGAATATATTTTTTAGGGCTTCCACGAGGCTTTTGTGTATTGAGTTTCGCGAAAAAAAATACAAATAATAATGTAAGGCCAAAAGTGGGCGTGTACGCACAGAAGCAGCAGCAGCAGCAGCAGCACATAGTTTTTAATTTCCCAGCACAGGGAGAGGCATTTTGCATGCTGGATGGGCAGATTTTCAATATGGATAAGGTCTTCCACACGCGCCCCGAAAAGTATACTATGTACATATAGAATAACGATTCGTGACCGGTCCTGGCAATTGTCCCTATGCGAGAGCACTTTACTGACATGCCCCCTCGTTCCCTGGTGTCCCCAGAATTAAGATAAAATGCACTGAGAAAAAATAAGGAAAAATATTAGTCCAAACTCTCAAAACAATCTCAAAACGAACGAAATAGAAACCCAAATTAAGATGATTTATTTTCCAATTTCATTTCTAAAACAAAATCTTTCTCTCAGTGCACAAAATAAAAGTAAACCCGGATGCTTATACTCGGAAATCTCTTATGCGTACTTTTTTACGAGTTGGCCAAAACGATGCCGGCATTTGGCTTATATGCCAGCTCGAGTCGCTCTCAATAAAAATGTGTCATAAATATTACATTACAAAAAAATCGTATATAAAACCAAGACTTGGACTGCTGCTGCTTGGAATCGCTTTGCATTAGCATTAGCATTTCACTTACGGGTGCCATCGAACCGTGTGGCGATTGTGTCCAGGAATGTGTTCTGGGGCGCTAGCAGCCCCTTGCGGGCTGGCATGGGAATGGTGGGGCCGGTGCGCCTCTTAAAGCGCGGCTTGGGGCGTGGCAATGCTGCAAGTGGAAAAGGGGAAGAAATACATTAATTTTATTGCCATTTTTTATATATATTTTTTTTTGCAGTTTTAGATCTGAGCGGGGACATTAAGTGGTGGACATAACTCGTGGATATATATAAAAGTCAGTCTTCTCTGGATATTTGATTAAATTTCTCGCTAATGGTCACAGTTTTCTTATTGGAAGTTTTCAGATTGATTACATTTATTATTATAATTTTCTTATCATTTTTAAGGTAAGCATTAATATTTTATTAACTCAGTAAAACAAAACTCAAACGAGATCAATTATTAATAGTTTTTAATTCAAAGTTCAGGCATTATATTAGAATTTCCCACAGTCTAAATTCCATAAATAAAACCAAATTCAAACTTTTGATTTGCCATACTTTGTACTACGTAAGCCTTCAAAAACAAAACCACTTTATTAAAACTAGCTCATTGGCTTGGAAAATCATTCACCAAATTACACAAAAGAACATTTTTTTCTGGTGTTCTCCAACCTTTTTTTATATTTAATAATTTCTTAATATTTATTTAATAAATAAAACCTAATTTTAGGTTGAAAAACTTGTTTAAGTTCAAGCTTTGTAATTTTTCCACAACATATTTTTCCACAAAACCAGTATCACTTTCAAGAGCCTCCACTGTATTTATATTAATTGGCTTTTTTCGATTTTTACCCATTGCATTGTTGGCTCTTCGACGGGCTTCCATTTGTTTTTATTTTCTCAGGCAACAGCGCATTGATATGAAAATATTTTGTTCGGAAACACTTTTTTCTCCTCATACAGCCAGTCGAACAATGGGAACTGAACTTAAATGGAAAACATTGCGAATCCATTTAACACGGAAGCGTCTGCCGGCCCCAGCAACAGCGGTATGTTGAGGTGTCTACATCAAAATCAACTGAGTTTTTCTTTTTTTTTTTTGGTTTCTGCCATCGAGTTGATATGCGTAATTTGTTTTTGCCCGCAGGTGCTGCTCACATTAATTTGCAGCAACAATAGGAGCGGTCAAACGGCGGCAACAAATAACCGCAACCGCAACAGTGACAGCTGTTGCTTTTCCACCGACGAAAAACTGGCAAAAAGTCAAATAATGATAAGAGTTCTTCGACGTCACTGGCAGTATGTTTGACTTGGGAAATGCCGCGGTAAAAAACTCATTTAGTAGGGGTATTCTGTTAATGGCAGTACCAAATGTTTCCCTTTTCAAAGTTTTAAATTATTTTGCTTTTTACTGGAAATATTTAGGCAGCCTAGCTCAGTGAGCTGTTAAGCTGTAATTGTTAGCAAAAGGTTCTCATTCCTATATACACCCTAACAACTTGGATTACTCCTCGCAACGTTTGATAACATTCCCTTTACACTGATAACGTTAAACCTTTATGGCCGCCTGCAGCCTTGTAACCATATCGGTTGGCTATCGAATGCAGTTCTGATGCTGATTAATATACCATTAGAAAGGGGGGCCTGTGAGTGCATCAAACCCACTCCAACTACCCGCTGAGATGGCGGAAAATGCACACACAAACATGAGGACACACACATTACTCGGATTGTACCGCAAAATTTTCATTTCCAACATTTCCGGCAAACAGCAGGTGGCTGGCAGCAGGCAGCATATGATTTCTCCAATCTGGTAAACCACGACATATGTATATATGCATACAGGCATAGACGCACACACACGAGTAAAACATGCATCTGTTGATGTTGATGTGTGTGCAATTTCCGTTTCCGCCTTATTCCACATGATTAGGCTGATGATACTTGGGTTTTCCTCTCGCTCAGTATGAGTTTTTCCTCAAAATGAAAAAAAAAGAGAAAGAGAAGAGAAAGATTTCCTTCGCCAAAAGTTATTTTTGCATGAAATAATCAATGCAAGTGTTGGTTTGTGGGGGGGCCAAATCAAAACTCAAAGTGTATTTCCAATTTCATAAATGCGCATAGCATATTTCCATTCAGCTGGCTGAAGTATGCAGGAAAATAGCCTTGTATATATGGTATTTTCATCTATCAGAAATACGTAAACAAGGTTGGATGCTGAACGAGGAAAAATAGATGTTTTTTATATAGAAAATATGTTTGTAAAATTGTAATGCAGATAGCAATTAAATGTTGTTTTGTTTTTGTTTTTTTGTTTTTGGCTTGCTCATTTCTGTTTTTGCTGGGAATTTGCACTGAAAATGCAGATAAGTAAAACACAAATTTTAATAACAAAAAACTATTAAACCAATGTTATTGAACAGCAGAAGCTTTTCTGCCATTTACATGGAAATGATAAATGTTTTTTGCAACTAACAAAACATCAACAAAGTCAAAAAACTCGTTCAAAAGAATTTTCCAATAATTTAAGTTATTTAACCACTTAAACCATTCACCTGTCCAGGCACTAAATAAGCTTAATCGAGTTCGAACAGCGGCTAAGAGGAAAAATGCCTTTCATTGGAAAAGCTTGTTATCGACAGACATTGAAAATTCCACGAAAAAGGTTTTAGTAAATGGTTCACTTCCTGCCCAACTTGCAGATATGTGAACAGACTATTTTGGCCGAAAAAGGAAATTATCTTTTGAGAAGATTAACAGCAAGAAAATAAATTCAAACACCCCCGAGGACAGCATCTGGGAATTTCCTCACGCCAAGGGTCCGGCGTTCATTTAAGCAAATTTGGCTTATTCAGAAGCAGAGCTACCTAATAACCACGTTAAGGCGAAATCGCCTTGTAAGAGGGCGAAACGAGTTTGGAATTTTTAATTCCGCCTGCCGCATGTGGTGTTGTTTTTTTTTTTCTTTTGAGGAGGAAAGAGAACTGCAGGAAAAGCGGCACGTGCCCCATAAAAAAAAGTACGAGGAAAAGCGAAAATATGCTTTTCTGGCCAGCCCACACATACACAAACACACACACTTGGCTGACCAATATAGGGGGGAAGGCAATGGCAAGGCACAGAAGGAAACTCAATTGCTCCAATTTTATTCATCGCATTTGCCACCTGGCCAGATGACTTACACAGGGAAATAACTTGGCAATAAGTTTGGATTATTTTAATTTTAAAATTTAAGGTTTTTATTATTTGATTTAAGTAAAGTGAAAGATCCAAAAAATTAAAGACCTTTGGGAAGTCTAAAAACCTTTTCGATGTCTTAAAAAAGAGTCCTAACATTACTTTCTTTTCTGAAACTCTTTTTATTGAAAGAACATTTTAAGAACAACATTTTAACATTTAACTTTACACATTTCTTTACAGTTTTCCAAACATTTTCCCTTGTGTAATACCCATATTAATCCTCGCCGGCACCATGTTTGTGAGATTTTCTGCGCTGCACTCTACTCTGGATAATTCCACGGATCAGCTTGTGTTGATTCACTACCAGGTCGAACCACAGATTCATATCTGATTCGAAATTAAAAGCTGGCATGGCAGCCATATCCGAACGGAATCCACGAATATAGTAAGGCACATCCTTGGGCCAAGGACAACGCTTGGGAATATTACTAAATTTATCCATATGCTTGCGGCCCAATTGGATAAAAGCGATTTGGTTTTTGTTCGATAGCAGACTGCAACCATCGATTCCGGAGAGATTGAACAGAGTGAAATCATCGCCAAGGCGACGTGGCAAGACAATTCTCATATTCACAAAGAACCTGACTACTGGCTTTTGGAATTGCAACTCAATGTTGAAGGTGGGCCGCTTGACACTCTTACTCAAACCGCATTTCAGGTGCGATAGCATCTGTTCGGGATCTTCACTGTAGCAAGTGCAGTTGGTAAAGATCATGTCAAAGTTGGACTGTAAAAATATATCTTTAAAAACTTCTGGATTTAACTATAAATATCCTTAAACATCACCTTGGCATTGGAATAATAAAAACTGGCAAAAATAAACAAAAGTAGCAAAGAGAACTTGCAATTCATAATGTTGCACGGAAAGCTCACGATTATGGAATAAAAATATTATTATTTTCCATGGTTAATTACGAGCTGCTCATTTAGTACAGGTTGTAATCCATTTGACTAATTACTCTCATTTATAATCCGCAACGTTTTTTGCTGGTCTGAAGCGTTAATTGACAAAGGTATTACAGGTGATTATGGAGATTATAAAACTAAACCAATTTATTTTTTGAACAATTTTCAATGCCCATTGGAAAGTTTAATTATAAATGAAGCTTTCTCTCCGGTCTTATGCCTGCCATAAATAATTAAGATACAAAGACATCTTCGGCGGCAAACACATCCTGTTCATTGTCTGTTAATTCATTGTTATTACTCATTATTATTATCATTGTAGTGAGACAAGCAAATGAGATTGTTCAGCTCAATAAACGCATTCAGTCAACTGTGCTTAAGTCTAGATTTACGCCTCTCTGTCATAACAATAATGATTGTTATACCAAACATTAGTCACGCACCAGAAGATTATGGTTTCGAATTTCCCATTTGGCCAATGCATTTTCGGCATTAACTCTAGTTGAATTGCATAATTGGAGTGGTTTTGTTCGGGCCATGCGGATGAGGGAGATGAAACCAAAACCTTTCGCAATGTGGATAGTCATTTGCCTCTGTTTGCTCCTTAATTGGAAATCAGAAACGGAGGCCAAGGTGCGTATGCGTAATGAAGAGGTTGGGTTTGTAGAGTGTACAGCAAATTTGCATTTCTCAGAATATTTTCGAGCTGCAAACGGATAATTTTACATGCACTAGCGAGGATGTGAATTCAAGGATACTCAAGGAGTTTCGCTGTGGCATCAGTAAAAGTGCCAAACGTCGTACTTGGCATATGGAATTTATGCTTAAAGAACCTATTGGGGAACATGAATTCTTCATGAAAATCGTTCTGCCACGCAGGAGTCCTTTGACGGAGTTTGTCCTCATCAATATGACCACCGATGGCTGTCATCTGTTGGCCAATCGCAATCAAGTGCCCCTGATGCGTTTGGGCCGCAGTGTCATGGAACGCTTTAGCAACTTTCCCAAACAGTGTCCTTTCAAGCCTGATGTACTGTACTACATCAGAGGATTTCGTCTGGATTTGAATCTCTTGCCGGCTGTGGATATGGAGACACCAGTTCACATCTCGCTTAGCTACCAGAGCAAGCAGCATGGTCTCAGGTGGATCAGCGGCTATCTGGTGGCGCGTGTTCAACGGATAAGCGACAAGAAGCGACCCAAGTAGCGGAAAGTATTAAAATCGCAAAAGTAACTGGCTACCTTGACAACTTCACAAAGTTTTCCCTAAAAAGAGGAAAAATATAAAATTTCTATATTTCATATGTGTGTAAAAACAGAGCAGACGAATGTAAATTCTACAGAAACAATTTTGGAATATGAAAAGCAAAAATATTTGTATATTTTCTTTTCTTATTTTGATTCCTAAAATGAAATCTGCCAAATGAGAAAAACCCCTCTTTAGGGGCACAAAAAATGAATGACAAATCTGCAGAGGTGAGCATATGGCCATGGAGTTAATATTGTAGAAAATCATCTGCCACCAGGTCTCTGTCTTCGTCTCTTTCTCCACGCCCTGTCTCCATCTCCTTCTCAAACCATTTTTCCATGACAGTTCAGCCAGATGATGTTGCCACTGTTGTTACAGTTGCTGCCGTTGCTACCTTTCCATTCACGGCAATTCTTTCCATGTCATTCCACAAATGTTGTTCAATTACCTGAGCTCAGACAGATGGAGTTACACTGAGAGAAAAGTTGGGCTATGATAAAGTAACTTACAAAGTTTGTATTAAATTATAAATCCTTTGTGAGATTTATTACTTGGTTAAACTTTCCTCTTAAGAAGCTAAGTTAAGTAAGAATTTAAGTTAAATTTTCTCTATCTTATTTTCTCTCAGTGCATGTACAGTAACATTGTGCCAGCAACTGGTTGAGTATGTTTGTATTTGAGTTTGTTCGACTGGCATTCGGCGCGACACAAACTGAACCAGCTGCCACAATTTGGCATTTGACAGATGACGAGACGGTGGGCAACTAATAACCCACCTACCCCCTCTCACACCTGTCTGGGACACAACAACAAAAAAAAAGGCGAAATGAAGTGAGAAATGTCGCCAGTTGATGATTTGTTACAGTTACCTAGTGGAACTGTTGCCGGTAAATGTAACTGAAAGGACTTCCGACGGGCCATGTGTTGCACTTGCCACAGGGTAACAGAGGCAACTTTGCTATCAACAATTGTCATCAGCAAAAAAGCCTCCAAGGGACAAATGATACAGTCAAGAGCTAAGAAATGAAACAACTTGGAAATACCCTTTAAGAGAGTTTCAAGATCTTGTTAATATAATTTTTAACGACCAAGTTTAGTTCAATCCATCAAAGTAGGTTAAACTTACATGTGTTGATTTTAGTATTTTAACTTAGTAAAAGTATTTTAAGGAGTAGAGAAAAAATTTAAGAAGATTATAATTACAAGCCCTAAATCAAATATTTCCATCATTTAGAAAATAACTTTCCTTTCTTAAAGTTCCTTTTCATTTAATACTTATTTCCCTTGTTGATGTTCCATTTCCCTAGGGTCATAGTTCACTCTCACCCTTTCCATTTTTCACTCTTACTCTTTCCATTCTCACCGCCTGTCACTTTCTCCCCATTTCTCTTTCTCTGTATCAGCTGGACGACTGCCTTTCAGGAATGAATTTTAATTAGATGTCAGGGATTTGCATGCATGTGTGTCTCATTACGAAGGAGTTTAGTAAAGTCGCCTGTCACTTGATTTGATGGCCAAAGAGATGCTGTTGCCAACATTGATTCTGGCTAAGAACCCGTCTCTGATGCGGTCCCAAGCTAATTAAGGCCAACTGTTAATTGGCCAAAATGTTGGTCGTCTGCCTGTCATCGGGCTTGGGAAATTTCTCTGGTTAATTTATGAAACTCTATCGGGACTTAATGGGTTATGGAAAATTCAGTAAAATTTGGAAAATTTTTCAAAAAAGAAGATAATAAATGCTAAACTTTTTTCAGATAAAACGACCATCAGCGACTAAATTCCAACCCTCTTCTCCAACCCACTGCAAAACCCCTCCCTCCCACATTAATGGAGCTGATAAGTTGCCAACAGATTAGAGCCATGAAATTTTAATCAATTTCGTGCCCAAGTGGGCAAACAATTGAAAGTGAAGCCACCTCGAAGTTTTGATAAAACCTTCCCTCAAATTCTTGCGGTTAGCCCACCAAAACTAATGTATAGTTTACAGAGTTTTCAAAGGGGTGGTGGGTAGGAGGAGGCGGAAGCATGTGTTTTTCAAGCTCGCCGCAGAGTGCTTAAGTTGAAATCCAAAAATTTAAGCCACCGACCGGGTAATTAACGGATACACCCACAATCCTTTTTATGGCCCAGGCTTTCGCCCATAAAACCATACAGAAAGAGTGCTTTGCGCCTTTCTACAAAGTTGCGTGGTTTTTAAGACTTGTTGGCCAAAGTTTTTCGGCCATTTTTTCCACCGGTAAGTGCAAACTTTTCACGTGTCTTGATGGTAAAGCTTTTGCCTTTGCTTTTGGTCTTTTCTTTCACGTTCTAATTCGATTCACACTGCCAAGTTCAGCAAATTAAATCTGGAAACCCTCCTTAGAGTTTCTCATGCACACACATACAGGGCCACACTTTATAATTAATTAAGGCAAGTTTGTCTTTTGGCCAGGAATCTGGAGCACATTTGCCATGGCTGTCGTTGAATATTCAATGAAAAATGACATTGCTGGGATAAATATTTGCGTGGAGCAAGCGAAAAAGTCAAGTGTTTTGTGGTTAAAGTCGACTTGGTAATGCTCTGTAAGATGAAATTATAAGAATTATAGATGAGAGATTATTATTTCTTTGATTTTTAATGGAAAACCAATTTATGTTTCAATGGAAATAGATAGATACCAGCATTATAACACATGGAAAGTTGATTATATATTTTCTAACATAATCTTACCTTCATAAAAAATCGGCTTAGGGTCTTCTAAAAAAATCGTAAAAAACAAATCTATGTAAGATTGTAAAACATCATCCCTCCCATAAAATGAGGGTATTTTCCTAGTACGTCAACTTCGGCAAACAAACTCGGGCATAAAAAGTCATTTTCATGTTGTTATGGCCAAAGTGCAGAAATTGTGAAAATTCATCTTTTCAATTTCCCTCATACCCTACTCCCCCACACTTTTATGCAAAACTTGCTTCAGTCGCTTGTTGTTGCTGTCAATTTCACAGATTAATGCGCAGACATTTCAACGCCGAAATTCAGCAGCAACATTTATTATTGACAATGGCCAAAAGTTTTGCCATTCGCTTTGCTCTCTGGCCAACGTCATTCCACTTCTCCTTCAACTGACCAAACGACAAAAATTGATTTACAGTTTAGATATTTTAATCATCAAAGCTCTCTCTTGGCTGTTAGTTCTTAGTTACAAGGCTTTGGCTATGCCCTTCTTCTTCCCTTTCCAAAAAATTAAATTTATGGGCCATGTCGAAGGAAGAGAAGTCTGCTTGCTGAACACAATTTATGGCCTGACATTGGGGCGGCGGGTGATAAAAGGAGGTGTGGCAGCCTGTTGAGTAAGTTTTCGGTGTTATTTCTATGCGAATAAGAAGCTTTTCCGGTGTCCTTCGGGCTGTTTACTTTTCCAGGAGTTGTATTTCGCGTGTTCGCAAAAAGGTTTCCCTGGTTCTTACTTTTCGGCGAAAGACTTAGAAACTCAATTTGGCCACCCGTTCCGGAACTAATACCTCTTCTTCAGAAACTTGAAAATTATTGATTGGTTATGGGAAGTATTTTAAAGTTGAATTGGATGGACTTGTAAGCCCAAGGAAAAACAAGACTGCAATATTTTTGTTTCTTATTAAGAAGTGTAAACAGTAAAGTTAAGGTTTTTAACCTTTTTAATAACATATATTAATTGACATAAAAGCCATTAAAAATAAGAACATTTTTATACTAAAAATGTATCTCAAACTGCGGTTATATTATCACTTTGTGGCTAAATTGCATTTCATTTACTTTTGTGGCTTATCAGTCAAGCCACTAATTTGCTTTTGTGGGAAAAAAGGCTCGACCACTGCATTTTGTGGTTAGAATTATAAATATTTTATATTTTTCAAACTTTTTTCTGATTGCCAGTTGCCTATAAAAAACCAAAATTTCGCTGACAAAATAACAGTTCTCCTGCTGCTTTCGTTGTGTAAAGTAAAAAGTGTAATTTCATACAGAACAACCATGACCAACACGGATCTGAAAGCCCTTGAGCTTCTGTTCCAACGTCCCCTGGAACCGGCTTTCACCACCCGTGACTCGGGTAAAACTGTTCTTGAACTACCTGATAGCTTCTATACGGATCGCTATCGCAATGACACCGAGGAGGTGGGCAATCGTTTTTCCAAGGATGTGGATGTGAAGATTCCGATTCAGGAACTGGCCAATGTTCCCAATCTAGACTTCACCAAGAAGATTGGATTAAAGAACCAATTTTCTCTGTTCAACAATCGCCATCGGGAGATCGCCAGCGAGTTGATTACGCTCTTTATGGGTGCCCCCAATCTCAGGCAGTTTGTGTCCCTCTCCGTTTACACCAAGTAAGTATCTTAAAATTATTAATTAGTTTTGGTTTAATTAGAGAGGGTTTTACTCTTTAAGGGATCGTGTGAATCCTGTGCTGTTCCAGTACGCCTATGCCGTGGCTGTGGCCCATCGCCCGGATACCCATGAAGTGCCCATCACCAACATCTCCCAGGTCTTTCCCAGCAACTTTGTGGAGCCCTCAGTCTTTCGGGTAAGTTTGTGGCATATAAAAAGATTAAGATTTAAATCTTACTAAATCATTTCCATCCTCTGATAATAGGATGCCCGTCAGGAGGCCTCTGTTATTGGACAAAGTGGAGACCGTGTAAATGTGGACATTCCCCGCAACTACACTGCCTCGGATCGCGAGGATGAACAGCGCCTGGCTTACTTCCGTGAGGATATCGGTGTGAACAGTCACCATTGGCACTGGCACTTGGTCTACCCCACCACTGGACCCCGCGAGGTGGTCAACAAGGATCGTCGTGGTGAACTCTTCTACTACATGCACCACCAGATCCTGGCCCGCTACAATGTGGAGAGATTCTGCAACAACCTGAAGAGGGTGCAGCCATTGAACAACTTGAGGGTGGAGATCCCAGAAGGTTACTTCCCCAAGATCCTGTCCAGCACTAATAACCGCACCTATCCTGCCCGAGTGACCAACCAACTTTTGAGGGATATCGACCGTGGGGATGCCAATATTGAGATCTCTGATGTGGAGCGCTGGAGGGATCGCGTGCTGGCTGCCATTGATCAAGGATATGTTGAAGATGTGAGTCGGGGGTTGTTAGGAAATGCCATATATATAAATATAAATGAATCCTTATTCCTCATCTTTAGCCCTCTGGCAATCGTACACCATTGGACGATGTTCGTGGCATCGACATCTTGGGCAACATGATTGAAGCTACCCCAGTTCTGTCCATCAACTACAACTTCTATGGCAATCTGCATAACGAAGGTCATAACATAATCTCCTATTGCCATGATCCCGATTATAGGCATTTGGAAGATTTCGGTGTAATGGGTGATGTGACCACGGCTATGAGGGATCCCATATTCTACAGGTGGCATGGATTTATCGATGGCGTCTTTAACAAGTTCAAGGCCCACTTGGACCCCTACAATGCCGCTCAGCTGAGCTTCGATGGTGTCACTGTTGACTATATTGAAGCCAAGATTGGCAAGTCCAATACCACGGCTAACACCCTTTTGACCTATTGGCAAAAGTCAAGTGCTGATTTGGCAGCTGGTCTGGACTTTGGTCCATCAGCTGATGGAAATATCTTTGCCTCATTCACCCATCTGCAGAATGCTCCCTTCACCTATACCTTCAATGTGACCAATGCTGGAGCTAGGCGGACTGGTACTTGCCGCATCTTCATCTGCCCCAAGGTGGATGAGCGCAACTTGCCACTGCGATTGGAAGAGCAGCGACTAATGGCCATCGAAATGGACAAGTTTACAGTGGACTGTGAGTGGTTTACTGGATATTTTGATAACCAACTTTTACTCCTATCACCTCATAACTTAATAACACTATTTAATTAATCTCCAGTGATGCCTGGTGAGAACACCATCCGACGCCAGTCAACGGAGTCCTCGGTGGCCATTCCCTTCGAGCGTTCGTTCCGACCAGTTGGAGCCGACTATCAGCCCAAGGCCGCCGATGAGTTGGCCCGATTCCGCTTCTGCGGATGTGGATGGCCACAGCATCTCCTCTTGCCCAAGGGCAATGCCCAGGGAATGCTCTTCGACCTGTTCGTCATGATTTCCGACTATTCGCAGGACTCTGTGGAGCAGCCCAAAACGTGAGTGGTGGTATAAACGCAATTTCCCATCATCCCCTAGTGACCTTCTCCTTGTCGCCCATTAGAGCCAATGATGCCTGCAGCACGGCTTACTCGTTCTGTGGTCTGAAGGACAAATTGTATCCTGACAGGCGCACCATGGGCTATCCGTTCGACAGGCGGCTGCCCAATGCCAATCTAACCGAATTGGTAGGTGCCTTTAGCAACATGGCCAAAACCGATTTGAGGATTGTCTTCAACGATCGCGTAATTGACAAGGCTTAGGTTTTGATTGATTGATGAAAACATTTTAACGGGCCTTAAAGATCAAAGGAAAAACGGACTGGACTGGAAATGGAATAACTCTTGGAACTTTTAAACTTTTTATTATTTTTATATTTTAATCTTAAAAATATTTGGCATTTAAATCTGGTGTTCTTGTTGTATAAAATAAGCTTAAAATGATACATATATATATATACAAATATTTTATATATTTAACGGCAAAAAAATAAAAAAACAAAAACAAACTAAAAACTTATTTCTTTATGCCTGGAAAACCTTGATTTTGATATTTTATTAAGAAAAATTGCAATTAAAATAACATTCTCTTTCTAGGCAAAATGAAAACTGAATTTTCCCTGCTTTAACTTCCTGGAAAACCCCTGCAAATCATGCAGTTGCCAAGTTTAGTTGATTTTTATTTATTACTTTTTCAAGGCAAAAAATAAAAACGATTCCTCGATTGTGTTGGCCTTAATAAAGCCAACATACTGCCACCAAAGGCAGCCATGGATATGATAAATATTTACTGGTATAAGAAATCCTCGTCAAGGAATATTTACCAGCTAAATATTTGCTTTGGATTATTGAATATTATTTATGGCTAAGAAATACAGATACACAGCCGCAGAAGGGCGTTTATTTGTCATAGACAGACACGCCCACAAACTAATCCTATTAGACTTCAAAGCGCTTTGCTAGACAAACTTTCCGATTGCCCATGTCCAGGAGGCCTTGACTTGGCCAAGCCACCCAACTCAGCCACCCCACTCAGCCACCCCTGTAAGTATTGAGAGAAAAATAAGAAAACATCTTGGCATTGGCTAAGAGCAAAACCGCTGCACGTGTTGCGCTTATTAATTTTCGGCATTTACCAGGTCGAGAACTTTAATTAGACAACCATCTAGTTGAGGATCAAGTTCTAGAGTTCGGAATTAGGAAAAAGAAAGACAGCAGCTGCCGCTAACAAATTGATTTTTAATAGATTTTTATGACTGCTTGTGAAGGCCAACAGCAATACTTAATGATGGCCCCACTTCGCGCCACATGACGTATACGTGATGAAATTGAGTTTCCCGCTGCAAATCAGTAGAGGCATGTGCAATCGCTAATTGGGTTGATTTGCAGAAAAAGAAGAAAATCCCTAAGTCACTCTACATATTACTCATTATAAAAGAAAAGCACATATTTAGCTCAAGCTCTTAGTTATTAAAGATCGAAATTTAAATGTTGGAAATTCATTTTTAAAGTGAAAACTTTTCCCAAGTTGAAAGACAAATAAAACGGCAACATTTTATATTATCTTTGGCTTTAAAAAACGAGTTCATTGCGCCCAAAAAAGAAAAGTTGGGGGCCAATGTTGACTGGCTGCATGGCTCGGCAATTTAATCTCTTTTGTTGAGCGTTTTTTATTTCTTTTCAAAGTTGCATATTTTATGAGCGTATTTTTGTGTGTACTGCAACTGGTGTAAACTTTCTTTAGAATTCAAATTAAATTACAGCCGAGCGGTCAATTTGTGGTACCCTAACGAAAAGCGAAGGCGTTTTGGCTTTGAGAGGCTTTAAGTAAATAACCCCGAGCTAAGAAAATACACCGTTTGAGCTCTGTAAAAGGTAATAATAGTTGAAAGGAGAGAAAAACTGAGTGGGTTAGAGTATTTCTTAACAGCCCAAAGGTTGCTTTTTATTATTTTTATCACTTCTTATACTTTTTTTTCAATCATTAGACCTGGCCACAGGACATTTCCACTCACTTTCCTTGAATTTATTTGTGTGGGTAAATTGTAGAAAATTAAAAAATAGACAAAAATACGCAGGCAAGGCAGAAAGTTGTTGCCAAGTCCTCTTTAATTTATTTGGCTAGCTGCAGGGCATGAAAATTTTGTGGTTTTTTTTTTTGGACTTTTGGGACGAGGCGAAAAGCTGCCACTTAGGCATAACTTTGGCTTTAGCTTTGGGTCGTTTTACCCATATGCTGTTTAAGGGGCGGAACTTGGGCTGTTTGCTGTTATTGTTGCCATTAATGTTGCTGACTTTGGGCCCGTTTTTGGTTTAAGGGTTTGAAAAAATATTTGCTTTGGGTACTTGGCATATTAGCATACTTTGCTCCAGCACACACGTACATACATAAGTAATAATTGTAAATAATGAGGTTTTCTTTTGGGAAAAGTTAGGCACTGATTGGGTTGAGCAAATGTTACAGAAAGCTATAGAATTAAATTGACGGACAAATGCATACATAATTCCAACAAGTCAACAATATTTGTTTACTGCATTCGATCTGCGCAATTGATTGCTTAATTTCTGTGAAATTTCCATTCAATCAAATGCGAAAATGAAGCCCATTAAAAAGTCAATCAGACGTGAATGCAAAGCAGCCAGTCAAATTCATGTACATTCTATTGTGTAAACCGACCTTGCCCCAATGCACTTTCTCAGGAAAGTAAAGTCTGCAATGTGTTAAATGGATGTGGCATGGCTGAAAGTAGAGCAACTTGAAGGCATTGATAGATGTTTATAGTTTAAAGATATAACTTAAAGTCAAAAGCTGCAGATAAATAGCATACTAATAAGTAAGTTCTATAAACTAAAGTATGGTAAACTTTTATAACCAAAACCCCTAAAAGAGCATCTGAAAATCAGTGGTATGACTTTTCCCTTATAATGCATTTCCATTTCCACCCCTTAAGACCACATGTAAGCAGATTGCTTGGTGCTATTTTTGTCGCCTGTACACATAAACATTGGAAAGGGGGACCAGGCCTACTAATGCCTTCCTAATGCCAATGAAATAATAAATGAAATAATCCAGCTGGTCTGGACAAAAACCAAGACCAGTGACTGGATGAATATTACACACAGAATGAGCTTGAACTTAGAACAAAAACTTACAGCTAAGGGCAAGATATTAGATAAAGAAATAAAAGCTAAATTAAAGTCATTTTGCTTTATTTTTAAAATTGAAAAGAGATATATATCAATTAAAAAAAGTAATTATTCTGATATATCCAAACAGTTTTCCATGGCTAATTGCAGTAACCTAATATTGCGAACTGTGCTGTGTCTGTTGGAGTAAACATATGGAGATGTTTGTCTTGGCTGACATGCATGAAACCTGATATTGATTTAGACCTGGGGTTCCTTTCCGCGAATAAACGCAGTTCGACCACAATGCGAATGACAGACAGTGCTGTCAAGTGAGTACTTATATTATAATAGAACATCATCATTATTATCATACTCAGCATCGATTCCGATGCCAAGCCATCCTGAGAGTCCTGGAGCATGCTAATTGTTTGCAATTATGCTTTGAGTCAGCTTTCACTTTGTAATGGTAAATGGTAAATGGTAAATGGAAAACGGGAAACGGGAAATGGAATTGGCAGCGTAGAAATCAGGATCGGCATCACTTGAATGCATTAAAATGTTGAAATGCTCGTTCCCGCTCGTTGCCAGCAGTTTTCAAGGGGGAATTAGGTTAACCGCAGGAAATTCATGTTTAATTGAAATGCCATAAGGTTTCCCACCATATCTAGATAATTGGAAAACGGCAGGCAGCAGGGTATGGAAATAATTTCACAATTAATTGATGGCATTCACAGAGTGCAATAAATGTTTTTAGGACTAACTTTTGTTATTTATTTTGATTTTAATTTATGTTTGTTCAACAATTGTTGATAATGAAGGGGAATGAGTACTCCACAAAAGCTTTTCATCTCTCAAATTGTTACAATGACATTTAGACCTTGAGTTCTGCTCCTTTGTAGCCTTCTTTTATTATTATTAAAACCCCTTTGAAATGATTAAGCCAAGTATCGCTTTTAATTTGTTATATTTAGCTTTATGTTTATTTGCCACGCGCTGGCACTGCCGACATTTACCTTTCGCCTGGCCATGCTAATATTTAAATTAATTGCTAATAAACCATCCTCGATTGTTTACACTCGCCAGCCCAGCGACTTCGACAGTCCATCAGGGCACGAAAGTGTGTTAATTTTATAATTTCTGCAGCTTTTTGTTTATGGCCCCATTGCCATTGACTTAAACAAATCACTTTTATCTGCCTCTCTCTCTTTTTTTCGGATTTAAATTTAGGTATTAGTAGTGGTAGAGGATCGACAGCTGTGTTATTTTAGCATCCAATGAGATAGATTTGAAATTTATGTTTTATGCACAAAAACACACAAACACTGAGTACGGGCAGTAAATAAACATCAACTTGCAGCTTCGTTTGTTTTGCCAAAAACAAAAACAAAATTAACACACAAATAACAACTTATTCTAAAAGCTATTAACTATGATGTCAGAGAGAGAGCCATATGCACTGAGTTGGGCACTTTGAAAAAATCTAAAAAAAATCATTTACTTATTTTTAAGTTTTTGAGGAGATTTAAGACTCTTTCCTTAGCCAAATTGGGGATTCTTATAATGCATTTTCTTAATCAAAGACAAAGTTTTATTCTATAACATTTAAGGTATTTTTTACTTCAAGTTTCTCCTCATTTCTTTCAGTGCCTTGTTGCTTGGGGAATTTTCTCTTTACATCCCATATGACCCAGACCATAACTGTGTCGGAACTTGAACTTGGCAAGGGTATTTGTATCTTTTATATTCAACCATAAAACAAATTTTCACATGTGGAATAGCTGTAAGTTTATGGCCATTTTAAGTCAAACAATCGGATAATTACAAAATGTGAAGAGCTAAAAATAATTAGTGGGGCAATAACCTCTGGAATTTTCAATGGGTTAAGGCTTATGGGATGAAAATAATTTAAAAATATTTTATTTGTATTTAAAGAAACATATTTTTAAACAATATTAACTAAAATATTAAAAAATATAAAACAAAATTTCTTAATAAACCTTTTTAACAGCTTTTTCCACAAACTTCACCTTTTCACCTTTAATCCCAGTTTACATTTACTGCAAATTAAATTTGCTTCCAACCAATTTGTTAAGTATGAAAATATTCATTTCCTCGCACCTTGGCATTTTCCCCAGTTGGCCAAAGGAACGCGGCTAGAATTGCGGCTTCCCTGAGGCATTTTGAGGCTTTGTCGTGGGCACAATGTGCATAGAAATGCGATTCAAGGCAGGGACAGACAACAATTATTCTTATTCTCATTGCTAGTGTGGGCGTTGCACATGGGAAACGCTCTTGGGAAATGGAAAATGGAAAATGGAAAATGGGAAATGGGAAAACAAAACGGAAGGCTGCGTCGCCAGCATCTGCCTGCATTATAAACTTTTTAGCGGAACAAAAACGAAAGGAAAGTGAATATTTTAATTTTGCTAAAATGCAGCTCATATATATAGAGAGGGAAAAGCTTGACAATGAAATTAACTTACTAGAAAGTTTTCCCAAGGAACGTTCTCAGTTAACTTTTCATTATTTGTCCAGACAGGGAACCAAATCAATCTATATTTTACATTTTTTTAAATTTTTATAAGAAAAAGCAAACAAATATCGCGACAGTCATGGACAATACGTTAAGACTCCATTTGCAAAGAATGGCTCAGATTAACCCAACGATGCCGACATCACCCCAACAACAGATGAAACCTACTTTATTTAAGCCTCAGAGGGATCAGAATTTTCCCAAATGCAAGTGCTACCAAGTGATATATCGGAAGCAGAAACCCCAAAAAGAAAGGGTTCAAATCATCTATCTAGGTCGTAACCCCTACGAGGAGGGCTAGGAATCAACTGCCTAAAGTCATTACTCAAAGTCGATAATCCAAATTTGAAGTTGAGAAAAATTTCATGCGTAATTTAAAGTATCTAACTAACTGCTAGCAACACGTGGTGTCCTATCAATATTATGTTTAGTCTCAGGCGCGGCATTGCCTCAGCAACCGCTGAAGGTCTTCGAAAGATTTCCCCCAACCTTGGTCAGTATGCCCATCCTCTTCTGTCTTGGTGTTCACATCATCCGCGGGAAAACAACGTGGTGAAAAACCAGGGAGCAAGTAATAAGTGCAAGAATTACTTGAAACTTATCGAAGATCCCGAACTGCCCAAGTTAATAGGGCTCTATCAGAGAGTTTGTCGAAATTTTCCTAAAAAAAATGTTGATTCGGTCAGACTTAAGAGGACTGAGTTAGATATTCCGCCAAGAAAGTCGTGGGAAAAACGATATACTCCCGAATATATTGCAGATTTCCCAAATCAAGCGCGATTAGCATCTACAAAAATTCCAGATAAAAGTCCAATCAAAACGAGAAGTAATTTTGGGCATTCTAAAAAGTCAATAAGCCCTCCATTAAATAAGTCTCCTGAAGAGCTAGAGAAAGAAAAACGAAAGAAGAAGTCTAAAAAACATAGTTTAAGTCCAAAGATTTTCTCAAAAACAGAAGCAAAAAATCCGGTAAAAAGTAAAAAGAAATCTATGAAAAGTTCGCAACCTCCAAAAAAACATCGTCACAAATCAATGAAGGACTTGGATTCGGCGGATATGTTCTTGGAAAAGCTGAAGGGCAAGAAGTTAAGAAACTTAAAATCTATGAAATCTATAAAATCCCAATCATATTTTACCAAGAAATCGAAAACTCATTTTAATAATGCCCAGCAATCACACTTTAGAACAGGCTTCAAGCGTGGCACCTTTCTATCTTACGCTAGTCGAGATAGTAGTAGGAGAAGAAAAACAAGTTCAGATGTACTTAAGTACCCGCCAGTGAAATATTTTTCATCCAATCAAATCTATACAAGTGACATTTCTAATTCATCAATAGAAGAAATTATACCTACAAAGGAAGAGGTGGTAAAGCGTGCCAGTTTACCATTAAATCAAACTCAGCCAGTGCAGAATATACCAGTAGAAGAAGCTAAACCTGCCAAGGAAGAGTTGGACAAGCCTACCAGTTTACCATTGCAGAATATATTAGTCGAAGATGTTAAACCTATGGAGAATGATATAGCCAATTTAACACTAAAGGAAACTCCACCCTTGTCGCATATAGAAGACGAAGATGATGTACCTTTAGAGGAAGAGTTGGATACTTTCAGTTTTCCATCGAATGAAGCTCAACTTTTGCAGAGCTTATCCTCTTTATTCATGCTGCCAAAGAGTAATCTTAGCTATGCCATACCTGGACCGATCGAGCAATATACATTTGCTCCCATCGATATAGAGAAGCACAAATTTGATTTTCTATCCTTGCATGATCTAAAACCTGTTGTTGTCAGAAGTGGAATAGCCAAAAAACTTTGGAAACAAACTTTTGAGGCCATGAAGAGCAATGCAAGGAAAGATAATCTTAATAGTGAATCGAACAGTGCCCAACCTCCAGCAGCGACTAAGAGATTGAAGAGGAAAATCCGCAAACTGAAAGCTTGTAGTGTGAAATGCTTTAAATACCATTCCTTTAACTTTGATGTGTATCCCAGGAAAAAGCGTAGAGGAAAAACGGCGGCCTGTCAAACGGAAGTCATTCGGAATAAATGTGTGATTTGTGATTTCTGTCGACCGAGCAGCCAACCCGATGAGCCATTCATGGTCGAGATGAAGAAGCGTCAGGATCGCGAGGAACTTAAGAGGTACTATTTAAGGATGGTTGAAAGGCAGAAAGAGTCGTTTACAGAGAAAATTTCTAATTCGAAACAGAGTTTTAAGCTATCAGAACTTAAGAACAGTTCAAGTTGTAAGTTACTGGGACATAAAACTCGTTGCAAGTCGAGTCTGGAGAAGATGCGCCACCAATTGGAGCAATGTCAGAATATGTTGAGCCTATGTGGCCGCCTTGTCGAAGATCGCTTGCTACTTTCCAGGAAAGAAATCAAAATCAAAGATTGCCGCGGTGGCTTAGGTGTAGGCCCTCGACCAAGTCTGAAGCGAACTGAGTTGGTTTAGGGCCCGAAAGATGCCTGAGAACATGATGTTTGATTCCATGCCCATTCAGTTTGGGTTTTTACTACGTGTTTGTATGGGACAAGGTGGTTTCTGCTAATAAAAGTAAATAATTGTTTGATTTTAAGTGTCATTTGTTTTACTTATAAAGGTTTGGGAATGCAGATAAACTTTTATAAATCTCAAATCTAGGTTGCTTTTAAAAGACTGTAAGTTGTAAAAATAAACTTAGTATTAGTCCCAGCTGTAAAGAAAACCCAATAAAACAGTCATCCCATCGAACCGAACTTATTGTCAAGCCAAGATGCCAAAAAATATTATCAGTTATATAAAAATCTTACATAAATCTTACATAAAATCCTACCAAACCACAAATACAAAATTGCAAGTACTCAAATTTAGAATATTAACTTAGCAATGAACATTTTGAAAGGCAGCCGTGTACTGAATCAAAATTGTCTGCGAGAGAAGATTGGCAACCTATCGCCACTTTTGAAGACCTTGGACTGGCCACCAAACAAGGACTCGGTATTCCGGGCCTCATGGAACTACTATGCTAGCGGCTGTCAGGGACGACTGTCAAGCATTCACAGGCGCATCGAACAGAACGCTAGGATAGTGGCTCCCAAAGAGTGTCCAACTTATGTACTTCCAAGGGCCTTAAAGTTACCATTATGCCCGTGCCAATTACCTCCTGGACAAAGTTGGGATGACCACATCTACCAGGAGTTGGTCTCCTGTTTTCGCAGTGCAAAAAGTACTGATTCGATAAAGAAAACTAACCCTAAGGTACGTTCTAAGGTACAGAAATACTTCGATATGGGTAAGTTTTCCACACCAGAACAATGGGTGTCCTGGAAACGCGAAGAACGGCAAGTAGATCAGTTGCTAAAGAAGTCCTTAGATCCCTATTTGAGAGAGGAAATGTCGCAGAAGCTGCAACATCTACAAAAACTTACCAAAAGGCGCCCTTTAGTGGTGCTTCCGAATCAAGAGGAAGTAATAGAGAAAAAGAAAAACTTACTTACAAAGAAGAAAAAATCTAAGAGAAAGCTTCTTACTAAATCAAAAAGGCAAATCAAGGATTCCAGTTCAACAACCGAAGACTTTCCTTCAAGAAAAAAAATTACCATTTTAGATAACAAAAAATCAAATGCAAAAGAAACGTCATCGAACTTAGCAGTTTCATATAAGCCCTCCCATGCCAATTTCACAACAGATCAATTTCTCATGGACCATCCTAGCCTGCAAAGTATAACAAGCTCAAGACGTTCTGTTAGGTCTATATCTTTTAAAACCAAACGAAGAGAAAAATCTAAAGAAATTATCGAAGATAATGTTAGTATAAATGGCATTGATGATCAGGAATTGCAAGAACAGATTGGTGAGGAAACCAAGACGGTGGTCTCGGAGAAGAATGATAAAGTCCAAAAGCTTAAGAATCAAAAATCAACCACAAAGCTAAAAGATAAACCATCGTTTACTGGACTTTCAGTTAAGTCAGGCAGCAGCTGGAAGCCAATACTAAGAAAGTCCACGTCGTTTGGGTCACTAAGTTACCATTCTAGGGGAAGGACAGTCTCTATAAGAAAATCAAATGAATACATTGACAGGGTCAAAAAGAAACCCTTAAGCTTAATCGACAACTGTTTACTCAAAATATTAAGAGACAGCTCTCTCCGTTCGAATATTTCACTTTACAGAGGTGATGCCATTAATTTGGATACAAAAATCCACGAAATCCGCAAAAGCTTGATTCTCAGTGGCGATCATCATGGCTGGGCCATTCGTGTGAAAGAAAATTTCGCTTACGTAAAGCCAACAACAGGCAAGAAAAAAGTATTAAAAAAAAAGCAAAACTATGATTCAGGGAATGAAACTTTGGAAAGTTATAATTTTTTACAATCTGCATGGCAGACCAATGGAGAAAACTCACCAGTTTTCTCAAAAAAGAAAGAACTCGAAAATGTTTACACTTCAAAAACTATCTCTGAAGAGGAAATGAGTATGACTATGGAACCGAGACCTTTAGTAATTGCGGAGGTTATACAAGAATTTATGAAGAAATATGGCTCTAAGATACGTTTTCTCAAAGCTTATCCAGAATTATTTAATGCCAAAGAGCTGGAAAAGGTTCATGTAAAAAGTGATAGTCAGCCGAAAGAAGACAAGAAAACCAAAGAAGCCAAGAAACCCAAAGAAGCCAAGAAACCCAAAATCCAGAAAGTTAAGGAGGTAAAAAATAAGATATCTACGCCCTTTAGGAAAGCCTGTTCTTTGTGCCATTGTGTGAGAAGAAAGCAATCTGAACTTCGACCTTATATGCAACGAATGCAGAAACAACGTCAGCGATTGGAACAAAAAAGTTACTATATTCAAAGGTTTATGAAATGCGGAAGGGATCTTAAGAATGGAAAGTGTACTAAGAAAGGCCTAGCCATATGCTATAAAACCCTAAACCTTTGCCAGCAAATTGTGGAAGAAGAAATCTTGAAGAGATCTGAAGGATGTCAGCTGAAATGAAAACTATTACTCAGCTGGGAAAATGGAGATATAGGTCATGAAAGTCTTTAGTCAGGAAACCAAAGATTCAAGCCTAGATTTTTTGGAATTATTTTAAATTAATTATCTGACAAATATAAAAATCAATTCTATATAATAAATAAACAAGTGACAAATCAATGTTAAATAGATTTCAGGAACTTTGTCTTAGTTTGTACCTGATCAATAGGTAGTATAAATAATAGCCCTGCTGTTGATTTTTCCATGTTGAAATCTCTTTCCAACCCACAATAACTTAAAATTCAATGGCTTACCATATTTGTACGAGATCAAAATTATTACCTAGTAAAAGAAGTAAAAACTAAATAAGTAACAGCCCATTCACAGTGCGGGTTGCACATTTGTAAGCAGTTCATTTTGTTGACTTTTACGCGACTTTTTAAGGCGCCCACTCATGTTTATGAAAATTAACATTTGCCGGATAAAACTCTTTCGCATGCATCCTTTTCCGCAAAATTTATTCCAATGCAAAACAACAGCTGAGTAAAAATAATAATGTCCCATAAAATTTCAGTTTTTTTCCCTCTTCCTTTATAGCCAAACCAAATTCCCATCCCGTGAGCATAAATGTCAATGCCAACGCAACTAAAATCTGCCCTCTATCCTTCGACCGTTGAATTTTCCAACCTACGCGGCGAGCTCATCCCCCCGCCTTTTTTTTCACGAACTCTTCAGCACAAGTGCAACTACAAAAAGTGGGGGAAAAATATATGTATATATAAAAAAAAAACTAGGGAAAAATCAAAGTAAAAAGCAACAAAATTCCGGTCGAGGGTTTTAGATAGTAAAAACTTTTTATGGGTTTTTTGGCTGAAATGCGGGTCATCCCAAGTAGTTTCTTCTAATTTATATATTTTAATGCTAATTTACTGCATCACTGAATTTTTGTATACCATTTCTTGGCTATAAAGATAAATTAATTAACTTTTTATTGTTTTTAACTTAATTTATATTCCCTAAATCACCTTTTTAAAACAACTTAAAATGTTTTATTTCTCTCTTTCGGTTGAAATTTATTTAATAACAAGAAAAAACATAAATTTATGAACTTCCAAAGCATAAAACAAAAGCGTCTGACACAATTTTTTTTTATTTTTTCTTATGATAAATGCAAACAAACGGCATTGTTTCCATTTAAATGAAATGCAACTTTTAGTAAGCTATTTGTACATGGTTAAAAGCTTAGCATGTTTGTTTAGGAATAACTAACAAAAGCAAAAACCAATCTGCAAAGAAAAACAATTTATAGTAATGGTATTGTTTTAGCTTGTCATAAATATTGTTTTAAGTCCATTGATAAACTAAATTGTGATGTTATTTGCAGAAAAGGCTTTAAAAAAAGCATAAAAGACTAATGTAATACCTTAATATCTTTAATTAAGCACTAAAACATTGACTAGCTAACTTAGTTAACCGCCTTAACCGAATAATTAGTAACTGAATCCCCTTTTAAATGATTTTATTCATTAATTATGAGGCGTGAGAAAGTGGTAAATCGTTTGAACGCCTGGCCCCGCGAAGTATGCAACGCTGGAATGCAAACACGTCCAGGCGGGGAAAGGTGTCAAGGTGCTAAAATGCGTTGGAGCAGCTGCGGCAGATGCCCCAGGCCAAACAGTCCGGACGTTGAATATGCAGGAAATTCAAATGAAAATGGGGAGAGAAAAAAAAAGATGTAAAAAGGAAAATGTGCGTTGGTTTATGTTTACTGCTCGGCGGTGGACCACATAATTGCCTCTAAGTGGCTTAAGTTATTAAAACCAATTAAGCAAGTCGTCTGCCGAAGGAAATTCTGTTTAATTGCAACCAAAATGCGATTAAAAAAATAAGTAAATTGCATACAAATATAATTGGAAAATTGTCTAATTGGCTGCTCGGCAATGCCAAGTTAACAAGCTGCTCCATCAGCTAATTAAACTTTTTAGATTAACATCCAACCTTCAGCTCAATCTCGACGGAAGTTGTAGTTTCTTGTGTTTAAAAGTTTAGAGGACTACAAACGCTTCCAACTTTAGGGCCAAATCTCTCTAAGACGGATGGTAATTCACGCTTCACGAAGTGCAAAGAAGAAGTTTGGAAGTTTGGTTAGAAGGATAACACAAAATTTAGGACTATGCTGGTTAAGGCAGAATAACAACCGGAATGAGTTTTAATATTAATCAAGTTTGGACAGATCTTAAATTCCGCTTTGGCACTCTTTTAGCTTTATTAATCTTAATGAAGCGAAATAAGAAAAGTGAAATTAAGTTTTACACAATTTGTTTTAGAAAGTTGTACAGTTTTTTCAAGTAATTTTTGAGTTCCGATTTCAGATGATAAAATTCGCAATGATATTTCCACCTTCGAGAACTAATATAATGATCTTTGCTTTTAAAATCACAGTTAGTACAACCTTAAAGAGTCTAAAAATTACTTTAAACTTTTCAATTACATTGCTTCATAAAACAACAAAGTAGCTCCACTTTATTTATTCATCATTTTCATGGCTGTTATCACATGTATTTTCACATCCATTCAACCAAAAAGCTTTTGTTTTGTGTAGAATATTCCCGATATATTTCTATATTTACACATCAATTTGTGTTCGCTTCAATACCTTTCGATATCGGTACACCACATTTAACCAACAAATTCCTTTTTTCATCCACAAAATACTGAAATTCGTCGAATCAAATCGCTTTAATAGGAAAATGCAAACGAAAATCCGTTCGCCACACACGTTAACATAATTATGGAACACGCTCACTGCGGCCCAATCAATCATACGCAGCGTGAGCCGCTTGACATTTTGGGTTGGTGCGGAGAGGTGAGGAGTTGAGGGGGCCAGACACGATAATCACACATAAAACCTTTGAAATGCAAATCAAGGGAATCATCCGAAAAATCATACATATGTACTCACCTTTTTTCCACTGGAGGAGCGGGTTGATTTTCTTTCTACCGCGTTGTCAATTGCCAATGTTTGTTGCTGGTTACTGGTTGCCTGTTGCTGGTTGTTCTATGTTGTTATCAAATCAATTCAACAGATCTTTATTTGCAGGAAAGACCAGAAAAAAAAGTAAGGATAAAAAACAACAGTCAGGGAATGAGAAAACCCCAAAAAGAAATGCGTAAACGTAACGAAATTTTCGTTTCAGGCGCGTGTCAAAAATGAAGTTGAATCGAGAATATGTTCGTCACAGAGAGCAAAAATTCGAAAGGTTCTCAAGGTTATTTCAAGAAATTATATAAGAAATTTTTAACTTTATTTCATTTACAAAGAATTTATATTGTTTAAGTCTAAAAGTAGCTAAGCCAGTTTTAAAATTTCTTTATAACCAATATTTTATTTTTGACTTTAAGTTTTCGTTCAAGAAAGTTTTAAAGAAATCATCTGAGCAGCGAGGTCTTTTAATAATTTTATAAAATGAAACTCTGCACTTTGAATACTCTTTTTTTCTCAGTGTTCCAGTTACATTTACACAGATACACAGGCTACGATTGTGTGTGGATTACATATGGTAATTTCCTTGGGATTTGCACGGTTTTGTTTTTTTGGTTTCTTTCGGTCGTGCAGGGTCAGATTATAATCGTATTTTTCAATTTGAATAAAATTAGCCGAGATTTTTCATCTTTCTTTCAGTTTTATTTTGGCTTAGAATTTATGGTAGTCGCTTAAACACGTTTTTTTTTTTTTCATTTTGGTTGTTTTGGGAAGAAAGGAACACATGTGTGTTGATTCACTGAGATTTCGTTTTAATAAACATGTGCCAAAAATTAAATCAACTATATGTATGCGAGTTTATAATTTGATTACTTTTATAATTTATGTCTTCGGATTTCGCTCTTTGAAATTTGAATTTGCACTTTTCACTTGCAACATTGTTGCTGGCAACTTTCACGCTTTTGCACTTGAACTAGTTTCCCGTTACAAGCGTTTTCAATTTTCCTCAATTTTTCCCACTCGCCATCGCTCACACACACACACACTCAGGGAGATAAATCCACTGATAAGAGTTTCGCCTGGATTGGGTTCCGGATCTATCCGCTATACCTTTCGCCACGTCCGACTTTCGAAGCCACTCAACAGCAACTGTTGCAAATGTCGAAAAGGCAACTTGTGGCTGCTGCTTTCCGCCTCTGTCGACGTCGCAGCATCTCTTTTTTCCCGAGCTTTTCCATGAGCTTTTCCTCGCACCACGGCAAACTGTTGATTGGTCTTCTGACTGTACAGATGTGTGCGTGTTTGTGTGTGTGTTTGGCCAGGAAGAGAGCACAAAAGAGAGTCTATCTTGGTTGGCATCTCCGTGCTTTACTTAGTTAATTAGTACCCATTCAGATGGCAGTAAACAGTAGTTAGTTCCTGTTTATGGACCTCAAAATGAGTCATTAAAAATGGGATTAATAAGTGCACGGAAATAGAAGAGCTAAATAGGGCATTATTATTAATTATTATATATTATATAATATATTAATTATTAATTTAAAGGTAGAAATAATAACTGGATATTTTATAGTTAAAAATTCACATTTTTATTGTAGTTTCTGAGGATTTTTGTTACAATTTTTTTGCCTTTTTAATATCAGGCAAGCGCCTCTTCAAAAGGTTAAGTATATAGTCATAATAAAAGACAGACACACACCATCGATGTCAACCATAATCTTCCCGAAATTTGTTTTCAATTCTGTTTATTTGTTGCCTACCACAAAAGCCATTAAAGCTGATGTTTACCAAAGCAACAGTTACCAATGTTAACGGCTCACAAATTCACACAAATACACACTTTCTGTGGGAAAAAGAAAAGCTCCCCGTGGCACTTCCTCTTATTTGGAGACCGCAAATAGATGGCACACTCGCAGAATTAACGCGCTTTTAATAGATTAGACCCCCCCAGGCAGCTCTTCAGGGGCACTTCGATGGTGCAACCGATGATGCCGCTCAAGGACCTCGGCACCCGATCCGCAGATAATGCTACCAACATGACCACCACCCACAACTCGTTCTCACCTTTTTATTACTATCCCCAACTGGAACGAGGACACACGTTTGGCAAATTTGCGCAGGCAGAAGGACGAACACCTGACTAATTGATACGCTCCAGCAGGCACATGGTTAAAAAGTATATGAAAAATTGTTAAATCTTTTTGAAATATTTCTGAAATAATGAAAATATCTAAAGCTTAATCAAAATAATGTGAAAAATCATTTGAAATATATTTTTTGTTCATTAAGAAGTGTTTTTTATTTTTATTATGTTCTTTAAATATTATAATCACCTTCATACAGTATAAAAATGCTTAATTTATGAACTTTCTCGAATAACAATTGTAATTTCTTTCTGTGTAAAGATTGACTGAAGTAATTTTCCTCCTTTGATACGGTAAAAACAATTACCTGAATACCTGGATGTTTTCGTATGTGGGCGTGCATTAAGCTCACATTAAAATTATCAGGGATAAACGAGGCGAGGAAATCAAATTGAGTCGTTTACTTCACTTAAAGCTGTGTGCCAAGTTCAGGGACGCAAAGGGAAGTTCGCATCCTTGCGGCCATCTTGTAAAGACCCATATATACCATTGTTCAGATGAGGGGCTAATGTGCCGCCGAAGAAGAGCGCGTGAAGAGCGCATCCGCGCTGAAGAGCGCATCCACTCTAAAGAGCGCATCCGCGCTGAAGAGTGCAACCGCGCTGAAGAGCGCATCCGCGCTGAAGAGTGCATCCGCCCTCGCCCCTCTCTGAACAATCTTGCACTCTCGCTCTCTCGGGTCCAAGTGCAGCGGTCGGCCGTCGGCGATCGTCTTTTCTTATGCTAAGTTAAGTTAAGTTCAGTTTTCTTGTATGAAGTGAATAAACCAGACGGGCGATTCGACGACTCCCCCGACTTCCACCACAATCAAGAGGCATCTTTTTCCGGCAACACCGCCCCACTACAACATTTGGTCCTTCGAGCCGGATTTCCTGGATATTCTGGATACTTTGGATTCTGGATATCTTCTTCTACCAGCAGTTCTCGGCAGTGTTCCGCCAAAAGATAAGTACGAAATTTTTTCCGTCTCCGTCTCTCTGCCGGTCTTCAGCAGTGGTCCGAACATAAAATTTCGTTCACACGGCTGCAAGATTTATTTCCTTTCCGTGTCAACTCCAAGTCCGAGTTTTCCGACACAACGGCAGTTTGAGATTTTCTACTTTTATCCGTTTTCATATTCTGCCAAATTTTCCATCCGACTCCGTTTTGTGTGCCGCCATATTCCTCGCCGTTTTCGGCCTCCCCGTTATTTGCTATTCCGCTATTCGCTTGCCAACGGTCGAGGCATATGTGCATACATATAATATACACACATACAACCATACCTTTTTCTTTTTGGTGCAATTAAGCCGCGTAAAATTGACCAAGTGAACAGTGAAACAGTGGTGACAAAAATAAGGCATAATTAATATTGGCCAGCCGGTGTGATTTATTTCCAAAAATTCCTAAATTCATTTAACGGTCCACCGGTGGCGTAATATTTTTTTTTTCCAATCAGTGTCTTTTTTTTACACCACACTGCTTTCTGTTCTTCCATTTATACAGTCCACAGTCCACTGTGCCAACCTAGGCCTTACGTGCATACATATACTTGCATATATACATACATACTTTGTGAAATTGTGTGGTGACGAAAATAAAGCATAATTAATATTGGCCAGCCGGTGTGATTTATTTCAAAAAAATTCCTAAAGTCATTTAACAGTCCGCCGCTGGCGTAATATTTTTTTTCCCAATCAGTGTTTTTTTTTTACACCACACAGCTTTCAGTTCCTCTATTTATACAGTCCGCAGTCCACTGTGCCAACCTAGGCCTCACGAACATACATATACCTACTTATATACATACTTGCATGCATTCCATATATTTTCTGCGTCCAATTTCAGGGAATAAATAATTATAAATTTAACTGAAATAAAATCTGTATTAAAAAAAAAACCGGCATTTCACTACAAATCCGTGATTGTTTCGCCTAAGTTCGCAACCTCGCCGGCTCAGTAGCCGTGTTGTGTTTTTTTTTGGTGCTGTTTTTTTTTTCTTCGGGGTGAATTCCGAACGGTACGTGTCCATTCTCCGTGCCCTTAGCGCAGCTTCCACTCCGCATCAGGCAACATCCGCCTACAATCTCACCAAACCTCGTCTACTTCTGGGTTGTTGGGCTCCTGAAGTTTTGTTTTCACATTCGATTTGTGCCGCACACGATCTTCCTTTCGACATCGGCGCCGCTAGTGCCTACTAGTTCCCTGTGATCGCAATCCATCCGCGATTTCACCGTTCTCATCACTTTAGTGTGACCAGCCACCGCTTCGAACGGGACCCCTATTGCGCAAGTCAGTCGCCAAGCGCTGACCAGCTAATTGACTTTTGAGAATGCCCACGGGAGACGACAAAAATCCGCGTCCGATCCCATCCATCAGTTTGAACAGATCTCAATCCGCATCTCCGCGGACGCCTCTTTTAAAGCCTAAGGCGACCAGGGCCATTCAAAGGGCAAAGAGTGACGAAAACGTCAATACAATCCCCGATCCTTCACAGAGGCAGACTCGCTCCGTTGTAAAAATGGCTCAAAGTGCGGTCGACGTGGCGCTGAAAAAGTTCATCGCTACGACAGATCGAATTAGCCAGTTTGAGGCCAACATCAATACCCCGGGAGGCCCAGAAGCAAGCTCCCAATACATGTGCGAAGTCCATCGAGACCAAATTCGGGCACTTTGGGAGAAGGTGGAGAAGTGCTATGAGAGCTGCTCCGATTTGCTCGCCGTGTCCGACGACAATTCGGCCACCTCAGCAGTGCTGGAATCGAAGTACAGCTACTGTTACTCCGTATATTCGAGGTGTATTGCCCAGCTTCGGGAGAAAATTGCCTCCCAATCCACGCAGGCTTCCGTCAATGTCCACACGCCCGCGTCTACAGGCTGTCGGTTACCTCCAGTGGATACCGAGGTCTTTGCGGGTGATTACCTTCGGTGGCCCACCTTTAGAGACTTGTTTGCGGCCATTTATATCCAAAACTCGCGGCTCACCCCGGTAGAGAAGTTGTTTCACTTGCTGTCCAAAACAAGTGGTGACGCTCACGCCATTGTTGCTAAGGCTCCGCTTACCCATGAGGGGTTTGTCGCAGCGTGGCAAAGCCTCACAGACCGTTTTGAGAATCGGCGGCTGTTAGTCAATAGCCAGTTGAAGATCCTTTTCAACCTCCAGGCTATTTCTCAAGAGTCCGGGGTCGCGCTAAGGGAACTGCAAGCCACCATTCAGAGTTGTCTGACAGCCCTAGAAATGTCCGCCATCAATGTTGAGGCGTGGGATTGTCTCCTGGTCTTTATGATTTCCTCGAAGCTCCCCAAGGTCACACTTTCTATGTGGGAGCAATCCGTACATAATAAGGCCGAAATTCCAACATGGAAGGAGTTAGATAACTTCCTGACAGAGCGCCATCGCACTCTGGAGGCCATCGACGACGTTAGGCCTAGTGGCTCCGGGCAATCTCCGCCAAGGTCGGGACTCCCTGCTGCCCCTGCACGGAGGCTCCATTCGTACGAGACTCGAGTGGCTCCGGGCCAAAAGGGATGCGACCTCTGTTCGAGGGAAAACCACCCTATCCGCTTATGTCCGCGTTTCCTAGAAATGAACGTGGACGGGCGCTCCGACTACATTAAGAGGAAGCAGTTATGCTTGAACTGTTTTGCTCGAGGGCACCAGCAGCGAGACTGCACGAGCGCCCATACCTGCTTCACATGCCACAGCCGACATCACACCCTCCTGCACCGCGGCAATCCGTTCACTACGGCTCCAAGTCCGCCTACTCCAGCAAGGGCTCGACCCGCACAACCTTCCAGAAGCACAAACGGCTCAGAGGATCAGTCGGATGTGCAGGTGTGTTTCGCCTCCGGGTCTGGAGCCGTCCTATTGGGCACTGCCCTTATCAACGTGTGCCATCTGGGGTGCAGTTTCCAGGCACGAGCACTGATAGACTCAGGGTCCGAAGCGACGTTCATAACTGAACGACTGTTCAACCTTGTCAAGCTTCCCTTCAAGACTATTCAAGCCCAAGTGTCCGGTCTTAATCAGACCATTGCCGCGCAGTCTACTAAATTGTGCCATTTCTCCATTCGGTCGCCGTCGAGACCCGGGCTACAATTAGAGACTGCGGCTTACGTTCTTCCGCAGTTGGCAGGAAATCTGCCATCATATCCGATTGCGCGAGATCGCCTCAAGGGGCTGCCCGACATTCCCCTGGCAGACCCCAACTTCTTTGAAAGCTCCCAAGTCGATGTGTTAATAGGAGCTGACATTCTTCCGTCCATTCTCCTCGGTAATACCAGGGCTAACATCTGCGGGTCGCTTCTCGGTCAGGAAACCATTTTTGGATGGGTGCTGACAGGCCCATTATCTCCAGCCAACCCTCGCAGCGTGTCCGTTTTTTCCACACGAGTTGCCCGTAGCCTCGGTGACTCGCTGGATCCGCTCCTCACCAAATTTTGGGAGGTGGAGGATGTGCCCACTCAGATTAATTCGGAATCGGATTCAGTTTGCGAGCACAATTTTGTCCAGACGACGAGAAGAGACGAGTGTGGCAAGTACGTTGTGACGCTCCCCTTACGCGACCCCGAGCAGAAGGGTTCCACTCAGATTAATTCGGAATCGGATTCAGTTTGCGAGCACAATTTTGTCCAGACGACGAGAAGAGACGAGTGTGGCAAGTACGTTGTGACGCTCCCCTTACGCGACCCCGAGCAGAAGGGTTCCGAGCTGTCAGCTTCACGGTCCTTTGCTCTTGCTCAGTTCCTACGTAATGAGCAGCGCCTGAAGAGGGACCCGCCCCTTAAGGCCCGCTATGACTCTGTAATACAGGAATACATCGACTTAGGCCACAGGACCGAGGTCTCTCCCACGAGCAGTTCCGCTACCTACTACCTCCCTCAAGATTTCTGTCAGCGATGGGTTGACTTCCTGGAGAATTACTCGGTGCTCGATCAGATTCGTGTTCCTCGATGGGTCGCGTTCCGACCACACCTAAGGGTCGAGCATCACGGGTTCTGCGACGCTTCAGAGAAGGCGTACGGCGCAGCAATTTACGTCCGTGTCGAGGTTGGGTCTGCGGTCATAGTGAACCTGCTGACGGCAAAGACTCGAGTGGCCCCAGTTAAAACGGTGTCGCTCCCTCGGTTAGAGCTGTGCGGCGCATTGTTGCTGTCTCGTACCTCTGGCCGTTATTCCAAGTCGAACTTCACACCAATTCTGATAACGCTGTTTTGTTTCTCCATCATAGTTCCGCCAGTCATATTCAGCACGATGTCGCCACGTCCACGCAGCGCCCAGTCACTGGAGAGCAGATGTACTCGAGGTACACAGTCCTACCGATGCCGAGTCTGCAGTGGGATCCATCCTCTGAAGAAGTGTCGGCGCTTTCTACGTCTCAGTGCCGAGAAGCGGCTCCGGGCGGTTCTCGTGAACCGGTATTGCTCCAGCTGCCTGGCTCACGAGCACTCCGACGGATCGTGTCGGCGTGGGGACTGCTGTAGAACATGTGGTCAGGATCACCACTCGCTGCTGCACCTCGTGGAGAAGCCACGGTCTCGGCGTCAGCCGCGTCAAGAGGAGCACAAGTCACGGAGCGCGGGAGACAGTACACGGAGTGTCTCAGCTAGCGCTCGGCCGTCGTCCGCCAACTCCTGGCGTGGTTCGGTTGCTTCGCGGCCTTCGTCTGCCAACTCCAGGCGCATTTCGGTTGCTTCGCCGCCTTCGTCCGCCACTTTCCGGCACTCACAAGCCGATCCATGGCCATCGACTTCCCGGCGCTCGTCGGCAGCTCCTCGGCATTCTTCCGCCACTGGCCGGCAGGCTTCAGATGCTCCACGGCCTTCGTCCGCCACTCATCGGGTGCCGTCCACCGCTCGTCCGCCCGCGTCATCCGCGCCTAGGCAATTTTCCGCTTCTCGTCAAGAGCCCCCGAAGGACGCGGCCGCTGCGCCCACCCTATCGTCGCTGCTGCAACGGAACAGCGTCAATGTGTTGCCGACCGCGATAGTGCGCATCGCCATTGCCCTTATCGACCCGTGTACGCCCTCAAGCTGCATCGACGCATCGCTAGCGGCGAGTTTCCGTCTGCCCACTACCAGCGTGGGGGACGAAGGAGTATGTTCGGCCACCGTGGGTTCAAAAATGGATGATAGCGTACGGCTGGAGGTCGCTTTCAAAATCGAGCCTCACATGCGCGTTCATACGCCGTCTCGAGAGCTGAGCGAGGCGGTGCGTGCCCACTTCCGAGGCGTGACATTGGCGGATGAGCGGTTCTATCTGCCAGCGACGATCTCCGTTGCCCTGGGCGCGGACATGTACCCGCGGATCATGCAGCCGGGCTTCCTGAAGATCCAGGACGGGCTGCCAGTGGCCCAGAGCACCGTTTTTGGATGGGTCGTGTCCGGAGCCTGTCACCAACCGTAGCGACGAGGGAGCTGTTGCAACCCGAGTGATTGCAAGGGGGCGGGATGTTCAGATGAGGGGCTAATGTGCCGCCGAAGAAGAGCGCGTGAAGAGCGCATCCGCGCTGAAGAGCGCATCCACTCTAAAGAGCGCATCCGCGCTGAAGAGTGCAACCGCGCTGAAGAGCGCATCCGCGCTGAAGAGTGCATCCGCCCTCGCCCCTCTCTGAACAATCTTGCACTCTCGCTCTCTCGGGTCCAAGTGCAGCGGTCGGCCGTCGGCGATCGTCTTTTCTTATGCTAAGTTAAGTTAAGTTCAGTTTTCTTGTATGAAGTGAATAAACCAGACGGGCGATTCGACGACTCCCCCGACTTCCACCACAATCAAGAGGCATCTTTTTCCGGCAACACCGCCCCACTACAACAACCATAAGTATATAAATATGTGCATGTGTGTGTTAGGAAAAGCTAACGGGCCGTGTCAACACAAGGTTAACTTTTAACTTCCTCGAATGGCGTTCGTTGACTTCGCGGCGTTTAATAACTAAGCTAAAGCTGTTTTCTGCTGTTTTTTCACACATTTTACAGAGCTAATTAAGACGCTCGTCCTTCGCAACGGTAATCCTATATATCCCCGATCCGGTGACCCTGCTTTGCAGCTTCGCATTACCGCTGGATGCACGCGCATCTGATTATGCCGCATTATTGCGAACAGCGTCATTTTCCGGGCTAATAATTACAAGGAATCTTAGTATCCTTCAATGTTTGCTAATACATGAACAGAAAATATGGAAACCTCATTTTTGAATATAAATTTTAGATAATTGATATAAATATAAGTATTAAAATAACATATATGTATAAATATATATGCATAAAAAGTTAAAAAAAAAAAACAATATTAGAAGTAAAAATAATTTAACTTAGTTTAAAATCTATTAATTTTTGGACTTTAAGTCAGAATTTAAATTTGGCGCTCAATTCTAATATTTTGTTAGCTGAGAAAAAGCTGCTGGCTATAAATCATGTCCTTCGGGAGGAGAACGGTCATACTTTAGCATATATACCCTCCTATTTAAGCAAGTACATCTACCAAATCGAATAGCCACCCCTTTTAACCAACCATAATCGATATATGTATGTGGAAATATCTATGGTATCGAACAAACATCGATTTTTGTTCCAGCTCTAGCGTTTTGCTTTGGTTGAAAATACAATTAAAAATTGATTCCGAAGTATTTAAATATTCTGCATCGCCAGGTGAGTGCGTGTTAGCAGCATTGTCATCTCCTTCGGCCGGAAAAGTGTTAAATATCGAATAAACCATCGTAATCATGGTTAAAAGTCGGTTTGAAAAGGCGCGTCATGTGCTGGAATCGAAGGAAATGCGTTACAATGCAATCGCATCTAGCCGTTGCTGTTGTGTTTTCAAATAATTACCAGTAACTAACTAATTTTCAAACCTCCCAACCACCCCCTGTTATTTTAGCCATAAAAATCTGCGAAAAGCGAGCGGTGGCGGCATCGAAAATACCGAAAGAAGCACAAAAAGAAGAAAAATTTGCAAAGCTGCGTCTGTGTAAGTGAGCGTGTGCGAGCGCGCGAGTGTGTGAGTGCGAGTCTTTTTTGCCTTTGGTGCGTGCGCTGTTTTTCGTAGGGAGCCCACCAACAAAAAAGGAAAAGAAAACACACAAAAACACAAGAAATCGGCAAAGGAAAAAGGAATCCAAAGCGACCATCCAAAAAACACAAAACAAACAAGTGCCGCTGCAATGGAGAAAAGAATAGAACTGGAGCGACGCGCACGCAAAGTAAATCAGGTATGTAAAAAAAAAACGCGCCACAAACTTAAATTAAACCCTAAATTAGAAGCCATGTTTGTGTGTCAGTACATCATCCATGTAAATCTAGTTTCAATTTGGATTTAGACGCCATATAAAAAGAAGAAGCGGCATCAACAAGGAAAGAAGGAAAAAAAGAAAAGAAAAAGAAATTGATCGCCATAAGCAAATTCTACACACATGCCTTTGTATAGGTGTGTGTATGTATGTGACGCCAGTGTTGCCATGTGCGCGCATTTTTGCGCCTTGCCTGCTGTTTGCTCCTTCGAAATGCAATTTTCTCGACCCCCTAACTCATATAACATATTTCATTAAAACATTATTTTGCGCATGGGGTTGCACCATGTTCAGTGATCTTTTGAAATCAGAGAGCAACAACACCTGAATTTTTATTATCTCCACAGCTGGCAATGCTGCCTGGCTTTTTGTTCTTGTTCTTGCCGTTGCGCTGAGTTGTTGTTGCTGTTATTGCCGGCCTTCAATTGTGACAAACACGGCAACATGTGTTTGTGTGTGCGTGTGTGTTTGCTGCATGTTGTAATTTCAGGTTATTTGATACCAAAATGTATCTATAACAACATTATAGCGCGCGCATCATCCGCACAAACACACGCGTTCGACGCACAAAAGATACACATGCATACGTAAGACGACTTATGCACAAAATAATCGACACATAGCATATACATATATTGACTGCGCAGTCATAATACTTTTATGCTACCTCTCACCCCCTTCCTCACTCTAACGTGTGTTTACCTGCACGCCATCTCTAGCCATCCCGCTCCCGCCCACTAAAGTGCAAAAGAAATGCAGGCGAAAAGACAAAGCCGCTGATTAATAAACATGCGCTCTAGATGGCCAGCCTACTCAATCTCAATCGGCGGTCACCCAGCCACCCAACCAACCAAGCAACCACCCACCCACAATGCACCACACAACACAAGCAAGGCAGCAGCAAAAAAATAGCAACGCATACACACTCATTCGCGCCTAAGTCAAAGCCAAAAGCTGTGTGCATTCATTCTCACTCATTTGCTCAGATACAGTGCTTATTCTCTACCGCGAATTAAGGCTTATACAATTTGTCACTTTGATTTCTCACTTTTCTAGAGTGACATTCCGAAATTTCAATTTCCAAGTTTCTTATCTACTTCTTTAAAATTCCATTAGTTAAATATAGGACCCTAGAGAGCCTACCCCATTATTTCTTTTCTTATCAAAACTGAAAATCCCCCGAGTAAAATCAAAGAATTATTTTAAGCTTCACAAGATAAATTACAATTTCTAATTTTGTTTCGTTAACATGCTCTCCAAACACAGAAAAGGAATCTGAAACTGAATAAATATGCTTGATAATTAAGAAATGGAAATGGGATATTTTATATTGTTTACAAACTCTGTCATTTTCATCAGTTAAAGCATAGAAATTCACTATACATTTTGCACTCAAAGGTTTTTAGTACTTCATGACAGGTATGCTGTCAGAATTAAGAACTGATTTTTAGCCTTGAACATAAGTTACATTGAAAATGTACATACACAAGTAATCATATTTAAAGATGTTCAAAATCTCGTTTTCTAATTTATAGTTAAATTTATAAAGTGTCCCCTGTAGCCACATAACTGTTCTTCGGCTAGACAGAGACAGACAGACGTACTCTGAAGGCACCCATTTTGTTTCTTATTGTTATTGTTGTGGCGACGTGACATATTGATAATTGGGTAATCTGAATTGAACTTGCACAGCCTCCAAAAGGCGAATATGTACATTTATTCAATCGTAAATTATCGGAATACAAAACAACCTCCTCCTCCCTTTTCCGCCGCCACCCACTTTTCCCAGACAGGCGCAACAACTAAACTACGTCACGGTCAAACATGTTGTTGTTGCGACAGCCGGCTTGTTCTACTCTCCTCCTGCCATCTACCTCCCACCCTCTTTTCAATTCCGTTTTGTCCGACTTCTCTTTGCGCATTCTTCTTTGTGCGAATGCACACGCACATATGCACAATCTGGCACATACACATACACACACATATTTTAGGGTTACATAAACGCGAATTGGCACTTTTTCTCATCGTCGCCTGCATTAAAAAATTGTGCAATTTGGCGATTGAGCAGCAGCAAATGTTTACCAAGTCGTTTGTCGTTGCGCCAATTAGGTTATTTCCCATGTAATGTCGATTTTCATTTCAACAAAAAAATTCTCAGCGTTTGATCGATTTTTGCGTATGTATTGTTCTCCATTTTTTTTTCTGCTCGCTTTGCGTCAAAATTTTTTACCAATGTGACCAAACTGGAGGGTTTAAAAAAATCCAAAATGGTTTACAAAAATACTAATAAACTTATTTGTTTAGCTAGACGAGAAATACTATCGATAAAGATATTTTAAAATTCAATAAAATAATATATTGAAATTAATATTAATAACCATAGCTTATTTAAGTATTAAAAAAATTATTTTTGGCAATCAAAACTAGAACTTAGAAAGTTTATACATTATATAACCACTTAACTCTTGTTTAATGCAGATCACAGAACTTAATCTGGACAATTGTCGGAGTACAAGCATCGTTGGCCTTACAGACGAATACACCGCCTTGGAATCGCTAAGCTTGATCAATGTGGGCCTCACCACACTTAAAGGTTTCCCCAAACTGCCCAACTTGAAGAAGCTGGAACTTTCCGATAATCGGATTTCGAGCGGCCTCAACTATCTGACCACCAGCCCCAAACTGCAATATCTGAACTTGTCCGGTAACAAGATAAAGGATCTGGAAACCCTAAAGCCCCTGGAGGAATTTAAAAACCTGGCTGTGCTGGATCTGTTTAATAACGATGCCACTCAGGTGGACAATTATCGCGAGAAGATCTTTAAAATGCTACCATCGTTAAGCTACCTGGATGGGTATGTTTTGGTTACTTATTTTAAAAAATAGTTGAGTTCATGAAATTATGTTTAATTTTAGTTTTGATTTAAACGATGAGGAGGCGCAATCTGACGACGATGATGATGACGAGGTCAACGGCAACGATTCCGACGAAGAAGGAGGTATGTATTTTAATAACTTTCATAAAACTCCGCAATTGACAGAATTCTTACATAACTAAGATTTATCAGCATTCACCAAAGATTTAAAAACTCATTGTCTGTCTGGTTATTTATTTCATTACTTTTTGGGGTTTGTGGTTTCTTGCGATCACCAAAAACATAAATTTTGAAAACTAGCTTCTGTCGCCTTTCAGATAAGCGAAATGCATTCTGTTTGAATGGTTTAGAAATTGATTTAGACGAACTCGAAGAGTTGGAACAGCGAGTCAAGGCGAAAAAGAGTTTGCAGGACAAACCGCCTCCAAAATCGGAGGATCCAGAAGTAGACGAGTTAGATGAGTACCTGAAAGAGTTGCAGCTTAGAGAATCCACAGTTGCTGCAACCAATGAACAATCTGTAATAAAGGCGAGCCAACAGCCCCCTAGCAGCAACCTCAACTTAAATTTCGCTATCCTGCTGTATTGGGTTTTAGCCATTTTAAACCTGGCCAATGCCACATATTGTAAGCATGGCGTTTCTTAACGCTTTTCTGTCGAACTTCTCTAACTCGGAAATGCTTCGTCGAATTCGTACTACTTACAACGTTTTTATATTTTTAAATGACAATTAGCTTTATGCATGTAAAATAAATAATAATAATCGTAAATTTTATTATGTATGAAAGTTCGAAATTTAGGGCAAAAGTATACAAATTAATTGACAACCATCCGTTTTAAATCTAAACTGTCGGATTGGGGAAGTTCGAGCTATACAAGGAAGTTTAATATAAATTTTACTTTTACTTTTCAGTTTCCGGGGACGACGATGACGAGGAGGGCGACAGCGATGATAGCGACGAGGAGGACAATGGCGAAGTGTCTTTGTCACAGGTGTACAATGACGATTTGGAAGAGGATAACTCTGACTGGGAAGGCGATGGCGACGGTGGCGAAGACGACGAGGATGAGGATTCCGATATTGATGATGCCGATGGTGATGCTAATGAATCAGCTGCATCAGTAAATGCCAAGGAAGACAAGGATGGCGAAAAGGCAGAAGGTGCGTTCAACTATATTCATTTATTTAATTTCAATAATATTGATTAAATTGTTATCTTTTTTTCAGACGAATCGCAAGTCCGGGGCAAGAAAAGAAAGCATGATGGTTAAATCCTCGATCTTTCGCTGTATCGTCTTAGTACGTTATAAATTAAAATACACACCCACACATACACACAAAACAAATACACAGCCACACACATCATATTTTGATAGAAAAAGATGATTAACTTTTTAGGAAGCCCACAATTTGTTTCTCTAAAATGTAAGCTAAAGAAAATGAAAAATGACAAAAAAAAAAAAAAAAAAAAAACACAAACGGCCCAAAACAAGAAACACAGAACACATAAGGAGGAGCAAAATGAACGTAATAATCAAACAAAGCAAAATAAAAGAAAATATAATTTTAAGCGAGAAAAACCAAGGGGAATACAAGAGAAACCAAGCAAAAAACCAATAAAACGCATGACTATAGCCTCATCCGAACCCAAGTTCAAGTTCCAATTTTAACACCTTCGTCAGTTGGATTTTTAATATGAAATCCGCTTCACATTGTAAAATTTCTTAGCCCTAAATATAAAAACAACCTGTACAATTTTTAACCTCCTAACGTCTTGCTCTTAAATTTCAACCACTAATTGGATAGCAAAAAAACAAATCACAGCTTTCCGACAGAGTTAAATATTTTATTTGTACAACTGCGGCTTTGTCAACGTTTCGCGTGAAAACGATCACACAATTACTGCTAAGAACTTTTAACTAACTTAAGTCATTCCTTCTTTGAATACGCATAAGTTAAGCAAAATCCAATTTCACGATCACTTTCTACGCAAGGTGATTTACCCACATTTTCATTGTTACCCACCTCCCCCCGACATATATACACTTTATCCACGTCTCCCTAGGCGTAAAGCACTCGACATTGAGCATCCCAAATTGTTTTCCTTTATGTACTTTTAAGTAAACTTCTTACCATATACCGAAATGTTTCCACTTATTCAACGGCAGTAGAATGTTTTCATTGAATGTGGCGAGTACATCGAGCACACAAACAATTTTAGAAAAGATTTTTCTTTAAATAAACAATTATAAAACCAATTATTATTAAAACAGGAACCCGAATATTTAATGAGATGAGAAGTGTCTGTACCAGCCCATTGAAACTGAAATACATAAAACTAAATCATTTTAAAATTGTGTTTTTGGGGGGCATACTGATGGCGATTATATGCACAAAATTATTTTATGAAAGATATAAGCGTTTCTGAAGAATATTTAAGATATAAATCAAAATACACACTCTTTAACAGTTGAGAAGTTCATAATTTTCTTTTAAGTTTTTAGATTTTGTTATAATTAACCTATAGTCAACAATTTGAATCACTGGTATTTTTAAAAATCCGTTTTGTATTTTTTAACGGTTACAAGTGCTGATAAAACATCGATATGTGCATTAACTGATTATAAATTTGATTTATATGGAACATAATATTTAGTGATATTAATGGAAAATAACATTTTTGGACCCAACGGTTCTGATTGTCTATTGAATTTTGGCAGAAAATATCGAATCGTTCTATCGTTTACGGGTTATCAAGCTGGAGCACCTACGGTCACACTGGATCTCAAATTCTGGCGCAAAGCAAACCAAAAACGAAGCGTCGCAGTTAAACTAGTTAAATGTGTCAATTCCTTGTGACAAAATGTCTAGTGATATAGCTAATCAATTGAAGGGAAGCCGATCCGATGTGGAAAAAGTCTGCAAAACGGTAGAGGCTAAATTCCGATTGCTGACAGAAGAATCTCTTCCCTTGAGATACGAAGTCAATGTTTTGCGCCATATTTGCATCGCTTTGAAGGATAACATTTACCAGAATGCGGATCTTTACTGCGATATAGTGGGAACAATGCTGCCACGTGTGGTTCCCTACATGGAGAAGCCTAGTTTATGGGAGGCGCATTTGACCAGTCTGCGGTATATACATCATTGTTTGTGTCAGGAGGTAAGATAACTTATTAAAATTTGAATATTCTTATCAACCATTCTATTTTTAGCGATCTATTGAAGCCTGCCAGAAACTATACAACCTTATTCGAGCTCAACCCTGCCTCTTACAACAGGATACGGACCATAAAGCGTATCTGGACATCCATTTGACCCACTTTAATGGCATACACTTGCAGCTGCAGAGGCAAAAACTTCCTTTGGAGGCAACAAGACACCTGGGTTATGCACTGGAATGCCTGGGAGAACTTTTCGATATTATGAGGCAAAGGGAAATGACCCAAAGTGGACCACTTTTGGCTCAGCTAAATGAAAGTTTGTTTGGCAAAAGAAGCAGAACATTTTTTAAGACCCTAAGCTTTCTGCCCTCTGAGAGTTTATCCAAGATGTTTATTCCTCTTCTAAAACTCCTGGCCAGCAGCTCTGTAGCGGAACTACCCACCCTATTTTCTGAGTACCTTAGTTTTACCTTGGCCCTCGTGCAAATCGACATTCTAAGTCCCCAATCCAACCAGCAACTATCGTTGCAGCTGTTACGCATGTGCAAGGAACTTTTCCGCCAGGAAAGCAATCTAAACTATTCCCTGCAGCTGTTCTACTATTATATCAAGTTAATCTATGTTCGGGGACCCTCATCCGATTTCAAACGAGCCTATATTGACCTTTCCCAGAAGTTTCAAAACTTTTTTGAACATAAAACTGTCTCTTATGTCAAGGAACAATGGGTTACGGATCTACTGGTGGCCTTTCAATTGCTGCAAGTGCTAATCCAACAGAACAGCAGTAAGTCCCAGAACCCTTTTCAGTTTTTCTGGCAGAATTTTGAAGGGGATGGTAGTCCAGAGATCTATACAGCACACTTTCAGTTGCTACACATCTGTGGTGGTTTGGCAGTAAATGTTACGAGGAGTCCACTGGGCTGCAGTTGCACAAATGAGGCCTGCAAGAGTGTGAGGCGGCATTGCATTATGGCTTATGGACTGTGCGCATTAGATGCGTATATTAACTGGCAACCGACGCAGGAGCAGAAAACAGATAGGGTGAGTAATCTAATGGTGATTCGGCTGAATTGCCGCTGTCAACATATTTATAATTCTTTCTTCTTCCAGAGCCCCCACAAACCTTTGCTAGGAATAGTTAAATACACAATGGATGTTGCCAAGACCATGAAGTGCCTAGGTCCCACCAGCGTGGAGCTTATCAAGCTAGTTCGTCAGCTCATTTATGTAGCTGATCAGGTGTCCTGTCCGGAGCAGATGTCCGTTCTACTGCCACTTCTAGAGCAACTACAAAAGCTACGACCTTTGATTGCCGATCAGGAAATGAGTGGTTTTCTCCGTCGTCTCTTCAAGGCCAGCAGCCATTGCAAGGATCTTAGTATTGCAAGTCGCTTGCAAGCTAGCTTTTTGGCCTCGCTTACGAATCCCGTTCGATTGAGATCTCAAATTTGTTTGTATTACCACAATCAGGGAAAAGAAGGAAAGGAGATCACCAAGTGTGTCTACGAATGGCACGAGTCTAGTCCACTGCCTTCTCCTCTTACACCTGCTCAGAAAAAGCAGCTTTATGATACGGATTTCTTTGCTGTGCTGCACTATTTAAGGAACCCATCTCCGGCTCATATGCAATCACTAATCCGGTGCCGGAAGAATGATTATCATCTGGTTCTCTTGGCCCGGGAAATGCGAAATGATGCTTCCATTCTGAATGAGTGCAAAGAAATGCGATCAAAGTTAAAGCAAAAGGGTTCTCTCAGCCGAATGGAGCATCTATGTTTGGGTCACGCAAATGTTGGATTGCTATTAGAAGCACTGGAGGCTCAAAAAACGAAGGTTTCAACCAAAGAGATAAACGAGAATTTGTTTGAAGAGTTGCTCCTCAGACAAAATTTGTCACAGATAAATATAAAACGAGAGCAGCGCTTGGTCCAGTTAGCTAGTGAATCAATATCTGTTTTTAACTACTTCTTTAGCCAAGCAGATCAAGAACCATTGGGCATTGAGGAAACTTATATCGATTGGGAGGCTTTGATTGACGATGCCGTTTCTTCTGCCCTGGGTCTTTCAAGTATGGGGTATCAGTCAGAAGCGGACGATGCCTGGCTGCTGCTCCTGAGAATAGGACGCTGGCTGGAAGATCGATTCACATATCTTCGAGCTCTGAACCATTTTCTGTCCCAGAATCAAGTTAATTCTAGTCTGAAACTAAAATTATCTGATGAAGTAGAATGGGCGGAGGAATGGCTGGATGATTTGTGGCCACAACTGCAAAATGGAAGATTCTACAAGCGACAGCACACAGTCGTAATGCTGAGTTTTTGTCATCTAGCCAGTTACTATGCCAGAATGGATTGTCTGAGTCACGCCCAGTTGCTTCTTCTGCAAGTGGAACAGCTTCGAGAAGAGTTTCCTGAAAGACTGGGAAAAAGTGACATTGTGTTGATTACCCTGCAAGCAGTTCGTTTTCGACTCAGTTATCAGCAAGGCAAGCCAAAGACTAGCAAGATGCTGACGCCCCTGCGACGATTGGACACTCTTCTGGAAAACGTACGGAATTTCTGCAATCTGTCGAGTTTAGATAGTGGCTCACTGCAGTTGCTTCTTTCGACTCTTGTCAGGGAAAGCACCGAATGCTCTTCAAACAGATTAAGTGAACGACTGGCCTTCTCCAACATTGTACTCCATTTGGTCCTCCAATCTGGTTTGGCCTTAAGATCCATAGAGGTATTTCTCGCCTGGTTGTGGACAAATCTGCAAATGGAGAATTTTGCCAAGGCGCAGTCAAAGTTGCGACTCATTGAGCACTGTTTGGATATAAAACAACTTACCCCTAAAGAATCTCACCCAGAGAAGGAAGCGATAAAAGATCCAACTATTATTGACCTAACCAGCAACATGCACCTTCTTCAGTTGGTGGAGCCAATCAGAAAGCAGCAGCAATTGAATACGCCCTCACTTAAGCTGCTCAACATGCAACAAAATACTCCAAACCCTCAACTTAACTTGGATCGCTACTTTACCCTAGATATGGCGCCTTCTATCGTTCGGGAGAACACTCAGCTTCAGTGCGTCTACTTTATAATGGGCTGCCTTCATGCTCGTCTACATTTTCTTCAGAGGAATAGCGATCAGTTGGATGAGTTCTATGAAAGAGCAAATAATTGGATTGAGGAAAAATCGCAGATGAGCGCCGCTTTAGGTTCAATGTTGCAGGTGCAGCAACTATATCATCTTAACTATCTGCGCTTCAGGCGAAAGCATGATGAGGCTATATCAACGGCTCAATTGGGTCTTAAGATGCGACTGCAAGCGGTTGATATTAACTTTGGGTACAACTTTATGGCACAGTTAAAGACCGCTAAAATAGAGCTAAAGCCCTTGATTCAGGAGAAATCAAAGTCGAAGACATTACGTCGTGCCTTGATTTTCAATCTTTCACCTGAAGATAAACACCGAACGCAATCGGCTTCAGCAATCAAGGATAGAGCCTCTAAAGCTAAACAGTCGGCTAAAAAGGCACCTAGATTCCGGATTTACGAGGAGCTAGCACTACGACCACCAAGTGCTGCCAGTAATAGTAGCGGAGGAAGTGGCTCGGAGAACACTCCACCCTCCAATAACGTGGATCTTAATGCCTGCCAACCGATCGAGATAAGCGACGATGAGGATTTACTGTCTCTACCACAGAAAAAGTCCCAGGCAAAGAGTAGAGATAAAACTAAGTCAAAAACCGCGGCGACGGCCAGTGAAGTCATAACATTGGATAATAGCCTGGAAATGGTATCTACGCCATCAGTGGCTTTGAGTTCAAGGAGTACAAGAGCTAAGACGCGCCAACCTTTGGAGACACCAAAGACTGCTCCTCTTTCAACCAGACGACCAAGGCGGCAGGTGACAGAACCTCCGGTTCCGGATACGGAGTCCATTAGCACTCGAACACGACACAGGCACTGATTTGGGATTAATATCCTTAGTTTTGGTTATTAAATTAATATTTAAGAACACATTTTTCTATTCAAATATATTGTTACAAGGCTGAGGAGTACAATCATTGAGTTTTTCCTGGTAGCAGTGGCATTAATGACGTTTTGCAGATATCTTGACTCCAAAAGCCTCGCTGAATCCGCTGGCCATCGTTGCCGTGGTAAAAAACACCACCTCCTGACTTGCAGCCTCTTTCAAATTGGCCTACATAGCGATTCCCATTGGCTATTTATTAGAATATTAAGTTAAAATTCAGTGGAAAATCAGTACTCTACTCACCCGTAAAAAGTACACCCCTTCCGTGCATTTGGTCCAGGAGCCACTCCCCGACATAAATACCTCCATCCGCCTGCCATAGAATGCCTTGACCACTTCTCTGGTTCCCTAACCACTGACCATAGTACACAGATCCATCGGGATAGAACTGTTTTCCCTCACCATTACGCTTATTCTGCCGCCACTGGCCCACGTAGATGCGTTGAATGCTGCCATTGGGCTCCTTGCGACGCAGAGTTCCATAGCCGTGTCGCTGGCCCATCTGCCACTGACCCTCGTAGACTAAACCGCTGCTAGCTTGTTTTACTCCATAACCATGAGGCTGCATGCCGAACCATTTTCCCTGGTATCTGCCACCGGGATACCTTTGGCAGCGAACTCCAGAACTATATCCGCTAGATGGGCACGACATGTCTTCGATGACTGAAACCAGGATAAGCTCTGTCACATGCGGCTGGTGCCATGTGGTGACTTAGAAGGGCTTAGCCCGGGCTGGGGCCCAGTGTGCGTGCGGTGTCACTTTTCTAATCAACCCCCAGCAGCATGTCTTGCCACCATTTGACTTCCTCCAGCTAGTGGCACGCAAACTTAAGGAGGCCAAAGACATCGCCTCAATAGAAAATCGTTTGTTCCCGTTAAGTATATGTGGAAAATCGTTTAATCAGTCGTATAAATTACAATGCTATTTAGCTTACATCGGTAAATATCGAAGATACTTTGTTATACTAGAAGTCGATACAAGTTTACAAAATAAAAAGGTGGTCTACATAATAATATTATGTTGTAATTACAGCACAAAATATTTTTGAATTCTTATCTTTAATTTCTAATACTTTTTTACTTATTACATAAAATCTTTCATTAAGAATCCTAAACTCTATACTGTATACCCAAAAATAAAACTCCAACACCATATATAGAAAAATCATTTAATCATAAATTATATAATATAAATTACAGCGCGGTTTCGCTTACATAATTGACCTAACATTAAAATTAGGGGCTAAGACAATCAAGTTGTGTCCAAAATATTCTTAAACAATACAAGGGAAGACTGCCAAGGATGTTTCCGAAAAAAAAGGATACGGCATTAAAATTTAAAATTTACACGCAATAAATATATATAATTAACAAATATGAGCTAATTTTTTGAGGAATATTCATCGGACATTTTGGTCCAAAGTATTGCTTCAATTGGGGTCTTTCATCATTGTCTATATCCGGTGTGCCTTGTAATTGCCATTAAAAAAAATAAAGAACTACAGCACTTGATTCACACGCAATACAGTTTACGTATCATTTAGTAGAAATCTACTTCCTTCCGCGTATCACAAATTTACAATATATGTGTATGTGTTTCACTAAAATAATCTGAGGCTTGCCCTGAGCCGCTATGTCTTTTTCGTTCAATCCACCGTCTAAGAACCGTGCTATACGTGCTAGACAATATCCCCGGAAGCGCCATAGTTCATGCCATTATTTCGGATATTGTTATGATGCTCCAGATGATCCTGTTCCATCTGCTCCTTTAGCATCTCCAGTTCTCGGATACCCGAAACTGTCACCTCATACTTGTGCGACACCAAAGACCGATAGAAGTGTATGGCAAAGGCCATGAAGATGATCATTACCGGAATGAGGACCACACAGGCTGACCATGCCGCCGGCGGACTCAGATCATAGAACTTCACCCAACACAAGATGGCTATCTCTAGTAAGAAGAGTATAAGTCCCAGTAGCGTGGAGAACGCCCACGCCGTTTCAATATACCAATGCAGACGCTCGTGCGGAGATTCATGGACCAGGGAAATACTGTGTAGATTACACACCGTCTCGATGTTTGGCAGGATACAGGTGCTGATCATCAGGGCCAGCATGTGCACCGCCACCAGGAGGGTGGTGCAGATGGCGAAGGCTATCAGCATGCCCGGTGGTACACTTGTGTCGTGATCCAGTTGCACCTCCACCATTGCCACCTATATGATCGAGATCGGAAACAAAATCAGTCATTAATGATTTTTATTAAAATTAGAGAAGAATCGAAAGCGATGCCCCCGGCATTGCCTCTTTTATTATTAGCCATTTCTCGTGAGAAAAGTTGGCAGCTAAAGCGAAATTGCTCTTATATTATATGATCTGAATGGACTAATTTATCTGATCCGCCTCTAATCTCCTGCCCCTCCTTCTGCCACAACATTTCAGGTGTACATGTGGAATGCATAACAAGATGAGGAACGAATAAAATAAACTAATAAATACCTCTCACATAATAAATTAATCTAATTGAAAGCATAATTCAAAATAAACGATTAAAATAAGCAAAAATTAAGCAATTAAAATGGAAAATTAAACAATATCTTATAAATAAAATAGTGCTTTAATTTGATTTTGAACTATAAATTTGAGTAATAACTTAAATTACACTTTCTCGTGTGTGAAATTCCTAAATATAAGATTTCAAATCTGTTACTAAAAACCTTAACAATGGTGGGAAACATACGGACTTATCATGATCTAACTTAATGCTAGGTTTCCGTTTTTATACCTATTGCATAAAATGTGGAAATGGCCTAATCTACCCATGATTAATGGGTAGAAAACAAAACACATATATAGCAAACAGCTAACAGACTTGTTTGACCAACACAAAGATAGTGCGAATAAAATCAAAACTATTTTGTTGGCCCTCAATTTGTCGCTGCCGGCATCGAAAATAATTATGTTGGTAAAGCATATAAGAAACTACAGCCAGCTAATTATTGATATATGTATTTGCATATGTACTTATGGCCCTGTCATGATTGAAATTACTTGAATGCGACACAGCGAGTAAGGGAAGCATTCAAACGGAACAAATAACAGATTGCATTTCGCTATATGACGACATGTCATGTGGAACCTTTTATTAATACTATAAAAATAGTTTTTAGGGTTATAGAGTATTTCGAATTCGTTATGGCACTTTCAATTTTATGCTGATCAACACATAAGCTATAAGAAAAAAAAAAGTTTGTGTGCTTTCTGCCAGAATTTTTGACCCTGCACATTAAGTTGGCTTTAATGTTTTGTAGAAGCTATACACACACCAACAATCACATTTTTAGGTCTGAAAATTATTGTCAAAATATAACCAAATTGTAGTCAAAGTAATGTCTAATTAATGGATAAAAGTTAAATTACTTAATAGGTTCATTTAATACAATTTAAATGCCTAACTTAATGTGGGTGCTGAGCCAAAAATATTTCAGACTCAGTGGCAAAAAATCAGATCTATAAAGTGATAGTTTCTTGAACGGACTTTGCTCTTATCCTGACACTAAAAATAACAGAAGTCATATCATTAATTTAGTTTCTAACGAACTAACATACTATACTAGAATTATTCTCTTTGATTTAGTTAGAAACGAGAAGTAAGATTGTCTTCCATTGTAAAATAATGTGTAATAGTTTAGTTTTAATAAGTACTTGTATATATATCATTAAACTCTTATCTGTTGGCATTAATCTGAACCTAAGCCTTTTTTAGTTACTATATAAATCAGTCAATAATTACAATAAAAAAAACTATATAGATGTAAAGATTTTGATCAACCAATTTCTACCTCAAATATAAAGCAAACTGATACCTAAAATCCTCCCCTCAATAGTGTATTTGAGAACACTCACCATGGCAAATCCTGAGAGCAGGGCTGATGTCTTACTGGAAGCCTTGAGCTTGGCCCGACTCAGCTGAAGTTTCCTCCAGGATAGATACGTGGGCGAGTGGAGATCCTCGCCGGACTGCGACATGCTGCTGCTGGCGGTGCGGTGATGTCCGCGCGGCTGAAAGCGGTAGGATTGATTCTGTTGATAGGTACGCAACTGAAAGGGCGGCGGCTGGGCCGCAAATGAGGGCGATGCTATGGAGGATAGTGGTGCGAGTGGTGCTAGTGGCGCTATTGGTGCTACTGCTGAAGCTGCTGCCGCTGAAGCTGCTATCGCTGAAGCCGCGAATGCTGGCGAGCCGTCTCGCTGCGCAGTGAAGCGTCTCGTTTGCGGCGAATTCGAATTGAACTGGCTGTGATAGAGATACCGCGACGACCCAACAAAATTGCTCGCTCTGAGATTGCCCAGTTGGTGAGCGGGCAGCTGGTGTAGATGATGGTGTTGGAGGGGCTGCTGGGTGGTCTGGTGGGACTGGTGGGGCTGTTGGTGGATGTGACTGAGGTTCGGATTCTGGCGCATATGATCGCCGTAGTCGCCGGTTGCCGCTGTGGCTGTAGCCGCCGCCGTATAGGCATCCACACTGGCCGCCAATCTGGCAGTGGCATGCAGAGCGCTCGCCAAGGCCGAAGGTTGCTGCCGAATCCCCATGCGGTTCGGCTGGGGATGCACCTGGTATCGCCTCGATATCGGCATAACATCCAGGGTCTCACTACTCGCCGTTCGTTCGGTGGACGATTCAAAGGAGCCCTGCTGATGGCTTAGCATCAAACTGCTCTGACTCAAATTTGCCTGGGCATAACGCAGATTGCTAATCCCTGTCGCGGGCAGCAAATGCTCCTCTTCGTGATCCTCTGCCGGCGGCTGGGCTGTTTCTTGCTCTGCAGTCTTCATTGTCTTCTGTCGACGAGGTGGCTTTAGAGGTATCTGCTCCTCTTCCTTGATTTCCCCTTCTTCAAAAGGTGGCATGGGCTATTGCCTTATTTTATAACTTTGTTTTCTTTTGCTCTGCGAGATCAGATGCTATCAGTCTGAAATTTTTTCTAGTTTTGGATGGGTTAAGGGTGAACAATTCTATTGGCTTTCTGTGGGAAAGGCAACAAATTGTTTATCTATCGAGATATTATGTAGCTTTTCTTTTAATAATATTGAAACTTTTTTGAGAAGAAGTTCGATCTACAATAGCTTGTTTATAATTATGAAAAATCATCAAATATCTCTAATGTCATGAAGTTATGTTGTTTCCAGCTTCTTTTAATGTTTGGTGTGATTTAATATAAGTTAACGATCATCCAAACTTCAGCTCTGACAATTTATAATTTTGATTTTGCCTCCAAAAGTTTTCTCTATACAGTCTGAGAGATTTCCTTCTTATATAGTGTTAAAAGTCTAGCTTACTTAAATTTCAGTTCTTAAGCTGTTCCACGAAAAATACCGTTTAGTTTTGTGCTCCAACAAGTTAACCGAACAGATCGACTGATTTCCAATGTCTGGCATATATTAATAAATGAAATAAAAAATATTCCATCAGGTCATAAAGGTCCCATGTTGGTTATCGACAACGCCCTGCCTCAATTATGGAGCACTTTCTTAGAACGTTTCAATTTGCTGTTCACAGTACTCCTCGATTCGCAGCAGTTATATTATTCATTTGTCAACCATTTGGACCTCAGTTCTATATGAATTTTATGGCTTTTCGTGAACTTTTCTCTCTCTTTTTGGATCTTTGGAATATTAATGTTATTACTCTTGATCTCAACAGAGTTTTTATCGTTTTCGGGTCCCAGAAGTCTGAATTTGCAATATCAACTTGTTGCTCAGCTGAGGGTTTAGCGTTATCATTGGATTTACTCTTGGAAATTCACAACATTTATGATTCACAATAGTACACTTAGAACCAGAAGCTATTTAACTTTCAAAGACCGTTGATTCACTGTACTTGGCTTTTGTATAGATCTCAATTCTAGAGCTCGTTTGCCACTTGTTACTGTAATCTCACCGTTTTCCGGTTTTGTTTTGTTTTTTCGTTGGAGCTTTATTCGATTTTGTTCCGTTTCACTTGGCTGATTTTGCAATGCTTCCCATTGATGATGCTGAATGATTTTCGCTGGCTGTTATTGTTTTCATCATTTTTTTTGCACATGACAATTGATCAACAATTACCCACATAAGCACACACACGCACGCTGAAAATTTTCTCGCCTCTCTCTCTTACTCTGTGCCGCACTCTCTCAGTGTATTTTTTTCCGTTGAAATATTTACTTTTTATTTATAAACACATTTTATGGGCTTTATAAAAATGTAAAATACATGTGTCAATAAAAAAAAGTTTTTAGCAGGCACTTGTTGGATGAACTTTCTTTGATGTGGCCAAGGCCCAGAGTTGTTCTTAACGACTGTTAAGATAAAAACAATTCAGCAGAATAGATCTGCAAACATTTACGGATGCTGTCGACACTTCCGCAAAAAATGGCCACGCAAGAGAACGGAATCGAAAAGTAACTCTTGCCTTTTCCGCCACAGAAAATTCACAATACAGGTGCGCGCGACGGCGGTGCACATTCAATTCGATTTCATTTCTGTGTCCGCGCTTTTCGCTTTTCGCGCCTCTTGTTCCTTCGGCGATGGCAAGTTAACAACTAACTGATACGGCTCTGCCAGCAGAGCGGCCAAGCTGAGCAGAGCGGTAAGCACTGGCGGTATGGCGGCACAGCGGTAGCTGAGCGGCAGAGACGACGATATTCAAATTCGACAATCAATTCGAACGGTGCGGCCTGCGATGACACAAAAAACAACAACAGCTACTATAATGGCAATCGAACTATTACAGTACAACTTCTCAATAACGAACGAAAACTAAATTTGTATAATACATATAAAAAAAATTAATTTAATTAACTATTGCAATGTTTTTTAAACCAAAAAAAAAAAACAACTTTTCAAAAAGTATAAAAAAATATATTTTTTTTTTTTGAAAATTATAATTAGTATTAAAACTATTATTAGTTTTTAAGTTTATGTATAATATAGGTATTCTGAAAATTCATAGCTAATTCAAAGATTTCTACTTTTATATACATTTTTTAGTAATCAAATTCAACCATCAAAATTTCGTGTTAGTGAAGTTGCACTGTAAAAAACAACCATTTCAATGAAAGCGTTTAAAGAGAGAGTGGGTGAGAAATAGAAACGGAAAGAGAGCTAGACAACAGACTAACAGACAGGTGGAAGAACTGAAAGAGGCGAAGCCAAAAACTACAGGAAAACAAGAAGTAACAAGGGGATGTTGTGAAAAGGGGTGTTCGGGCCGAACGAGGAGGCGGCGTCTACTGCTGCCGCTGCTTTTGGCAATCGATCAGCGATCACAGACTGATGAATGGGGAAGACAATTCGAGTGATTAAACACACGCACATACGACACAAACGGACACTGCACGGAAGGCCCTGAACTTAAACTAGTGATTCAAGATCCAATCAGCAGGCCGAAAAACCACTTGTGGCTCAGCAGAAACCCACAGACGATCAGGGACACAATGCTCCACATCTCTCAGAAACCATATTGTGGGTCAATATACTCGGGCACAAGTCTGTGTAGGAGCGTAACTCAATTTGTTGACTTTATTTATTAGATATTTTAAGTTTTGACACTTTAGCAGGCAATGGCTTTAATGGGTTTACCAAAGATCGGAAGATATTTGGACTAGTAAATTGTGAATCATTCTCAAAATATTGATACATTGTAGTAAACTTTCAAATTCTTTTTAAATTTTCAAGTAGCAACACAATACTATATGATAGATCCTTGATCGAACCAGCAAAAAACCAGGTTAACAACCAGATCATCACCGAAAGTTTAGACCCTCTCTGCAAGCTTGCCGAAGTCAAGGTTTTTTCGATGAACTTACGGTGATGATAGATACTAGTGTACACCATATAGTTTTCATCCTCGCAAGTGACCCCTCGCGCTACGCCATATAAAACTGTACCGCAAAAGAGTGGACTGCCCTGATCCAACTGGCACATATTGCCTCTACCAGTATAGCTGGCCATGCACAGGCAGGTACTGCAGTCCGACTTGCAAGTCGATGTTGGAATCTCTTCTGCCCTAAGCTGGAGAAGCTCGTTGGAGTAGGGTCCTTCCTAGAAGGAATAGGAGCTCCGATTTCTTATTTCATTTCAGCTATTTCAGCACTCACTCACATAGTACATCCTGCCCCAGCCGATTGTCCTGCAAAGCCATGTGCTGTTTTTCTTATTCAGAGGCAGTTTTAAGGCGAACCTTTGACCGGAAATGACACGATCCAGCTTTAACAGAGCCAACTTAGAGCATCCATCACCATTTTCTTCATCCAGCACCACCTTATCCACGGTAAATACATTTTCCTTCAATGGCTTTCTCAATCGTTTGTGGGTAAAGACAACCACTCTCATATTTTTCCGATTACTGGACCTTTTTGGTGTGCTCGCCGGCATGGTGCTAACACAGCAACCGGAGGTAACGACCCACCTTTTGGACAGAATGGAGCCGGCACAAAAGTGGTTGTCACCCCAATTCCGAATGTGTTTTCGCGTCCTAATGGACACCACATTCTGATAGAAATTGCCTGTTATGTAAAGGTTCTTTTCAGGCGCCTTGTTTTGTCCATCACAATGGGCAGCCAACAACAGGAGGAGGCATTGCATCGCCAGTAAGGCGGATTGGGACATTTGTACTTGTGTTTTTTGGGCGGGAAAAGTGGGCAAAGTAATCAACAGTAACTATGTTTATATGGAAATACAATTTTCCTATCAACTTTCGATCCATGTCGATAAGAAGAGCGAATGGAATTTTTAATTTTGTTGCACATAATCTCAGAATCAAATAAATCGATTCATATTATATTAAATACCATTATTATTTCTAAACAGGTTTTTTAAAATGATTGCCTTCAAAGTTTAAATGAATCAAGAGTATCTGGTTGTAACGAGAACTTTCTAATTTTGAATAATGTTTGCGTAAAAGTTTTATTATTTTTAGCAAATTCAAAGGTGATTAAATATTTATACAAGCAGAGAAATGGGCACATAAAATACAACTTGTTGAGCAAATAAACAGATTATTAAAACAGACTTTTTTGATTAAACAAGACAGTTTTCGCCATCGTTTAGTGAATGATTTTATAGAAAACATATGGTATATAGAGAGGATGTTGCTTAGAACATTAGAAAGAAAATTAAAATATGAATACCTCAGAAAAAATGTACTTCCCATTTTAAGTTAAGATTATGTAATATAAGGGAATCCAAACAAGTCGTTGCTACTGAGTCCGATTGAGATGGAAAGTGCCTCCCTTTTTTGGGCATACACAAGTACAAATCTGGTTAATGTTAATAATAAATTGCACTGTCAAATGGAACGAGTTTGCTTGGTCTTTCCAACCGCTTGACTTCCTTCAGAATAAACAAAATGCATCCACTTCAGATATATAAATAAGTGCAACTGATAAAGGTGAACGAAAAACAGAAGGTGTCAGCTGGCGGTTGGTATTTATTTTTCCCCCGAATCGCTGTCGAAATTCGTATGCAAACACACACCTGGTTTACAAAGAGACACCGCCTTAAGTTCTTTTTAGTGGGTTGTGGGTGAGTGCGTGTATCGCCGGTAACAACAAAAAAAAACCAAATAGTAAACAAAGCAGAAACGATAAGCGAAATGTACAACTCTTGGAGCCAATTAGACGCCGGGTTCTACGTTCATTTCCATGACCATTTACAATTTCATTGTCAGTGTGCTGCGTGTTCGCCAAAAAACACTGCTCAATAATTCAGCAGGTTCTCCAGGTAACTCAGTCTCAGTATACCTGTGATTTGTCTGTATGTGCGTGCTGTGTGTGTGTGTTTTTTTCGAATGTCTGTGCGATCTTGTTCGACTTGAAACGTAGGCCTTGTTTGTTTGTCAAATGTCGTAGATAAATCGAATGGGCGCATTCAGCAGGTTATTGCTAATTTCGATATGAAATATGTTATTTATGATGGAACTATAAAGACTAGAATCTGATTTATTTATTACCATTTTCGGGAAAACATTTTTAGGATAATAAAACCTGATTTAATTTTCTATAAATAATATTTCTAATATATCTTTCTATGAATATCTTTTTTTACCTTTTATTTTCATTTTATTCCTAAGAACATGGTCTTAACTTTAGAATTTTGCTAATTACCCAACTAAGTAAATAATATTTCGTTATTTTTTTCACAACAAATTCGTTTATATCGTTTTTAGACACCTAAATATAGCTGCAGCTAAATTACGAAGAATGTACAAATTGAATCTGGCAGCCCACTCAGCAATTGTCATTGTTCTTTCCTCGCTTTATTTTGATTGGGAAATGTACAAATTGTAATCACATAAAACAAAATAAGGCAACATTAACTAATTTCTGTCATTATTAAATAGTATTCTTTTGATTTAAAAGTACCTGGCTTGACTAAACTTATTATCAAATTAAAATGTCAAATATTTGATTGCGATTTGATATAGGAATTTTTAATTTATGACTATTATGATGACTATGACTATTACTATCTAATTATTTACTGATCCCCTCCCAGTAAAATGTCCTCAAAATCGGCTATCAATGCCAACATAAATTGCTTTTTGAAAGATAAACCTTGTGATCGATTACCAAATCACTGCTGAACCCGATCGCAGATGTGATTAACTGCTGAATGCGCCCATTGACAACGCGTGAGAGAGATAGTGATAGAGAGAGAAACTGAGAGAAAGAGTAAAATCCATAGCATCGCTTTAACAGTGGGAGTGGGAGAGAATGGGATGATCGGGGAGACAGATCTTAGATTGAAATTGATTTGTTATTGGACTTACCTTCGCTTGATTCTGCGAGGGAGGAGGCGGTGGTGGCGGGAATTGCAGCAGCGAATTACTGATGCTGGAACGCTGGAATCCTGCGCTGTTGTTGCTGTTGCTGCCGCTTCCAGTGGGACTGTTACTGTGATGCGGATGTGCGTGCAGCGGAAACTGCTGCTGGAACTGATGACCGGTGGCCACTGAAGTGGCGGCTGCAACGGCTGCGGCCACAACGTGCTGGAAGTGATGCTGCTGGTGATTTCCACTAGTGATCACTGCAGAACTCCTTGTTGGCCGTGGAACCGCTGAGGTAAGCGGGGACTTGGATGGCGTCTCTAGGCCCGAAGTGTTGGACGTGGTCCACACAGACATTTTGACCAAGCGATTTCTCCTGCGATTTTAAGTACGTCTGCCATGGTGCACGAAAATACAAGCAAATAGAAAGAGAGCAACGGATAAATAAGGCAACGCCACAGGTGCAAATTAAGTACAATCGGCGAGGTTTGAAAGTAAACTAAACAAAAAACAAATTAATTCAACAACATTTCGTTGCTTTACTTTTGGCCAGTGGAAAAATGACCTAACGCCTGACGCCAAGTTATCGATCTATCGATTCGCCTAGTGGTGGCAACCCTGCCATCAGCTGTCCCCCGCATTCCGATATTTTAATGTTTTAATGTCCAAAAGGCGGGAAATATTAAAAAGTTTGTACTTTGTGTGACTTTACTGTGTTTATGTTTCATAACCAGGTCAGTGCTTTTATATTTACTAATTGCCTAAGTACCTAAAAGTAGACCGCCACCAATTAATCAAACGCCCACCAAAGACATTTAAATTAATCAAATTGTTTGCAGAGCTTTACGGCCTGACACACATTTTAAATTGCCGATAGCTGCCAATTGGTCGTTTTATTTTATTTCTCGCTCTTGTTAAAGAGCTCTCTTTCTGTTTTGGTTTGCTAATTTTGTTTCACATTCTTCCGGCGTGGTTTTAAATTATTTTATTCTTGGTCTGAATATGTAAATATGTATATATGTACATACATACATATGTACATATGCACATTGCATCTGTCGCTGTTTTGTCTCTTGTTTTTTGTTGTCTGCCTTGAACTTGCAAATTTACGAATGAGTGCAAAGAGTACGGCATGGTTCTCGCATAACTGTGCTATTCGCCCTCCTTTTCTGTTTTCTAATATTCACACCCACACTTTCGCAACTGTTTGGCAATGGCTTTCTTCGCTTTTCTTTGCTTCATGCTTTGCCTTTGCTGTGCTTTTCTTTGTTTGGGAATTAATTTACATCCCATCGATAGATAAAGCGAGTCATGTGCCGATGAACAGCCCTAGAACCTAGAACCGTTATCTATTGGATATGCCCAAAGCGCAAGCACTCACGTATTTGCATAGCAACAGTCGTGATCAAGGTAATAAGTGCTATAAAGTTTAAAATTATACAGATTCTACTAAAAGACTTTGATGATTTATGAATCACGATTTTTAATTTACTCTAGATTTAAAAAATTTATAAAAAACAAATTCTTGAAACTTAAGAAAGTCATTATGTGTGTATTTCGCATGACCTATACTCAAAGTATTTTATTTTGCGGATATATGTATGCATGTATCTTTATTAACAAATTTTGTGAGAATGTTTCATTTATTACTCTGCTATTTATTTTGGAGACATTTTAGATTTACCTGATAGATACAATGTAGGCATATGACCTATACGAATATCCCTTGCTGTACGCAGAAGTACTTATTAGAATTTCCTTGTGGGCCGTGCGTCGCCTTCAAGGTGTTACAAATGTGCGCAAATGCCATTATCGGTTATCAGGCGGCTATAGCTGTACAATATTTGTTTGGCAACCGAATAAACAGGTCAGAGGGGTTAGGACCCAATAACTATACTCGTACACATAATATTTTTGCATGCCCTGCTCCCGTGGCAAGCACGACTTGGGCCGTGAATGTAAACAATTGCTGGCAATTGAAATCAATAAGCGATCCGAGTGCCGCAGACTTTGTAATCCCTTCTGGGTCTCTCGATTCCCAGCTCTACTCGATAAGTTTTCTTCTTTATTATTGCTTGGGGCATGCGACTCAAGATGCCGAGTCATTGGCTATTAATAAAACTTCGCTCAGAAATCGACTTTCGATAAGAAAAAAAATATAATAAAATAAATAAAATCAAACAATGCAAACACCATGAATGTGTGTCTGTGGGCTGTACTTATATGTAAATATGTACTTATATCGCAAATGAATTTGTTCAACTACAACATATGTACATAAACAATCAGCCGATTTGACAGTGACGCAGATTTCTAATTTCGGATTCGAGTTGGAGAGACAGAAAATTCTCGGAATTCAAACACTTGAGACTCTCAAAATCTTGAAGATTTCATAGATTTTGCCTATCAAAGAGTCAAGTTTACTGAAAGGTTCCGATGTTTAATTAGTGGCAAATAACTTTAATTATATAACTCTTAAAAGGTGTTTTTTTTATTAACTTTGAGCAGTTACAAAGTCCCTTTGATTGATCGAAATTTATTGCGTTTTACAGTTGAAATTGAATCTTCTGGTTTATTCTGCAATTTTAGGACTCAGAAAACTTCTAAAGTACTTATCTGAGACTAAAATAACTTAAATATGGTATATAAGTAAGTTATTGTTTTGTTTTGTAAGTAAACAGCTGCTGCCAAACTGATTCCGACTGAACCATAATCTCCGCATTTTTATGTAAATTCAGGCCTTTAAACCTGCCTCTGTAGATTAGAAATAGCCCATTTATGGCTTATAAATAGCCCCCCAAACAACCTTAAAGACTTCCGAATTAACATAAAATATCATCTTTAATTCATACTTAAAAACAGTTTTGACAATAGTTGACAAAAAATTAATAATTAATGTAATGATATTATACAATAATACAGAGGTACACAGCTAAGTACGCGGCACTTTTAAGGACTAATGGACAAGACAAGACAAGATCACAGGGGTCACAGGTCACCGGTCACCGAAAACCCCGCCTGGCAACAAATATAAGTAACAAAAAATATCCTCTATTTGGCTAACTAATTTTAATGGAGTATGGCTGAGAGTTTATTCCATGGGCCTTATTGTATAGTGGGCTTGATGGAACCCATGGAGTTTTTCCGATGATGATTGACCTCGAAACGCTTCATAATGCTGGCCACAATGGACGATGGTGGCATATCGGGATTTCCGGTTAGACCCCTATAGCCCAGGACACTCGAATCGGCCAGAGATCGGGCCAAAGTCAGTCTTTGCACAAAGGCATCGGTATCGATTCCAGGTACTTGTGATGGTTTCAGAAATCTTCTTGGTATACGGGATAACATATCCTCGGAGCTGAGTGGTCCAAAGCCCAGATTTATGAGTATGGCTTCGGGATCGGGTTTGCGGGCCTCCAGTAAGCTATCCACACTTGAGTACCGACTTGAGTCGGATTGTACGGATACTGAGCTATCCCTAAGGAGTAGACTACTAAATCTCTGTTGTCTCAGAGCCTGAGGACTCAGTTCGGGTGCCGTGCTGGAGGATTCAAAGGATTCTTCATGGCGCAGGCAACGGGTACTGGTGGTGGATATATGTCTTAAAGGCAAGGCAACGGCTGGCGTTATATTCTCCACATCCGGATCAGCATTCTCCTCTAGATCGGCAGCATATTCCATATCATCCGTATCTACGGCGGACTGCTGTCTTTGTAATTTTCTGCGCCTGCGCAGCGGTTTATTGGGCGGAAAGTGGGCGCTGGGCAGGTGATCACTGCTACCAGCCAATTGCTCTACGGTACCATCGACCTTGGACCCCGTCCTGCCCTCGAAATTACTACAGCTGTGCGAACGCTCCATCTTCCAGCGTTTTTTGTAATGGTAGTAGTAGTAGTGGTGTGTTATATATCTAGATATCTAGTATCTTTAATGAGTTTTTCTGCGGTCACGGCTGCTCGGGTTACAAGCTCGGTCGGAATTGCCGCGATCTCGATTCAAGCTCAGCTTTTGGACATATTTGGTAATGGCCAGAATCAGGGCCTTTAATTTCGAATGCGTGTGCGCGTGTTTTTCAATAACAAAAGCGACAACAATTTGTGTTATTTGTTATTTGGTTAAATTGTTGTTGTTGTTTTTCTTCTTCTTTTTTTGTGCGGTTTGGTACGCGAGCGCCTTTTTTGTACTAAACGTGTTTTTCTATATTCCGCGCGTTTCTGTTAATTTTTTTTTTTTTTTCGTTCGTATTTGCCGTATTTGTGTGTTATTGCCTGGTTTTTTGTTTATTTATTTCGCTCGGAGCGGAGGAGATGCGGAGTGTTAATCAGCCGGAGAGCTTCTGACCCCGGATTTGGAACGATCGAGTGTTTTCACGATCGCTTGACATTGATATTGGGTTATATTATATGGGGAAGTGTTGTGTTATTTTCTCGACCAGCTTTGTTTGATTTGAATTTCTTGTCAATATTTATTCACGTCTTAAGTACACAAAATATGCTTAATTTTTACAGAGTTCGAATTGAAGTTCGAGTTGAGAATTATTGTGGTTTTTAAAAATCGCTTCAGCTTTCTCTTTCCGCTTTGCTGGGCGTCCGCTTCGCAACGAGTGATCTTCAAAACTGAAACTGAAATCACAAGCCCCAAACGAAACGCCCCAAGCACGATCGGAGCTTTTACGCCGGAGAAAAAGAAAGAGAGAAAAAGAAAAAAGTGTGAGAGAGAGAGAGAGATGGTGAGAAATCAAGGGGCAAATCGTAGAGAGTGATATAGTTATATAGCAATCGTTCTGAGCTGGAATTACTTTGCGACCCGACGACAATTTCCCCAAGCGCAACGCCAATCTATTAAGAAATTTTGATTCTCCTCCACTCCCTTATACAACCCACTGCATCTCCCCCTCTCCTCCGTCTCAATAATTTCCCCACTCAATTGTCATCGTCTTGGGGGGAAAAACCATCGTGCGGGCTTTCGTATCTCCCCGATAAAAAATAATACTTTAGTATTATTGGCACGTTCTGAGACTCTGGAACTCAGATTTTATTTCGTTTATATTGTACGCCTGCCTTTCAGATTGCCCTTATTTGCTTAATGAAACACTTTTTACGGCTTAAGTCTTCCATTGTTTAACCAACTTTGGGGCATCATAAAGACCTCTTTATCTAATTGTTGCAGGAAGATTTCTGGCTAATTGTAAAAAGCAGCTAAATGGATCAGGCATAACGATCGTGTAAGCAACGAAGGCCTTTTGATCTTCGCACAGATTGTTTGAGTTGGTGCCACTCTTGCCCAGTTTCACATGGGAGATGCGGAAGAGTCACGCAAATGGAAAACACAAACAGGGGGAAATTGTTTAAACCAGTTAATAAAAGTGGCGCGGTAAAAGCTTTCCCAACCAAAAGCTTTTGGCTTAAACAGCTGAGGCGTCGGTTAGCTTTAACCGATTCACAGTGAATCGATCTTGGGTCTGGAGGTGTGCATTTCTTTTAAACACTGCGAGAATCTAGAACTAATATTTGAACCTAAAAATTGCAAATTTATTTAGTACTTAACAAACTATTTTTGTTTTACTTTTTCTCTTCTCAAAATATTTTCTTTGAATTGATCATTCTTTTTAGTTTTTGCGATTTAAAAAACTTATTTTCCATCTTCTCTTTCATAAACATAAACTGTCAATATTTTTTATTTTAATTTGAAATAAATTTAAGATAAATCCAAACCTCAAAGTTAATAGTAATCACGCCACCTACTCCCCTTATCCAATTTTAGCTTTACGACTTTTTAATACACACTTTAAGGCCAATGACTTTTCTTACGTTAACTTTAATGACAATCAGATATTATTTTAAAATATGCATTAAAATAAGTATAAGCTTGAAATTGAATTTAAGTTTGTCTCGGCGCAGGTGCTCCCTTTTAGCCAACCTCAACTTCAGACGAGTGTAATTCATACTTGACACGTTCTGGCCACTGACTTACTGAGCTGCGTAATTGGATCTCGAGAACGGTGGCAGCCACCTCAAGCCCGCCCCCGGCTAAAGGTTCTGTCAACAGATCTTCCCCCCTTCAGACTGACAAAGGTCTAAGTGTATCGGCTGGTAAGTATCTACATAAGTACTTACTTACTCACAGAACATGCATACATTGTGTGCTTGAAGCAAATTTACACAATTCTTAAAAAAAAACATTTAACTTTGTCTATATCAAGGCCAGACGATTTGGAAGTGCCATAAATCTAGCGTCTGCTATTCGTAGGAACAATATTTTAATGAAGCCAAAGTAAATTTTTTTATATTAAATACAATTAAAGGTGATCGGCGGGGGATGTCATAATCACGTTGTGCAATTAACTATCGACCCATGCCGATGCTGTGTTGGCAATCATCAATTGAACAAACCGGAGGGGGGATATCTAATGAATGTTCTAATATGATTGGACGATCGGAGTGGGAGGTTTCGGTTTGAAGTTCGAATCTGACTAGGAAACGGCGAATAAGGAAAATACCAATGTCGTCTTTGTTTCATGACTAGCACACGATCAGCATGATACGGCATCTAATTGAGTTTAGATAAAGGCTAGAGGTTTCAGACAGACAGATCCTGGGACTTGCCAAAATAATCATTTGGCTTAATTGTGAGGCAAAAAATATAAATTGCTTAATTTTCCCAGAAAATCTAGATTTGCGAGTTATGCAAGCGATATGAAACACGAAAGTTAAGCAAACCCAATTCGAATAACAGTAATTACAGTGACACAATGATGGCGTGCCAAGGGTTAGCCAGTGATTCAACAGGGCTTACACTGGAAGAAAAGTTAGGTAAAAATGTTGAATATGTCTTTTTATACTTTAAATATTTAACATTTTTTGTTATAATGTTTGTGAATTGGAAGTTTCCAAAAAACCACTTGGGAATTATAAGCTTTGAGAAGATAATTTAATTTCCATTCTAACGCCTTAAACTTTTCTTCTAAGAAGTTCCTAATCTAGTTTCATAAAATGACAGGATATAATAAATGTTTTTTGATCTCTTAAGAATATTTAAAGATATTGATAATTTTCCTCAGTGCAGTGGCCCTGATCTTGTTGGATCGAAAACCGTTAGGTTCGATTTTGTCAATGGCTCACGCGCCCTTTTCAATTGATAGTAATTGGCATCGAATAAAAGTTATTCGCCAGGTTGTAATGTATACAAGCGAAAGTGTAAATTGCAATTGAAATTTCAGCATTGTCAAGTAGTTTGAGTGCAACTTGGAATTGCAAATTGGCAACAGGAGAAGGGAAGCTTTAAATGGGAATGGATATGGGAATGGTTATGGGAATGGGAATGTGAATCCAGAAATAGGAGCTACTCACCTGTATTACACTATTTTACTCAAATTGAAAATCGGTTTTTTGTTCGTTGCCTTTTCTAGGCTTTCAAAGCACGTGTTTGGGCTGGCTACTTTTCCGGCTTCAGCTAATGCACTTTCTATGCCATCACACATCGAAACATTTACAGTCGAACTTCCATAAAAGGTAAAAGCAACTGTTAAAGTTAAATAGTTTTATTTGTAATTAGTTTAAAACTTGATAAAGGAAGTAGTTTGTTTGATTCTAGAAGATAACCAGTTTAAGTCGAATAAAAATGTTTAAAAAGATTTTACTGTTCAGAAGAATTTACCAATCTATTTTCTCCGTGTAGTTACAAATCTTTGGAATTTTACGCTTTAGATTATGATTATATACTATTAGTAGGTCATTTCGATTTATAGAAGTTCAAACGTAGATCCCAAAAGGGCTTACATTATGTAGCTGGAATCCACAACCGTCGCGATTCGTTTCGGAATTTGAACTGATGAATAAGATTTTCCAACTCGCCTCCGACTCTGGGTTATCACTCTTTGGGAGCTGTTTATGCAGGTTTGCTTTGTTATCTGCGGATCATCAGTGAGCTATTTCTCTACTTTTTTTTATCTTGTCACTGATTATAATTATTTTAGTGTAGTCAACTGTCGGCCAAATATTTGCACATTGTTTGTTGTGCAAATGAAATGCTTTAGACCCACGAACAAACAGTTACGATGCTTAGAAATATGCACGCAAAAAGAAGAACACGAAAAAACGAATACAAGAATATCTCAAAGCACAACAAAATGGGGGAAAAAAAAACGAGAAAAGATACAAGAAAAACCGCGAAACACAACAGAAAATAAAAAGAAACAAGATAAATACACGGCGGCCACGAGCACACACGTTCGCTTTTCTGCGAGCGCTACGAATGAATGAAAAGTGCGCTGCCAACGCAAAGATAAATAAATGCCGATGTCGCTGCCGAAAAGCGCAGCAGCAGAGCAAGCAGTCGACGTCAGCAGCGGCGGCAATGCATATTTTTGTTGTTGACCCAGGTAATTTTGCCGTTAGAATCGGTGGGTTTTCGAAAAGCCAATCAGCAGGTTTTTTTTAGATAGTTTTGTCAAATGTAAACGTTATCTACATATTTTAGAGCTATCTACATGGGTTTAATGTAATTTACATGTATTTTACATTGATTTATACATAGGAATGTAAAATCATTTTAGTAAAGAAAATATTTTTTTAAATTTATATTTTTTAATGTTTTCAAAGTAAAAAAAATGTTTTGAAATAAATGTAACAAAATCTACACTTACTAATAAGTTAGTTTCTCAAAAAATTTGTATTTTTAAGACGCAAAAAAAATAAAAATCCAATCCGTAAAATTATAAAATTTAAGTAAAAAAGATAGTTTTTAATATTAAGTAATAATTTGACAAAAAAAACTGTAAAACTGGTCATTATTATATTTTCTAATTAAAATTCATTTCTCTCTATTTTAAGGCACAACCCCATCATAAAAAACAAGTTGATTACTTTTTGTTCTTTATTTAAATGTTGTGTATTCATTATAATTATATTGTACAATTTGTTTTATTTTGTTTGTTTGTTTGTCTCTTTTTATAATTTCTCAAGTTGGACATGCACTTTGCACACGATTGAGTGTCATTTTGTTCTCAGTTGCATTTTCACGTATTTTTTTGTAGTTTTCTTTTTTATTCGCTTTTCTATTTTTCGCGGAATTGTTTTCCAACAGTAACAAAAAATAAATTATTGGCTTTTAAAATATATATATGTATGTTTTGTGTATACAATATATATATATAAATATATATATATATATTTTGTAGAAAGAGCGTAGAACTTAAGGTTTACGGGTAACTAAACGTAAAGAATTATAACATGCCGGCAAGATTTTCGATTCATCATCATCATTTCATATCCTTTGATATCATCTTATCGCTTCTCAATTTATATGATAATATTGTGTAATCTTGTATAGTTTTATTTAGAACTAAGGGCTAAAATTAAAAACAAATTGTGATGTACAACACCGGAAATGTCAAGTGGAAAAAGGGTATTTTCTTAGCCCAAAAAAATGGAGCAAAAGAGGGAGAAGAACTGGAGTTTAAGGGGTAAAAGTTGTTTAGAGATTAAGTGGGGGAATTACAATTAATAAACAATTAATAATAATATTGAGCATTGAACTCGTACTGTTCAAAATTGTAGCAATCGTTGCGGAGTATTCGTAGTTCCAAGCAAATCTCGCTGTGAAGTCTCTGCCTGAATTCAAATAACATTCATTGTACACAAAACATTTCGTTAATTAAATTAAACTGTTAATTATGGCAAACAAAGATTGTAAACGCATATGCGACTTCTTATTTATCCCTATACATATCATATATATCATGTATCTGTTATCTATATGTTATCGAATGTTGCGATCCTTTGTTGATTATCGATTCTTGATTAAAGGTTTTTTTGTTTTTTTAGTTTTTTAGTTTTGAATCAACTTTCTCGGTTGATCATTGTTCTTTAGATATTTTTTTGTTTTTCAACAAATGCACACAAATATTTTTAAAGTTTTTTTGTTTTTGTTTTTGTTTTTGTTTTTGCCTTAGCTTGGACTTAATTAAGATTTTTATCAACATGTTTTATTGCAGAGTGTTCTTATCTCTAGGTGTATATCTAGATTTAAGGATAATTACTTCTTCGACAGAGAGAATGTTTTTTACCAATGTTTTTTTTTCAATGTTTTCTTCATCTTTTTGTTGTGTTTTTGTTTTTTGTGTGTACAGAGATCCTAATTATACATAACAGAGAGAGAGAGGGTGTAGAGGAGAGGGGTAACGAGTTAGTTTTGAAATAGAAAACGATTTGTGTTTTGTGTTTGGGTTTTTTTTCAAAAATAATTTTACAATTTTTTTATATTCAACAAGTAAAACGCTTAAGCCGAACATACAAAATGTTTACTAGGTCTAGAATTCGTGTAGAGCTAATGATACCATTTAGATACACCTAAAAGATAGATTCGATAACTCTTCCTTGCCCTGGGACCTAAGGTCTTCTAGCATTAGCTTGGTTGGTTGGTTTAGGGGTGGAGGGGGTATTGGAAAAACACGAGACTTACTTCCTACTGGACAGACACTTTTGCACTCATATTTCGGGTTTCTATGAGCATAAATACACGGTACGATTACGATTAGGGCCTTACTAGACTATCTATAGACATAGCGAGAATTTAAAATTTGATCAAAAAATTTTAGATAATCTCATTGTTGCTAAATAACTAAATCGAATTGTTTAAGTTTAGCGTTTATATATCATTTTACATTATGTATTGTGGTTAGCTATTTAACTTCGAATTACTTCGATTTCCCATTACGTAACTACGATTATTAGACTTAGGCTCTATGGAAAATGGCTTATTGAAAACAACTTGTTGTGTCCGTGTTTTGTGTGTGTGTGGGTATGTGTGTTTTTGTGTCTTATATCGGGAGGGCTACCCGTACTGCCAGTGCTACTGATTTGGCAGCTCTGTTAGCGTTACATCGTACAGGTCGTCCTCGATTTGTTGCACCTCCAGCAGGAAGATATCCTCGTTGCAGTAGAACGATATCATATCATCGTCAATTTTCGCAGTAATCCTGTAATGAAAATTCCAATTTAAAATGTTAGTTTATGTTTATATATATCGATTTATCGATAAGTAAACATACACCCAGGCAAAAAGTTAGCACACGTTTTAAGTTAGATTTTGGTTTAGTTTAAGCTATGGCTAAAATGATGTGATAGGGCGGAAGGATGCATCCTGTTGGTGTATATATATATCTTTCTGTGTGGGTGTAATATCTGTGTTTTTCTCTAGACGTAGATCTAGTTCTAGTTCTAGTTCTAGTTCGTGTTCTAGCTCTAGATGTTAGAACTTGCTTACTTACCCCTTCTTGTTTGTGCGATAAATGTTATTTATGCTCGTTGTTGAGATTTTGTATTTGTTTTCAATCTGCAATTGAGAGACGAGAGAAATATGATGTTTTGTTCTGTTTTGTTGTTGTTGTTGTTTTTTCTGTTTTTAATGTCTGCTAAAATATTTCTCTTATAACTCGCTAGGTTCTTCTTTTATTTTTTCTTTGTGTAATTTTGTTCATTTCTGTGGTCAGCCAATCTTTATTTTTAACAGTGTTTGGTATAGAAAACTATATCTTTATTTTTATATATATTTTTGGTGCTTTAGTGTGTGGAATGTGTGTGTGTGTGTGTGTAGTACGAGAATCTGCTTGGGTTTTTAGCAGGTGTTACGAATGTATATACACGTGTATATATATACTTTTGGATGAGATTTGAGTTTATGAAATGGTTCGTAATTAGTTCCAACTACAGGTTACAAAAATTATCGAATTTCTTCGGGTGAGTAACGATTTTTATATATATATTTATATATATATATATTGATGTATATATTTAGATATTGAGATGTGGCTGATTTAGTCGATTTATGCTTTAGTCTTAGTTCGATTAACGATTTTAGAGATTGAACATTTTGGCGCTTCATTTGTTTGATTTCTTTCTTAGCGGATCCAATTAGACCAAAATGAACAAAATTACAGAAAAGGTGGTTAACCATTAGAACGAGTTTGGTTTTTGATTGTTTTAGATTGGGTTTCTTTTTTGTTTGGGGATTTTGGTTGGGTTTTTAAGGTTGGAGGGGGTTGGGTGGGTTTCTCTATGCTTACCGCATTCAGCAGGCCAATCGTGGTGGGCGGCACCACATGGAGGGGCGTATAGACTTCCTCGTTCTCCTGCCGCACATACAACATCACACGCTCCGAGGTTGGCGGCGTCATCCGGCCACGTTTCATCGGCGGACCAAAGTCGGTCAAAGGTGTGCTGGTCAGCATGTTCTGGTCCAGTATGTGGTCCTTCTTATCGCTGTTTTAGATGATGTTTAAGTGGAAAAATAGATAAAGATTTTAGTTAGTTTTGGTTTAGTATGGAAGCTTCCTACACTCAGAAGGATAACTGTGAAGGAATTTCTTTAAAAATTTCCAAAAGAATTTGCAATTTTCTAAAAACTCAACTAGTTTTCCATAACATCTGAGTGTAAGTTAAACTTTCTATTATGGATGGACGATTTTTACTCACGTCTGCATGTCGGGCGGAAAATGATTGTGAAACTTAAGCGTCGGCGTGGCAACCTTCTGGCCGTGGAGGAGGAATGGTGAGGCGCCCTTCAGGTCCGGTGAGTCAGTCTCATGGCCGTAGAAGCTCTGCAAGGACGAGTGCGAGTTGGAGTTGGAGTTGCCGTTGCTCAGGGGGTTGAATGTCATGCCAGAGCCAGCGCCAATGCTGCCCAGCTGACCTACCTTCTCCATGTCCTCGGCGGGCGAGAATAGCACCGGCGGCTTGGCGAAGTCCTGCATGCCATAGAACTCGGACCGATCCGTTACCGGATGGTAAAGCTCGTCCAGCTTCTTTCTGCCTGTTGCTGTCATCTTTCGCTTGGCTGCCCGTCGCTCTTCGTCGCGCGTCTTACGTTCGGCGCCCTAGAAAAGTATAGGTTTTTGGGATTAATATTGTTATTCTGAGTACACTGAGGAAAAGTTAGGGTTTTTATGAAATTTATGTGTTTTTAAGACACCATTTTAGGATAGCATCTGTGATTTTGATGACTCCCCTTCCTTTTGTAACTTTCCAGTGCATTGAAGATGCTTCCAGGTGGATTGCGAAAGCCTCCAGCCTGCAGCTCCCTGCCGAATTCCCACTGCGCAGGCGCACAGGTGCACGGGGCCAGCGTGTAATTAGCAATCAATCAAATGCACGGATGCCACCTTTTTTGATATTTCTTTACTTATTAATTAAATTCGTGTATGGCTATGGCTATAGCTGTGCCATAAGCTGCCTCGTTGCTGCAGTTGCAGAAATCGCAGCAGCAAAAAAAAAAAAATTATAAAAAAATAAAAAAAATGAAAAAATAGCAAAAGAGAGAAACGAGTTTCTCGCCTGGGGAGCTGCGATGTCGCACAGAGACAAAGCCGCCACCGCAGTAGATTTCTCAGTTGGAGTCTGCAACTGCGTCTGCGTCTGTTTTGGCCACTTTTGTTGGCAAAATGGTCTACACCGTTAGGGTCAGAGCCAAAAAAAAAAAAGGAAAAAAAAAATCATGAAAAAAATGGGGAAAAATTATTATAAAATACTTAGAGATGCAACATAAATATGCATACATAATAAATAATCTGGCGGCGCCCCGAACCATGCAACCAAAAGACTTTGTCTGGGCCAACTGCCCACCTGCTTGTTGCCTGATTGCACACACACAAACACACACTATCATACACACATGCAAAGTTGTTCGGAGATCACATGGATACCTATATAATATATAGTCTGTTGGCTACTTTGTCCGCCGGTGATTGCTAGTTTGCGTGTGCAGGCAGATGCAGCATGCATTGCTGATGTTACTGCTGCTGTTGTTGTTGTTGTTGTTGTTGCTGTTGTTGTTGTTGCTGCTGCTGCTGTTGCACTTTGCATTTGTAATTAAAAATCAGCAATTGAGCGATGGATGCTGCTGCAGGAAGGCAGGTGACTGAGGGGTTTACTTTTTACTTTACTTTTTGTTGTATCTAAAAAGGAGAGGGGGAAGAGGGGGAAGCACAGCACAGGAAGTGATATGTTGCAGCAATCTAGTTGATGCTGTTGCTCTTGCAGCTTCATATTATGCAAGGATGTCTGCAAGTACCCCTCCTCTTAACCCACTACAGACCCTCACTGGCCATATTAACCCAAGTTCTGGTGCTTATCACAAAGCATTTTTAGCCTAGAGCCATGCATTCGCTGTACATCAGGCCAGTGCGTTTGTCTGTGTTTGTATCAGTGTATGTGTGTGGCATGTAAATAACTGTATTTTATTACTTTTATTTTATCTTGGCAAAAATATCGCCAAACTGGCGAACGTGCAACAAGCTAAGGCGACGGCGTCTCGAATCGCCCAATGCGGTCAATGCTCGTCCGCCATACCAGACCCCTCATTTCTTGCCCCATCCTGAGCCTCTACTCTCTACGTCTCTTCTTACCTCCTTTTTGGTGGCTGTTAATCGACTTCAAAGTATGACGAAGACGGAGGACACGCGGACCAAGTGGGCTGCCACTTTTCTTCGAAGAGGTGGCCAAAACCCATTACCATTAGCATTAACGTTAGCTAAATTCTATAATGATTCAACATAAATGTTCGTACAGATATTCTCAAATACTTAATTAAGAGAGGAAACCAAGAAGATTTTGTTAAACGAACTTGTGTAATAAAAAAATATTCATAAAAGTATCTACATTCTGTAAGGCCTTAAAATGTCAAATTTATTTTATAGAAAAAATGTCAAATGGATTTTATGAAATTAGTGAAAAACCTCTGTAAAATGTTATACCACTTAAGGGGATTATATTTCAAGTTAAAAAATGATGTAATTTTATGATTTTTTTAAAAGATTTTAACAATTTTTATAGATTTTAAGTCAAGAGGGTTACAACTTTACAACTTTAAATATCTTCTTAAATCAGAATTAAAGAAATTACCAACCTAAACTAATCATTGAGAAACCCATTAAAAACCCAGCGTTACATAAGTTATTTTCCCCACTAATTTAACTTCTTTCTCTCTCTCTCTCTCTCTCAAGACCTCCAAAAATGACAGTTATCCAGCAAGACAAAAGCCTTCCCAAGGTTCCCCTTTCAACATTGAACATGCCACAGAATTTCTCGTAATTTCAGGCCCTGCCCCTCGGGGCAAACTTAAAGATTCATAATTGGCGGCCGAGGCCCAGAGGTGCCAAACGACGGAACTGCAACTGAAACTGCAATTGCAGTGAAATCAAAATTTCAGAAACTCCGAAAAATCAAAAACTCCCAAAACATACAGAGAAAATAAAAGGGAGATCCCGTATGCGAGGCAAAATAACGTGGTACGCGAAATTTAATTGATACATTTACCGATAAACACACGCTGGCCAACCAAAAAGGGCTGGGGCATGCCCCAAAAAGAAACAGAAAAAAAAAAATGTGAAATATAAGCCCGACGCGATATGGCGATATGGCTGGCCATGGGGCTATGGATCGTTGAATCTGAGGGATCTCGGGCGGGATCTCGTGTACACAGGCCCTGTGTTTCATACAATAAAAGCCATGTCGAAAGGCAGGAGGCCCAGGGAAGCGAGGATGTGTAATGATATGAGAAAATTAAATTGGAAATCCACGAAATGATTTATTAATAAACCCCATCAAGCGAAAAAGTGAAGGGTTCGCATAAAGGCGAAGGTACACAGAGAGAGAGAGAGATACAAAACAAGGGCATGGAAAGGATGTGCTGGATGTATGTGTGTGTGTGTATGCTTGTTGGCCATTTACTTTTCGGACGCGTTACGCTTTCCACTAAAGGCCGAAACGCTGACTGACGGACAGGCTGGCATTGCCGGTGCCCCCAATTCGATAAAAGTTGCAGGCCACAACCGAGGGAGAAGCTGCAGCGACAAGTGGCGCGGCAAAGCAGATACATAACTGCACTGGGAAATTATATTTGAGGTAATTTTGTTGATCAAAATGATTAATTAAGTACTCAGGAATATCTTTTTTTGTCTTTACAAAACCGAAATTTAATGGACTTTGGGAATATTCAACCAAAACGTTTCATTTCTTAAGGTTTTAGAAAATGTTCTTTCAAATCTTCCTGAAATGCATCCTAAAAGTATGCTATGAAATGTCTTAGTTTATATTTTTCACTTCAGACTTTCTGATTTATCTTTAAGTGATGTAACTTTCACCTTTTTTCTCCTAAACTATAATATTAATGATTTGCCATATTTTCCTTCCCAAATTTGTTTAACCCTCAAATATTCCCACATTCTCCAGGCTTGCTTGGCTTTTGGGTGATACAGTGAGTAACCCTATTATTTTAAGGTCTTTATCCAAGACCTAAACCCTTTCGAATTAATGACTTTCAGCATTCTTAATCTCGATTACTTATAATAATAAAATATAAACCTTTTCTGGCCGTGTAATACATAACGAAGCCGCACGTAGCCGCTTTTAGTTAGCTCATCAACCTGTTGCACGTGGCAGAGGGAGACCCTGTTGCTTCTGTGTGCGTAATTGCCAGCATAGGGGAACTCTTCTTTGCTCTGCTTGGCTTGGGAACTTGGGGTAAAGACTTGGGCCGAAGACTTGGGGGAAAATAAAATCACTTACCTTATCGCAGAAGACCTTTATCTGACAGTAGCCACGGTGGAAGACCGCCGCATCTCTGGGGTCCTCGAATGTGTCGATTTGTACGTGCAACGGCAGGCCCTGAAATAAAAAAAAAATACAAAAAAAACATAAAATCCGTATTAATATCACAATGCCCGTATCATTCAAATTGCCCGGGAGGCAGTTGCAAAGTTGCTGTTGCAGTTGCCGCCGGACAGCAATCGCAATCGCAGCAGCAAACTTGCAACAGCTGCAATTAGCCGTTGTCATTTGGGCTGGGGGAGGCGTGGCCGGAGCCGATGGGGCGTGGCCGGAGTGATGTTAAACTGCCAACATCCGTTGGGCGAATGTGTGTGCAACATGTCGTGGCAAGTGCATAATTTGATTTGCCTATTGCCCACACTCGGTGGCACACACGGAAAGAAAGAAGGAATGGGTCTATACTAGGTTCCTAGTGATTAAGTTTAAACACGTTAATATGAGGTATAATCTATAGAAAGTTAAGTCCTTGGATTAGTTATTAAGTTAAATATGAATCCATTTTTAAGAAGCATCCATCTTTCTTCTTAAAATGTATCTTTAAGTTTATATTTAACACCAACTTTTACCTTTGAAAACTACAAAAATCTCAAATCTCTCTCAATTTAAATTCAAAGTTCTAATTGCATTTCCTTCACTGTACATTCTCCACTGTACCTGCAGCGCTCTCTTTTAATGAAAAGCAACGAGTTCTGCTGTGTTTCTGTCAATGAAATATCAGACTTAATGTACGCATTACAACCCCGTCCAGGAGGATGTGCAATCCGCTTTGGATTGACTCGAAGGTGGAGGAGAAGTGCTCACGTGAGAGGGAGGGGAAACAGGCGAGGAGGCAGGAGACAGGAGATAGGAGGCAGGTGGCAGGTGGCAGAAGAAATCCCCTGCCTACGTAGCATCAGTCTGACCGTTGTCAAGACGACTGCTCTGAATGCTGATCGGCACGAGGAGGAGGGAAACGGAACACACATCTCTTGCCCCCATCGATCTGGATCGCTTCTTTGGCCGCATTGAGTCGCCATTAACAAGTTGGCATTAAATTGGTTATTACTCAACCCATCAAAGGCAATGTGTCTGAGTTGAATTTCATTTATAGAAAGGTAGACTAGGCGGGGTTTTTACTGGGTTAGTTGGGGGTAAAGGAAGGTGCAAAGATACTAAACTAAAAGTCATAATAAACCACCATTTCTTTTAGGTGTTTGTTTAAAAAATAAGCTGTTAAACTTAAACTTAAAAAATAAAAGTAAAAAAAGGAATAAAACTCACCTTAACTCCCTTTTGACTGCTGAAATCCGTGCTCAGGCACTGAACCGCAATGTTGATCTGTTTTTTAAAACAAAAAGCATAAGAAAAAGAAATGAATAAAAGAGGAGAAAAGAGTAAAAGTATGTGAGAAATCCCATAAAATATACAAATGTAAACAATTATGAACATAAAAAGAAATTATATCGGCGATGACAAAAACTGAAATGCGTCTGCTATTAGAAGGCAATTGTTTTCTCTCTATTAAGTCGATGTCCTCTTTATGCCCACGACAGTTTAAAACATTCCAACGCACTCGGAAAGCAAAAATAAAACGAAAAAAAAAAACTGAAACAGAAACAGAAAGACAAAAACGCTGAAGGAGAGACAATAACAAGGCAATACACAGAGGACCAACGTCCATGGTCCGGGGGCCAATAAGATGGCCTGGAATCGAGGTAAGGCCTGTGCTGGGAGGGGGGTGGCCTTTAAAGCCAAGTAACGAGCCAAGTAGAGCCGCGACTTTGTATCGCATCCAATTCATTTTTAGTTCGACTTCGGATTCAGTGCAAGGTGTGTGCATTTGTATCTGTATCTGTATCTGTATCTGTATCTGCACCTGTATCTGTATCTGTATCTGTATCTGTGCTATATATCTGTGTGCCGTGGCATTTTAAGCATGCCAAGTCCGAGTTTGAGTCAAAGTCGGAGTTTGAGTTCACTTCACCAGACATACGGCTTGGACAGTAAAATACAAAAAAAAAAAAAAAAATATAAGAAAAATGAAAAGAAAAAAAAAAATAAAAAGAAAATCCATCAACGCAAAAATACCAAAGGAAACAATCTTAATGGTAAAAGTGCAGCAGTCACAGCCGCAACATCCAACATCCCAGCCAGCATCCAACATCCCAGCATCGAAGCATTCGAAGACCCGAGATGTGGACGAGCAGTATTTAATGTGAATAATTAGCGGGCGCGTACCATATAAGCGAAAAGCGAGGGGCGAAGCACCTGCGTGTCGGTGCGTACGAAAGTTTTGCCGCTGGGAAAGGCAGTATCTCACAGATACATTACCAATACATATACAACTTAAAGATGGAGATACACAGTGATGCAGCTAACGGCATAAAACGAAATCGACATTATGCGAGCCAAGTTGGTCCAAGAAAAGGCGACTGACTCTCTCCTACTCGAAAGACGATGTCGCTGGGATTAACATCTCAGCGCGTAAACAATTTGTAAATAAAAAGCTCTATCAAATGCATTGATGGGCGTTGGGGAGGTGGGTTGTGGAACGCAGAGAAATGCAAGGGGAAATGCACTTATGGCCAGCCAGTTAATAACTGCTGACCAATTTGGCAGCCTGCACACACACAGAAGTCACTGAACTTGAATGAAAATCAATTCGGTTTTGGCATTTGTTTTTCACAATATTTTTTTTCAGCATTTTTCCAATGGCATTTTCGGACTTGGGTTAAATGGACACTTGAAGAAATGGTTTTCTTTTAGTTAATATTTAATATAATTTATAGAATTTCATATTTATTTTACAAAATTGACTAGCAAAATGATATCCTTTTAGGATCTTTCTAATATTTCCCAAAAAACAAAATTTTAAAAATCTTTTCCTATAAAAATGGGACTCAATATTGTTTTCCCTTACTAATTTTATAATACATAACTATCAAAAAATAGGTCCTAAGTATTTCTCTCTCTGCATATAGGCGGAGCTTGGTAAAGGATAAAACAGCCGCCGAAGTCATGGCGTATACGTAATATGAGGGCTACCTGACTAGCTGGCTAGCTTACTGGTCTTACTGCTGGCGCTTGTTGCAATAGAATTGCAAATATTTTCCACCGATTAAAATGCTTGATAATTGCTAAATTAAAACGCGGTGGGAGCTCAGCAGCAGCAACAGAAAAAGCAAAAAGCCAGCCAACCGCCGGACTGAAAAGCAAACTCAGACTCAGACTCAGACTTAGTTCCAAGCATTTGCGAGTAAGTGATTAAAACTAAGTGTCATAAATAAATAAATGCATAAATTATTCTTTTGAAAGAGTAAAAAAACAACAAACTGCGAGTGGGTTAGAGAGGGACAGCGGGGCTATAGAAAGGGATGGCCAGAGTTGGCTGGGGCAATGGCGACGCTGGCTGAATAATTTGCGTTTTACTCGCAATTGAAAATAAATCAGAAATTAATTCTTTGCTCACACACAGGTGGATATATATGTGTGTGTTTATATATATATAGAAAGATATGGAGAGGACTTGGCTGCTATCTGCTATCTCCGTCTGCTTCATAAAAGTGTCGCGCTTAATTTTTTTGCTTTTTTCTCATTTTTAATTGAGGCGGCGCTCGAAGTAAACAAAATGGTTGAGAGGGAAAAACACATAAAAGCATACAGAAGTCGGTTTGGGGATGATAAACGAGGAGATACCCTGTAATGAGTTAAAGGTTCTAAGTTTTCAAGGGGTTTCTTGTGAGAAGGAAAGATGGATTATAGGATTAATGTTGGTCCAAAATGTGCTACTAGGATTTGTAAAGTCCTTATAAGAGATTTTTTGGTATCATTTTTCATCTTCTTTTCACCTTCTTGGTGTAGAAAATCTATATATTCTTCAAAGCTATGGAAAAACGTTTCCAATTCCATTCTTTTCTTAAGTTTAAAGATTTTTCAGCTGGTAAATTGATAGATTTTTCCTAAACTACCTCACCAAATGATATAAAAACTGGTAAGTATCTTGAAGGAACTTTTATGTCTTCCTAATAGGAAGTTCTTATATCAAAAATTAACACTAAAACTCTCCCTGTTAAGAAGTTACTCTACATTTTATAAGCTAAAAAAAACATATCAAACTTCCTATAAAACCATCATACCCCTGCAAAAGTAAAGGGTAGTCAAAAATTCCATAACTACGCTTGCCATAGAAATGAGATCTAGAATGAACAGAAGAACTTACCTTGGCGGAGCTCTCCAGCGGATTCCAGTAGACGGCGATGGCATTGTGCGACACTTCCTCGATGCAGCCAACGAGGCCAACCGAGTTCTTTGTATCTGTAGAAGAAGAGCAGTCGTAGCAGATAATCAGAAGGGGGGAAGGTGAAACCACATAGAGGGGAGTGTTGTTGCACGCAGATGATGAAGAAGAAATGCAAGAAAAAATGGAAGGAGTTTGCAACAAGAGTTAAACAGAGGCGAGAGAGCTTTGGACATTGGAAAATATGTTTGTATTAACAATTAAGGAAATTTCTGCGTTGCCAGTGCCAGTGACAAGTGCCTAATGAGTTATGTTTGATGGGCCAGTCAGGAGGAAGGAGCAGCATGTTGCAAGCAGCAAGAGCCGAGCCATAGCCGAGATTATCTGCAATCAAACAAACGGAGCGCATTTGCTGCTGCCGCCGTGCGATGCGCGATGCGCGTTTATCAATGTCATAACTCTCCTGGAACGTTGCGGGCCTTTCAATAAAAAGCAACAATTTACTGCTAGAAATACTAGACAATACAAATGGACAGTCCAGCATCCGACGCTGCTGGACTTCTCTTTCGATCTGGCTAGATAGTTAAGAAGGGGGCATTGGGTATTGGGTATTGGGTATTGGGGATATGTCCATGTTGGTTTTACGCACCTGCATCCAAGATTCTCTGCTTCACGGAATGCTGACGACTGTGCCAGAATTGCCAGGCCTTGATCTCATCTTCGGGGCTCTTCTCCTCGCGGAACATTAGCATGATCACACTCTGCGTCGGTCGAACAGAAAGAACGTAAAGTAAATATGGTTATTAAATTAAGTGCAAGACTAAGTTAAGAGGCCACTAAAAATTAACTCATCTCAACTCAACTCAATTAGTGTATTTGCAAAAAGGAAGCACTAAAGTTGAAGTTAAGGAAATGGTTATATTGGAAAGTTTGCTTATAGAAGGGGATAGCTAATGTCTGGTTTTAGATTTTCCCTCTAAATTTTACCTTAATTTAAATTCTAATCATAAGCAGCTTATGTTAATTTGTAAATGTAACCCTTAGTTTGTACAATTTCTAGTAGATCTTATCTTTGTAATTGCAAAAGGTAAATCTTTCTTACATTATTCTTGATCTGTAAAGCGATCTGTCTGGGAGTTGATCTTTATCTCTAAGGAAATGCCATGTCTTTTGCTGATGTTTGGCCAGACATGGTCTTAATCCTTTTATATAGTATATATACCTACGATCTAGGGTTCATTGCTCTGACATATATGCGTTGTGACACTCAACTCACAACTCGGTAGATCGCACCCTACGCCTTAAAAGTCAAAAGGATTAGGCAGCAAGGAGGACAAAAGGACGAATTCGATTTAGCAGAAAAACGTCCAACAAAATTTGTATCTTCTGCTCGTCCTAGGCTTGCCTATTGTTTTCCCAGCATTTGCATTTTTTCTCTATCAATTATCTGTCTTATTTTTTTACGTTTTGAATAATTAAGGAAGCGCAGAGATAGCCGGCAAGGAGTTCCCAAAAAAACGGAAACTGTTTCTGAAAATTGCAAGCCAGCAACCCTTGCCAGGATCATCTTTTCCTTGAGGTTCCCGACTCCTCACTGATTACAGCATAAATATTTTTGTGTATTTTTCCTCGGGACTGTGGAAGTCTTTACATATTCATGGGCTAATCAGCTCGTAAATTATACTCCGCTTTACTTTTTTTTCTACAGATTTTTCGGTTTTCTTTCTTGGATCACAAATGTTCCCCGTTAGATTGGGTTATGTAAATGTGCGTTTGAGAAGTTTTTCCTTTTTACACTAAAATATATTTCGGAAGGGGGGAAAAAAAGGGCGCGGAGCTCTAAACAAATAAACTCGTAAATTAATTTTGACACTTTTTTGTCGAGCCTTGCAAAATATGGCACTTTTATGGTAATATGAGAAAGAAACACGACGGCCTGATCGAGAACTTGAGAAGCGGAGGGAGGGTTAAGCTTCTCTCTGAAGATCTCCATTTGGTTTCTTCAACTTTTTTGTTGCAAGTTTCATTCTTTATAAACTTTTTTTTTATCGCTCGCTTTGAGTATGCAAATGACAAGGATTCGGATTCGGATTCGGATTCGTATTCCTTAAATTTCAATTGTTGTTTACTTTGGCCTCCAGTTCCGCTTCCCAGTTCCGCTTCCACCTCCGGGCATTTACTTAACCCATTTACCATTTCCCACTTTGAAACTGTAACTTTGATGTCATTCTTGAGCTCTCAACGGTTCAGTTTTCAATTTGCATTTTGCATCTTCAGGACGTCATTTAAGCTTATCTGATTGATGATGTTGACGGGTATTGTCCTGCCCTACGGCTCCTACTCCTTGAGAGCGTTCGTCCTGAACAAACATTCGTCGTGAAAGATTTGCATTGAACGGAATATTCAAATTCTCATCAAGGGATCGCTCACTCGCTTTCTCAGTATCATTTATCATTGCTACGTGCCCCTGCCCCTGCCCCTACCCCTACTCCTGCCACAGGCACAGGCACAGGATATGGGATGGGTGTAATTGAGCAAAGGGTTGGCCGATCGCACCTCAGGGTAGTCGTATAGCTACCTTTTATATAGTCTAAGGATCTGCTCAAGAAGCCGACACACATTCTCTGACAAATCGCCCTGGTAACGAAGAACGAAGAAGGGTTGCCCTCCGGCCTGGATTTTCACTGATTTTCTCTGTGTGTTCGTGTGGTGTTGATGGCATAAACAAAACACACCAAAGAATGGAAAACAAGCAGCACGAACTTGATTGACAAAGCTCCCCTTCCATCGCAATCAATCAACAAAACCAACTATTATATAGCTCTTAATATATACTATATATAGATTTTGGATCCTACCTTGACGGTGGTGTTCTTGATGGGCTTTTCCGCATCGTGAACATACTCCAGCGTTATCCCGTAGAACTGACCCTTGTTAATGTAGGTGATGCGATCGTCCTCGCGCCTCTGCGATGAGCTGATAGGGCTCTCCAGGTGATAGCGGAAGCCCACGTTTGTGAAGCTATCGGAGGGGGTATTTAAAAGAGATGTTAAGGGGGTTAGAAATTGGTTAATGTTAGGTTAGGGGTTAGGTTAACATCTTAAAGAAATCCTCAAAAGAACTTACATTTTTGGTATTTGTATTTTGTCGGCATCATTCTGACGACCAAAGTCATGCCAGGGCCGCGATCGCGTAGATCCATTGGTGCTCGTATCCACCAGGGATGTGGTGGGGCTGTTCTGACTGCCATGGACCACTGTCCTCTGCTGGATGCTGTTCACGCTGACGGGTATGCTGCCATTGGCATCGATCAGGGTGCCCGGTTGACACAATTCCGTGTAATCAAAGGACTGTTTGGGGAGTGGTTTGAGGTAAGAAAAGGGATTAATTAAGTTAATTAGAAATTGGAAATAAAAGATAAGCTCCAGTTAAGAGTTTGGTTTAAACTAAAATCTAATGGACACGACACGCTTTAGTCAGACACTCTACTTTTTGGCTACGATTATACTCTTCTGATTCAGCTTTTAAGATATGGTGTTATATACATCAGACTACCTCTAAGTTTTACTTTTCTAACATTGCTAAGTTATAATAATAATAATAATAATAAATAATGGACACGACACGCAAATGGCAAACTCTACTACTTTTTGTCTTTGATTTAGGACTTGATGGTTGCCTTAATCGGAAGCTATACCTGTTGAATATTGGTCTGATCCCGCGGTGTGATGGCATCCGTGCCTATGCCCGAATCCGGACTTGGCAGATCCACCGTTAGACCCGCTGCCGTAATGGCTTTGGCATAGAGAGGCGTGGCCCCACCATTGCTCTTGCCATCCTGCGGATGATGTTGTTGCTGCTGCTGCTGGTGGTGTTGTTGTTGCTGCTGTTGCTGTTGCTGTTGCTGGTGATGATGGACGCTGGTCAGCACAGTGGTGGTGGCGGGCGGGGGAACGCTGCCGGCAAAACGACCCTCATAGGTGACCACTCCGCCGGGCTGGGATACAGAGACATCGACATCGCCGTACAATGAACGTGTGCTGGCTGGGACATAGCCACCTTGGCCGTCCGGGGCAAAGTATTCCCGATAGTAGGAGGGCTCCGCTATGAATGTGGTGGTACTGGTGGGCGGGGGACCGGGTGGCAGGCGACTGGCAGTGTACATGCCATAATCATTGGCCGTGATATAAGGACCAGGACTGGGACTCTGTGCCTGCATGGAAACACCGCCGCCACCGGCGGCTCCGGCTGGACCGGCACCACCGCCCGCTCCGCTTGCCGTGCTGGGATGTGAGGTCTGCAGGTGGTTGGTTGGTTGGTCACACATGGCTCTAACTTGATCGCAATCCTCTGCGAGTTGTTGTTGTTGTTGTCTCACCTGTAGATAGATCTGTGTGCCGCCCGTTGTTGCATACATCTCTAGTTCGTCTTCTGTGGTCCTGGAACCCGGCGATACTGATCCTGATCCTGTTGATTCTGGCTCCGATTCAGTGCTGCTGCTGCTGCTGCTGCTGGGTGTGCTGGGCCTATCAGCTTCACTTGCCGTTGGTGCATCCAAGTGCAAGATCTGCGGGAAAGTTGCGTTGTTGTTTGGGATTTTTCTTGGATTTGTATCTTTTGGAGAACTTAAACCTAAAGCTTGGAATTGGAATCCGGTGGCTAAGCAACTGATCGATTGATCAGGAATCCACCAAGACACCACCAAGACAAACTGTCATTGTGGCTAATAGCCCAAAAGGCCAGTGATTGATGGTTTTCTGGCCAGAAGACAGAAGGTCGCACAGAAACCCCAAAGAAACGAGGTGACAAAAATTGTGCGTGCGTTCTTTTTGGGCCATGATTGTGTGGATTTTTCTTTAAGCCATGATTCATACAACAACAGCAGCCAACAGCTTATTGAAAATAACGTCAACAAGTACAGTTTATAATAAAAGGCTATAAAAAAAAAATGGTATATACGAAAACGAAATGAAACAGTCGCCGTCTCCGTCGCCGTCGCCGTCTCCGTTGTTGTCGTCGAGTGGAAAGAAACCAATTAAAAAATATACAGAAAAAAAGCGCGAAAAAAATCAACATTTATATACGGATTGAAAGATATATATATATATATATATGGCTATATGCATATGTTAATTATCATTGTTTTTTTTTTTATTGGCCGCCCGAAAATGTCAAACGTTTTTGGAGACAAACGCACGAAGCTAAATGAGGTAATACAGAGCAAAGTGTGGTCAATTCATGTCTTAGCAGATATATATATATATATCTTTTAGATATAGATATTTTGGGGGACTGAGATTGAAATTAGCAGCGAGCTGCTGATTGCCTTTGGTCTAAAGAAAGTGAAACCCCAAAAGAAGAGACACACACAGGTCCAGCCGAAAGACGTCACTATTCCGTTGGCCTTTGATCGAAACCGGTTGCCTTTTCAACTTATTTTTTTTTTTTTTTCGGGGTAATTTTTGTTACACTTTTGGCCAACACACACACACACACATACGCAGAACCCTTGTAATAATTTATGATCTTTACTTTGATTTTGGTTAAGTTTTCTTGTCTTCTTACTGATTCAAATGTATACAAAGGCCTCTGTGGTTCTGTGCCTCTGAGATTCCATTTTTGATTTTTTGGTTTTTTGTGGTCAGCTGTCTGATCTCTTGTATAATTTAGCATCAGTAAAAGATTCTAGCTGCGAGCTAATTAAATTTGTTCATCGAAATCAATTTGCATTTTAAACTTTTAACGTGCAACGTCAGAGAAGGCCTTGACGAATCCGATCGACGATCGATCCGCCGCCAGAGCAGAGACAAAGATACTTTGTTGCTGTGTTCGGACTTTTTGGTCGTTTTTCTTTTTTTTTTAACTTTTGGCTTTTTGTGTGAGGTGCGTGTGTGTCGCCGAAGCTTGCTTCGATAGCATCCGAATCTTAAGATTTCTTAGCTATATGGTATAGACTAAACTGAGCCATCGGTTATGAGCCGTGCGGTGCTGGGCTTTTAGAATTATGCTAAGCAGCTGCGTCAAACGATTCTGGCACATATTTATGTATGAGGAAGGAATATAAAAAACAAAAACAAAAACAAAAACAAAAGCAACAACAACAAGTGAAGCCCGGACAAAGGAAAAAATAACAAAATATTTAAATAAAGCCAATTAACTATTTTAATGCCTTTTGGAATGATAAAAGTGGAAACTTTTTTCTTCTTCGGCTGAGCGTTTTATGAATATCGTTAATTCTCGGAAATAAAGTGAACGAAAAGCCGAGAAAAACAAAAAAACATCTTAGCATATATGGAAGTAAAAACAAAAAACAAAAAAACAAAAACAACAATAAGATTTAAGAATTGTTTTGCATTCATAAAATATTTCTTAATGGCTCCTTGATGTTGTAATTGTGGTTCTCGGTAAGGAAAACCCGTGACTAACAGCCCTCGAAAAGTGCTTTTAGCTTTTTGGCTGTTGGAAATTTTTTACTAAATCTTCGGGCTTTAAATTCAATTTCAACTTTAACTCTTAATAAGAGCAATAAACCCTCAAGGTTGTTTTTCATTTCATGTTTGAGTGATGCCTAAACTTCCGTTAAAAGAGTACTTTATACTATTTATTGATAGATGAAAAAGCAATCTACTTAATTGGTTATCAAAATTTGATAATAAATTGAGGGTTTTCTTTAGAAAATCCCATCTGCCTGTCTAATTTATCAATCTGTTTGTTGGCCTGTCTCATTGGCTAGGCAATTATCTTGTTACATCATCTAGGCTTTCCATTATTAATTGAATTATTATTAATAATGCTTTCCGGTTTGTAGTATTTCTTGTTCTTGAAAGCCAAGCTATGGGCCTGGCAATCTCTGATTGTTTTTCTTTAATTCACACTTACTTAAGTTAGTTATGGTTTCTTAAAAAAACAAAAATTTAACTCAAGTTGATTCATCTCTTATGATTCATTTAAGTAAATCAAAGAAATTCTCTGAATAAATTGAGCAATCACTAAGCGAGATTTCATACATTGTTGAGCGAATCAATTTGAAGTGGGAAATCCGCTGACTGCAATAAACCACTGATAAGGCGAACTCAAAGTCAATTAGAAAGGCAGCCGATGAGGGTTTGGGATATAGCGATATATATCTGGCATCTATTTATATAGAGCAGCCAGTAAGAGAGAGAGAGAGTTGTTTCGGTTAATCCAAGATCTAAATGCCAGTGTCTAATGATTACACTTTCCGGTGCCTGGAGGGCAATAAATAAATTGCCAACTCAAAAAGTTGAAAATAAAAAAAATTGATATGTTTTCCGATTCTGGGTCATAAATAAACCTGACGAAACCTTAGACTTTAAACTATGGTAACTGTATATGTGTGTGTTTGTGTGTGCCAGTGTGTGTATGTAAATTAATAAGACAAATATTAAGAATAATTAACTGTCAATGCAACAAATGCACAATAAATTAGAGTGCATGCAAATTGTGCAGCGACTGCGGCAATTTAATATTTATTTGCTTATTTTTCTCTGTATTTTTTTTGTATTATTTTTAGCTGGTAAGCAAATTAATGCCCAATAAAAAAACGGAGACGGCAATTAAGAGTCGCTGGATTCTCTGCTCAATGAATTTCATAAGCCGCACTCTTCTCGCCCACCCACCCTCTAATATCTTTGGATTCTTGGCCTTAGCAAATGCGCGCCAAACAAAAGACTTAGGCAGCGAACTTGTTCGTCGCGTGGGTGTTGAAAGGCAACGCGTTGCGCCCACACGATGTTGTTGTTGCTGCTGTTCTTGTTGTTGTTGTCGTTGTTGTTACTGCAACTGCTGCGCGTGCGCTGTTGTTGTTTGATTCATGGTTTTTGGATTTGACTCTCGCAGGTGGATTGGTATGGATTGTTATTGATATGCCACAGAATATTGCACTACTGCTGCCCACATTCCAGGCGAAAAGGTACTCGACGGTATTCGATATCGGTATCACACTCACACTCACTGTCTTCGTTTTTCTTCTTCTTCTTCTTCTTATTTAGATCCCTCACCGATCGATCGGTTTTCGGTTACAATATATACGATGTCTTACGGATCGCGACGAGGCATATATATAAGTATTTATGTGTATATATATTTATAGGCTATTACGGAATCGGATTCGAAAGCGATACGATCCTACTCCGACAGCGTGATACGACTGACTAAAGGCCGCCGATCGCTGCCAGGTATGACAGCCGCTGCGACGTCGCCAGTCGGCAGTTGGCAGTCGGCAGTCGGCAAATCCGCCGTTGTGTTGCGTCGGCCAGTTGGAACACAGATACACACGCACACTCACACACACGCATATATACATATACATACGCAAACTCATATCAGTTCAAAATGGTTGGAATCCGCGGCTGGGCTGTCGCAATATTCTCAGTGGCAGGAGGGATGGGGAAAGGGGTAGGGGAACTGGGTGGGTAGGGGCCGGGACAGGGCGTTGCAGCTGCTGCAGTGGCAAATATTAAAAAATAGCTGCACTTGCTGCAGAAAGTTGAACGTGGCTAAGTTTAATAAATTCTTCATAATTTTAAGTTAAATTTAAGAAATTACTAAAAAATTTATGAAATTTTGAATAGTAAAAATATTAAATAAGAAATTAAGTTAGTTCTTAAACCTTTTCCTAGCTTTCGTAAGTCTTTTCTATATAGTTAAACTTTTATAGTTGAAAAAGCGTAAAGTTTTTATATTTTAAAACAAATTTTTAATTGTTTTTTTTGGATATTAAATGAGATAATATTGTGGTAGTTACTAGTTAAAAATTTGAAATATTTTTTTTAAGTTTTAAATCAAAGAAAATCAAAGATCAAAGGCACCTTTGCTGATCATATAACACCCAAAATAATGTTGTTATATAACCTAAAAATTTCAAATATAAAACTAAAAATCTGACCATAAATATACAAATTCTTCTTCTACCCAATATAAAATATTTTCACAATCTTCTACCCATAAATTTCCCACAATAGAATCCCGCCTGTAGTTGCACTTGCTGCTCTTATTGAGCAAATATCGAAGTCAGGTCGAAGGAAAAGGAAGGCGATCGGCCGGAAGTGCGCACTTATCGCTGCCGATTGTTGTCGCCCAGAGTTGGCTACTGCAATTTCCCATTTAATTACGGTTGTTCCTTTGCTTTTTCTTTGCGTGTGTGTTCGATACGGGAGTGTGTGACCAAATGCCTTCGAACTGCTTGCAACATCCAACTCGAACTTCGGGCAAAAGGAAGTGGTTCGATGGTGAAACGAGATGGGGTTATAGGATAAGCAAGTGTGTGAGAGTGAGAGAACCATACAAATCACGTACGCACACATACGATCGTATAACAGCTGGTGCGAGAGTGTATAACAGTTGGTCATGCAGTAAAGCCTTGCTATTGCTGTTGTGGTTGTTGTTATTGCTATGCTTATTGTTGCTACTGTAGTTGTTATTGCTGTTGTTGTTGCTGTTGCTGTTGCTCTTTCAATAGAACCGAACGAACCGACGACGACGACACGACAACAAAAACGACGCTGATTCGTATTGGCTGCAGCCACTAATACTCATTGCTCACTCACACCAGCAATTGACAGACCAATTGCAGGTCTGTTAGACAGCAGCAGCAACAACTACATCAGCTAGCAACAACATCAGCCTAGCAACTACAACAACAACAACAACAGCTGCAGCTCGTTAATTGATGTAGCACACAGGATGCGCCGCTGATTGGGGTTGTCCACTCCGCTGCTGATGATGATTGTGAATGGGCAGTATGGAGGAATGGTTAGTAGCGGAATGGGCTGGAGAGGGTTGTAGAGGCTGCAGAGGATTGGCATTCCAAATGAGATCGCATGGGCTGCCGATCTAAGCCAAAAGCTTATCCGCAAATACAAATTTATATTGCATATGGCATGCAAGGTACACGGAGAGAAAATGTTTGCTATACACATTGTAAATGTTATAAATTAATAAGCTATAAGAGTAAGATTAATACTGTGATTGCTGCCTAAAATCACTAAAACTATGATTCTTTTTACACGGAAAAAACTATTAGTAGAATTAAGAGTTCCTAAAATCCTTTTTTAGAAATTTAAGTCATTAAACAAACTTATTTTTACCGTACTTTTGAGAGCCTTTGGTGTCCTACAACCAAAATGGTTTTAAAAACATTTTCAAAAACTCTGAAAAATGTGAAATATCTTTTCAAAAATCTCATTATTTAACCTGAATCAATGGCTAAAATAACCCTTAATGGTTATTAAAATAAAATTCTAAAAATATTCCTAAAACCTGTTTTTAATAAATTCACTTTTAACACCCAAGTTAATGAAAAATAAAATATTTTCGCAGTTTTATCAGACATATTTCAACCCCCTTAGAACATTTTAATGTAAAACCTATTTGATTTCATTTAACTGATTAACATTCCCGATTTAAACTTGCGATAATAACCCATTTCCTCTCTAACCTTTTAATTGCATAATATCTAAGGGAGAGTTCTCATAGTTATCATAGATTTTTCTTTCTGTGTAGAAGTGTTTGCTGCTAAATTGAAATTTGCGTGCGTGTCCATTAATTTGTTCCCTAAGTAAGAGCTTCCAGCTGGTACTTAACTTCTTTTTTACAGATTATTAAGTACTTTTTGTTTCATAAATATATATATTCTATATATCCTACCTTCTGCGTTATGACCGAGCCGGGTCCATTGGCTGTTGTTGCGCCGGCAATGTTGCCATTCTTCGGATCCTTGCGCAAGTCTTCGGGCTCTCGTTTGATGCTAATTAGTTGCTGCTGCTGCTGTTGCTGTTGCACCGCCGAGGAGACAATTGAGCCCGCGCTCCCCACGCCAGCGGCACTAACAATATCGCCGGGATGTTGCTGCTGGTGTTGCTGTTGCTGCTGCTGCTGTTGTTGCTGCTGCTGTTGCTGCTGCTGCTGGTGATGCGAGATCGTTGTCGTGGAGACAACGCCGGTTGTGCTGACCGTCGCCGATGATGAGGGGTGTGAGCCGAGCAGAAAGCCTTGAATCTCATTTTGCGATAGGCCAGAGACATCGATAGGTGTGGTCTGGCCATTGAGCTTTCCACTGAGGTTCAAAAATAACAGAGACAGAGAGAGAGGGGGGAGAGAAAGAGAGAACAAGAGTAATATATAGTACATTAGTTGGTGCTTAATAGCTGTTATTATTATTTTAATCAGGGTACGCAAAATATATCTTAAAGACAAGAGTTATTAATTGCCATTTTAGCATGAATAAGTCCTGCACATAATAATCACTTTGATAGGCTTTTAGGTTAATGTAGGGTGAAGATTTCTGCTTGATTTTGCTTAATTTTTAATATTTAATATTATATTTAAGTAAGTTTTATAATAAAAAGAGGAAATAGTACCTTTTTGATAGTTTTTGGAAACGAAAAATCAGTCCGTTCTTACTAATCTGAGGTTCTATTAAGAAACCTCATTTTTTTTAACATGAACATTAAGGTAGTTAGTTCTTTTAATCAAAACTAAATCTTTGTACATAAGTACTAAGACTTACTTAAGAATTTACAATACCCAAAGTCCTATAATTCAAAAATTTGTTATGATAAACTTTATCAAGGCTAACATCAATCCTAGCAATCCTTCAATATCTTAGTTAACCTTTCTAGTAACCTTCTTAGTAAGAAAGCTATTACCCACCTCTAGTAATCTCCCCACCCATTTACTGATCATATTCTAACACCCCCACAAATGGTATAACTCCATTAGGCTGCTTATCCATCAAACCCGCGCTCGCCAATCACCTGGGCAATCATGCAATCAAGCAGCTCTCAACTGCGGCAAGGCTAATTTCATTCACCAGAGTCAGAGTCGGAGTAGGAGAGACACCTGTGTGTTGCTCACAAAACCTGGATCTGGATGCCCGCCCAAATGGGAGCAATCGGGGCAACAACCAGCCGCCATAAACCAGAATCCGAAGCCTGCAGCAAGTGCAAAAACAGAAAAGAAAAGAAAACAGAAAAACAAAACAAAAAAAAACAAAAAAACCAGACTGAAAAACCTGGCACAACGACAACATCAACAACTGCTTTTTGGCCAGCATCCAGCTTGAGTTGGCAACAAACAAAAAGAACAACAACAACAAGACGAAACGAAAGAGATGGAGAATTAGCGGCATCCCCCAAGACTTGCCCCTTCGATTCGATCTCTTATCGCTTTATCGCCGACAACTCTAGGAAAAGTCGTAAATTAGCCGCGATGATGCCTGTCGCCGTCGTCGTTGATAATCGAAGAATATTGATAACTTTTGGCAGCGTTTTCCAGTGAGAGGGAGAGAAGAAGCAGCTTAGAGGGAGATAGCAATGCTGCCACCAAGGTCAAACAAACAAACAAACAAAACACAAAACCAAAAAAAGTCCTGGCAGCTGGAAAACCGGATTCGTTTGTGGAATTATTTCCACCAAGTTTTCAGACACAATTAAAGCTCTTTTGAGGGAAACCCCGCCCTTTGACCAGCACAAAAAAAGGCCAACCAACATATTTTGGGTAAAATGTGAGGTAAAGAGAGGAGAACAGACCGATCAATCAGATAAAGCATTATTATATAGCATATGCCTAAGGAGTTTCTTGAAAAATGGAAGATGTTATGTTGTAAGTCTTACAGTTTGAGGGAAGAAGCTTAGAATAGATTTTTTGGCTTAACTTTCCTGAGAACTTCCTTGATATCTTGGATATATTTAGGAACTTCTTAGTTTATCTATAAGTTTATAAAACTTTATAAACATCTTAAGAAAGGACCTTTGCTAATATCCTTCCTATAAACCTATCATTGTCATAATCATCTCAATTTCATTCACCGATAAAGGGTTGATCAGACTTGATCTGTTTTTACCAGCTACTTTCCTAGGCAAATCTTGTTTCTGGTTCAGAGACTGGTTCTGGGCTGATTGATTATTCTGCTTTGTTTTGATTATTTCATTCTTAGCTCCTGTTCTGGAATTAAGTTATTTATTTAATAGTTTAATTGATTGTTTTTAAGTCATAAATATAATGGATAATAACTTTAAGCTTCCAGAAAACCTACAAAAGTTATCTCAGCTAAAAGATCATAAATTCTCCTCTAAAGTTAACTTCAATCTTTTGGATCTATAACAAATCTTTTGTTTTTTAATATATTATTAAATTGTTTATTATTTAAGCTAAAAACTTTATTAACTATTTCCAATTTTAGCCATCTTGCTAATAGAGTTCGTACAAGTCCATCAGATATGGCCAATTTTCAGCGGCCTTTTCGACAATTTGTCTTAATTTGTGCTCAGATATTGATTGCATATATGCAAATTCCGAGCGTTACAGAAATTGCGCCACACCTTGGCTAACACACACACATATACTCAAACTTATAGATACAACGAAATTCTGGGAGTGTGTGTCCAATTCTTCCGTTAGCAGCTGTTGCAAGTTATTTCAGCACGGCCTGCTCTACCTCTGTATCTTTTCGAGGTTTTTTTTATTATTTTATTTGACTATTTTTTTCGGTTTTTTTATTTGGCATTGCTCAAGTTGACAACGGCCACGATTGCGATCGCTTGCCCCATTTTGTGGCACTTGTCTCCCTCGTGCCCGGTGTCCCGTTGTCCCGCTCTTTTTCACCCGAAGTTTGCCTTCTTTTCGACTTCTCTGTTCGCTGTCCTCAAAAGAGGAAAAAGGGGGGCAGGGAAAGAAAAACGGACATCGACATGGGTAGAAAACAAAAAAAAACAACAAGAAAAATGTTTTTGTTTTTATGTTTGTTCTGCAGAACATTTTCGCTATTAAAAATGACACTCGGATTGCCCGCTTTAAAAATGTATCTTTTTCCTTGGTTTATTTTTCGTAATGCGATATGTGACCGATGTGCCGGCTGACCACCGTTTATTCCGCTTCTTTTTGTTTTTTAGGGTCAGGTCGTGTAAATCACGTAGCGGATATGGGGAAGCAAGAATACTAACATATCACATTTATTAGATAGCCAAAGTGCTGGCCATATCTCGGTCTTTCGGCATTTAATTGTGTTTCTAAGCCAAGTGCCGAGACGCGCGACCTTTTCCAGGCCCCCGGCCGAACTACGGTTAAGGGGTTTCATCACTTCGACTCCATAAAACGAAACCGAAGCGTAGAACCCGCCAGCTAGCCATGTGGGTTTGCCTCTTGGGTTTTTAGTTTTTGGCTTTTGGGGTTTTCGTTTTGGATTTCATAACCTCCAACGTGCCGCGCTTTTTTGCGCATTTCCACGAATCGGCTAAGAGCGCTGCACTTAAAAAAGCCAGCACTTTCCAAGGAAAATGAATAGTTTATGAAAAATATATTCTTATGAAATATTGGAAGATTGTTTTTAATGAAAAATACATTATCTAGCTATATAAAAATATATACTTTAAGCCAAAGCAGTCTTCTAAGATCCTAAATTTAAGGCGAAAACTTGTCATGCAAAGATTGGTCTTAAATCTTACTTTCTTAGGGCTATCTTTTAAGAGGCCATTCTTCAACTACATAAATATTTTAAATATATTTAAAAATTAAACATTATAAACCATCTTAAAAACCCCTTTCAGCCAACCTCTCCCCTAGTCTTAACCAAAAATATTGCCTCTGCTTTGCTTTTCCTATAATAACTTAACTAAACTTTGGCCAAAAACTTGTTTTAAAAGCCAAAATTAAATTTTGAAATACGTTAGCTTAAGCTTATGTTTTATTGATGGATGAATACCACTTTGGTAAGTTTTATTGCCGCATTAAAATAAAAACAAAATAGACCGAAAACGTGCCTGATTTGGAGTCAAAATAAAAAACGGCATTTTCAGGAAGCGGAACTCAGACTCCTTGTCCTTGCTGCCGACTTACCTCCAGGACAAATCAGCATCGTGATTCTCCTTTTCACCTTCACTGCGATAGTAGCTATACAAGGGATAGGCACTGTTTTGAGAGGGAGTGGGCTGTGGAGGAGCCAGTTGCTCGTGATCCTCGTTCAGTTGGATCTCCGCTACCACAGCTTGCATCAAGCCAGCAGCAGTGAGATGAGACTGCTGGTGATCCTGATGATGGCTTACAGGCAAAGCCAATTCTGAATCCTTGACAAGATCACTGTGATTATAGTAGTGATGGAGCAGCTGATGTCCCTGCTGCTGGGGATCACTTTCCACATGCCCCGAATGCAGTGAGTCCAAACTGAAGCCTCGCCTGTGGTTTGGTATTAAAAATTCAAAACTGGGCGTGGCAAAAAGAGACAGTCAGAGACAACGCCCATATGCGTGCATTTATTTGAGTTTTTTCTTTGGTTTTTGTTTTTTGGCAATCCAGCATCATTAGCATTTTCATTTCTATTTATTTACTATTTACATAATCAATTTTTGGGCCAGGTGCGTCCGCTGATCATATCGGAGTGTGTGTGTGTTTTATTTTTTATATTTTTTGTGTGCGTCTCAGTTACGGATTTGTAAGTTTTGCGGCAACTTTTTACTGCTTTCGGCATCGGAATTGATTCGTTTAGCGCTATTAGCGCCATCAAACAGAAACACACAGAGAGAGGGACAAAAAAAAAAGAAAAACAAAGAGTTTGGCCCGAAAAAAAAGCGTCAACTTTTTGTTAACACTTTGCCCCGCCCCTGGACGCCGGTGCTGGGGTCCCCCCCCTCTAGCCACCCCTGGACTCGGCAAGTGGTCCGCAGCAGCAGTCATTCACTAATTATTTATTTCCCATGAAGCTTTTTTATCACACCCGGCACTTGTAGAATGCCAGGGGTATGCTGGGTCTTTGCAGATTTATGCAACAGGAAAGAGGAAGTGGTTCCGACTTTATGGGGATTATCATGGAAATATCATGGAAACTTGAGACTTCGATCAATTAATTAGCTTGAGTTTGATTGGGCTCTTTGAGAGTTAAGTCTTAGAGGGATATAGCCATGTTGTTTTGGAAGTATTAATAATATTTATTAATATCTTTTAAAAACCCCACCAAGTAGGCTATGAAAATATCAAAGAATGTATATCCAAAGTTTTATCCCTCAACATCCAAGGTATTCTCAATTCGTATCCCCCTTAATTTCCCTCATTTTTTTCCTTCTA